ATTTGCGCGGCTAGAATTATTGCCATCATTTTATTTAATACTACTTAATGGGCGCGTTCTAAAATTATATTTACAAATTTATTGGGCCATCCTATCTCTCAAAATAAATTCATGAAAAGTGCAAATATACCCGAATTCGAGGCGACGTAAAAAAATTCTCGAGGGTTTAGTAGCCCCGACTTTTCTGGCATAGACCAAGCTTGGGTAATCAACCAGAACCCATGGAAATACAAAACCTTTTCATGGCGAACGAATTTAGAAGAGCTCCCGAAAGTCGGCTTTTCAAAAAACGTTATTTTCGGGTTTTAAATAAAAATTAACCATTAACTTCAGCCAGATCATTCCAGTATTCTGCTCTCATGCACTGTTGGATGCGTGTTTTAATTGTATCCACCAAACCCCGGTGCCTTTTTCATTTTCAAAAATTCGATTTTCAGCCTGGGGCCTTGGGTCCAAAATCGGGCCACGAGGGGGGTTTTCCTCTTTCCTTCATAACTTTGTCATTTACCACAGAAAGTAAGTCATTTTTTGCCTGCGTTCTCATAATCACCCAGAGAACATTCTAAAGTTGAAAAATTGGCACTTTATGGAATTTTGTCTTGGCATGCTAAAACGCGCTCCAGGCGGGTTACTGTAGAAAACAGAAAATCGCCATTTTCTCGGTCTTTTCACCATAGAAACGTTTCGATCTTTCGGGAAAACAAATAATAGTAGTTTTTGGTCCGATGCATCAAAATATTTACAAATTTTCGTGGTTAAATTCAAAAATAAGTTTTTTGCATATTTTTGAAAACTGTATGGCTCGAATGCGGTAATATTTGAATACCGCTCTCTATCCCGAAATTCTGTATCCCGAAACACCCAATCCCGAAATTCTGTATCCCGAAACTCCCAATCCCGAAACTCTCTATCCCGAAAACTCTCTATCCCGAAAACTCTCTATCCCGAAAACTCTCTATCCCGAAAGCTCTCTATCCCGAAAACTCTTTATCCCGAAAACTCTCTATCCCGAAAACTCTCTATCCCGAAACGCAGTATTTTGCGTTTCCTAACGCCCTACATCCTTGAAGGCATCGGAAAACCATTTTATCAAATTTCCGAAACCGAAAAATAGCGGAAAACTATTTACTTCAAAGATCTAGTCTGGTGTTCGGTACGTTAAAGTAGCTAACTTGTTTCGGGATATGGAGTTTCGGGATACAGAATTTCGGGATACAGAATTTCGGGATAGGGGAAATACCCCTAATATTTAGCCCATAGGTGACCCTTACTGGTCTTTACCAATGATAAAATTTTCAGCAAAATCGCAGCTTACAATAAAAAGAAAAACGCGAAAAACGAAAACTACAGTATCCCTCTGGGGCACGTTTTAGCAAGCAATATTAAAATACCATAGAATCAGGTAAAATTTGGTGTTGTGCTAAAGATTATCATTTGGAGACATCATTTGCAAAAAATCAGCCATGGGCAGCGTATTTGAAGCGAGTTGCGAATTAAAATGTATAAAAAAACGCCGAATAGTGAAATTTGTTTTGTTTGTAAAAAAAGAATTAGAGCTTGAAAAATTCTAAGACTTGGCCATCACCTTTCTACAAATGTCAACTATTTTTCGGCCAAAAATCAGAATTTTCCCACCACCCTTTCAAGAACGCACAATTTTCGGTCGTAACCACCGTCAATAGTACAGTTGCGTACTCAAAAATCGAAAAAATCAAGTTGTGTTAAATCTTCATACCCAGCATATTTAAGCATTCTGGCATGGTAACGTACCTTCGATTCTCTACCGTTCGCGAGATAATATAGCGCAAAGTTGGCTTTTTTTTTGACCCACCCTGTACGTATTGAGACAAAACTAAAAAAAATCCTGGTGATAATCGTATAGATCTTTATATTGTAGTGACGAAACATTCAAGCCTAGCCGACTGGGTACTAGTCGTTTAGCGGGGGTGTAGCCAGTAGCGAAAAGGGTTTTTTCCAATATAGAAATTCAATAAATCAATATTACATGCTCGACAATTTTTGATCTTTGGTCAGGGAAATCGTCAAAAATATGTTCATTATCTTCTTAGTCTTCAAAAGCTATTTAAACACTATAGACACTGTACCACATACCAGCTACCGTAGCCTCTACTCACAAAATGTGGTCGACGAATGTTGGGGGCTGTGATGGTGATTGCCTCGACCCCTCAGTTCCCCCCTGGGGCTCCTCCTCAATGTCACTTTCACCTCAGTATGTCTGTGCGTGGGTGTCTCTCTGTCCCCCGACGGGGGAATTCCCCCGACTTATCACGGCAGAAAAAGATAGAGCAGCCAATGGCAACCCAGAATTTAGGTAAGACCTAGACCTAAAAAGTAATAGCATTAACAAAATAAGCTACATTAAATCCTACTATATATAAAAAAATAGTTCCTGTGTGTGTGTGTGTGTGCATTTGCATGCAACTTCCGTCACCGTGTCCGGAGGACATCTCAAGAGGGGAAGGGTCTTAGGCTACGTATGATACGTCATTAGGTGCGTAATGGCCCCGAGATGACTGCACGTAATCAGATTTTGCAAAGTCCGCTATTTTCGACATTAAAATTAAGTTTTTATTGAAGAATCCGACAGCTCTTTTTGTTAGGAAAAAATTAGCATCTGCCGGAAGTGGCGGCAGCCTATATATAACGCGAGAGAGTGGAATTTTTTCATTTTCTCATAGGAATTCGAGAGACGTATGCAGAGTGAAGAATATTATCGGGTTGGCGGGGCCAGGGTTGAAAAGTCGCGAAGCGGCTTTTCAACCCTGGTTAATAAAGTTAAAAAGTAAGACAAAACATTAAAATAAAAAATTCTTATTACAGCAATTATTGATACAGAAAATGCATGTAAAGACGTGGTCAATACGGGGTTTTTTCGCTATAGGTTGCCAAAGCGTTGATCCGCAACGCAACGCACGAGCTCCTGGGAGAGCAGCGTGCGCGTTGCGTGTCGTTGGCGGTTAAACGCCTAACTGTTGGGGACCCTTAAATTACAGCCATGCCCATAAAAATTAGGGATAAAATTTGGAAAATTCACGCGCGAAAAATTATAGAAATCTACTGGTTTATTTTTATCGCAACCAGCAAAAAAAGAAACTGTTTCAAGAGTTCAAAATTATCGTAGCCGCTAGGCCTTCTACGCTAGAAACGCGGCAAACTTTCAACTTTCATAGATGGTAGCCCAAAAGTGGCCCCCAAAAAGTGGTCAGTGTACACGCCATGAATCCACCCCCCAAAAAACGTGCACAAATATAACTGGCTGAGAATAAGCTTATAGAGCACAAGATAGAGATAGAGAGAGAAAGAAAGACAACGCCAAAAGAAGGGCGGTTCAGCCCCCGGGGGGTGGCATGGCAGAGATTCGATCAGAGCGACCGGTTCTCGTCCTCCTGCCCCATCGTCTCTATACTGCCCCCCTCCGGCCAATTCCGAGCAAAAACCTAGTGGCGAACGATTCGACTCGTCAATCCCCACACCTTTCCCCCACTTGTCATGTCCAATTTCCGCTGGAGTACGCAAAAAAAAGTCAAAAAGATGTGTGGGGCAGTTGCAGAACTAGTTAATCGATACAAAGAGAAAAACAAGAAATTAAAAAAATCTCCACTTTTTGACAAAATTACATCAAGCCGGTACTGGTCCGTTAGCAGAGGGGACAAGCGATGGTTTTATTTTTTCCTATTCTTAAATTCGCCAAGTTCAATGCTTTTAAAATAGCGGCCTTTTTAAAAGCATTCAACACCCATTTTAAAGATCAAAGTTCATCAATGATGCCTAAAATTTTGGGATTTAGGCTTTTTATAGAAAAAACGTATCAAAAAAGGTAAGGTAAATAGTCCTAATTTTTAATTTCAAAATATTTTCTATAGTTTTAGCAATCAAAACTCACTAAAATACTAGAAAAAATAGTTTTGTTTTCTAAAAACAAGGAGGTAGGCTTAACCAGATTTAGCTTCCCCCACCGCTAACGAACCAGCACTCGAAAACCTTTCAAAAATGACGCACTTCCCGTCCAGGACAATGCGGTGGGTCGAAAGTTCCCCTGTTCAGCGATAATCTGCCGGGGAGATAAGCCGGCGAGACCCGGGCCGGTGACGTACGTCATCCGAAACTGTATCCCCTAACCCGCCAAAAAAGCCTCAAGAAAAATATTTTTGTGATTTGCATTCGGCGCAAAATCCCGTGGGCAGCTGTTTGGGTAGCTGCCCATCGCGCAGGGGGGCCGACGGCACGGATCCGGTGTTTGGGAGGAGTGTCAGCACAGCCGCCGCTCCGAAAACGGGCACGAAAACGGGGCAGCGAGGAGGGCGACGATGGCAGGAGAAGAGGTGCGGGAGGGAGACAGAGAGAGAGAGAGAGAGAGAGAGAGAGCCACAGGTTGAAAGAAAAAAAATGCTGCAAATACAGCCATCCATACCAGCGCACACACACACACACACACCGTCGGCTGAAACGGGCGATGTGCTGCCCGGCGCGGCCTGGAAACCCTTTGTGTGTATTTGAGGGGGAAATGAACCCCAAAACGGACAGATGAACGACACTCGCACAGGGGAGATCGAGCCGCGTTGGTGCGGGCGAAAGGGCACCGAATCGATCGCACGGGCTAATAATTAAAAAAACTTGAAGCTAAATCCGCCAAAAAAAATTAGTGTCGGCTAAAGTCTATTTTAACCATGCCAAAATTTCGCTTTTTTTGAGCCTGAAATATAATCTATTCGTATACTACGGGTAGGCAACCGTTTCGATACGTTTCGAAGCCCTGGAGCACAAAGAAGAGCTGACATAAATCGGGCTTGAAATTATCTGATTAGCATTTATTGAGCCACATCTACATTAGCATACGACAACACATACAAAGAGTCCCACCCTAAACACACCCATTTTACCGCTTCTCTAGAATCCATTTTTCATCACACTACTCGTCCACGCCCTACTATTCGGTCGGTCTAGCTATTCGTTGTTCCCCGGACTGACTACCTGAAGGGATGTACGAGGAGATGGGCCCCGGCGGGGCTGCTGCCCCACCCCCGCCTGCAGGAGGAGCAGGAGGAGCACCTGGTTTGAGCGGCTCGAAACCACCCAAAAAACATGTGCTCATTTAGCCACGAAACCACTGGGCGGCGACGACGACGTGAACCTTGAGTCGCGCTCAATGAAGAGTAAGCGCCATTGGGCTAGTCTCTTCACAAGGACCTTTATATAGTTTTTAATAAGCAGAAACTAGCGAAAACAACAAAAACAGTTTGTTATATTCTTATTCGCTTAGGTTTAATAAAGGGACTAAGAAATCTGAATAAAGTAAGATCAAGAACCCCCCCCCTAACGAACAGGACCAGATAAAAAGCACCGGCCTGCATTACAGACCCCACTGTGGGCGGTCAATCGCCGGGCACTGACGACGGAGGGGGATCCGGCAGCACCAAGAAGAAAAAGAAGCCCGTCTCGGTATCTACACTTACGCAGACACCAAAGACACCCTTCTTCAGGAGCTACCAGAAGCCCGGGCCATTCCAGAGGACGACGGAAAGAACGTGTGCAGAAGTGAGTTTGGCGAACGCGGCCATTGACGCTCGCTCACTTCAGCGATCCTTGTCATCTTCCTCGTGGCCTGGGCGTGCGGCGGCGGTCTGCTGGGCGGCGTCTACCTGGTCGTCCACTTGAAGCACGCCGAGGCGTTCGGCTGATCAACCACACGTCGCCGCCACCCACTTATCAACGTTACAAACGCAGCACGACTTCCTATTTGATCACGTTTATCTTTTCATTGTTTATCAAGTCAAAATGAATGCCTTATGCGCCATTGTTTGTGGGCAATATATGCTGTGAGATATTCGAGCCGTGGAATAAACGACTACTAACGTCTCGTAAGCTACAATACACCACTACGCAGGGCACGTCTCAAGCATGGAAGGAGGGTACTGGACTTAAGCAGGGGGGAAACTAATCTTTGTTTTTCCGTCGGTACATAAAAAAATGATGTCTTTTATGGGAATGTAAATGATAGTGTATTTTCGTAGCGTTTCCAGTAGTGGCTGATTGCTAGAAAGATTTAAAAACTGTAAAAAAGTTTGAAAATTCGCAAATTTTTACTTTTTTGGTCATTTTTCTCTATTGACCAAAAATTCAAAAATTTTTATAAGTTTTTATGCGCTATGATGTCCAAAGCTGGATTAAAAGCCATAAAAAGGGTTTGTTTTGTCATAGGTAGAGTTGTTATCGACCCGGGTCGAAACTCGGTTCGGGTCGAAACTTTCCCCGGGTCGAAGTTTTCGACCCGGGTCGAAAGTTTCGACCCGGGGTGGGTCGAAGTTTCGACCCGGGTCGAAGTTTCGACCAAAAATCGGGTCGAAGTTTCGACCCGGGTCGAAGTTTCGACCAAAAATCGGGTCGAAGTTTCGACCCGGGTCGAAAGTTTCGACCCGGGGTGGGTCGAAGTTTCGACCCGGGTCGAAACGAAAAGTGTTCGACCCGTTTTCGTTTCGACCCGGGTCGAAAAAAAAGTGTTCGAACATTTTTCGTTTCGACCCGGGTCGAAACCAAAACGGGTCGAACACTTTTCGTTTCGACCCGGGTCGAAACGAAAACGGGTCGAAAACTTTTTTTTCGACCCGGGTCGAAACGAAAACGGGTCGAACACTTTTGGTTTCGACCCGGGTCGAAACGAAAAATGTTCGAACACTTTTTTTTTTCGACCCGGGTCGATAACAACTCTAGTCATAGGACCGCACAGGATTACTGGGAAAAATTAGTTTATACATTTCTAACAGTCCAGTACCGAAAGGACTATCAATTGCCCAAAAATCGTACGACGTTTCAATTACACAAGCTGATAATTGACTAACCTTCAAAGAGCACTGCTGAATTTCTTCGCGTCGGTGGACCAATTCGTCCACAAACGACCTTACTGCGCTTCTCCCAACCGACGGCGGTTCAACACCAAAAAAAGCGGAAAATTATGTTTTGCGCTGGTATCTGTATAGCTATCCACAATTGTATAGGCTTCTTCACAAGCCACGGCTCAAAGTTTATTCGGTGGACAACCGGCGGAGATAGCGATGCTAAGGAGTCTTGTGAAATAATGCGTAATGTCAAACGGGAAATAGAGATTCAAATTCTACAGGCCACAATTCGAGGGCGGTGGGGGGTTATAAGTATGAGGGGGGCAATCGACGTGGCGTTTAAGCTGGCTGCGGCTTGCGCTCGGCGGTCTTATCGTCGTCGTCCTCGATCGCCTTGTCGGGGTTGCCCTTGTGTACGCTCTGGGTGCCCGCCAACGACACGTCACCACTAAACGAAAAAATGTAATTGCAATGGGGATCTCTCACATGTTATTGTTGTCCTCTTCAGTCCCAGGAGTCGGGCGCTGGAAGTTGCCGAGGGTGGCGAGCAGGTCGACGATCTAAATGACTTAAGAGAAACCGTAAAGCTCCTACCCCCGTCATCCCGGCGCGCTTCTTCTCGTCAGCCCAAACAAACTCGTTGAAGAAGGTGGAAATCGCCGTTGGGGCCTGTTCGGGCAACTTGGGCGAGCCGCCCCTCATTGCCTGCAACTCTTGTTAACTGGGATTTCAAGAATTCGCCCACCACTTCCCGGACCTCGGCGTTCGACTTTCCGGCATACGGCAGATCGCCGTACGAGTAGATCTCCACAACCAGACAGCCGAATGCCCACACATCAGACTTGTACGAGAATGCGCCTTGCTGGAAGAGAAATCATTGGATTCTGGAAAAAAAACTACGCTCAAAATCTCGGGTGCCAGCCAGCGAATCGGCAAGCGCTGGTTCGCATTCCTTCCCAGCAGAAATGACGGGCCGCGGACCGACAGCCCAAAGTCACTGATGCGTAGCTGGAAAAAAACATCTCTGAGCCATCGATCGAACAATGTTACCCGATCACCGTCATATAGACAATTCCGGGCGGCGAGATCGCGATGGATGACCTCCTTCTGATGGATGAACTCAATTCCGCAAGCCGCCTGAAAGTGCGTAGTTAAACGTGCCAACAAAACCAATAATATACCTGGAAAACCAGCTTCTTCAGATCTTTCTTTTTCGGCTTCGTGGGCGACTTGAGAAACTTCAGCAGGTCACCGCCGTTGATCAGCTCGAGCAGGATGTAGATCGGGTTCTGCAGCACCGCCACCCCATAGGCTCGCACCTTCAGTGGATTCTACTGCGAAATAAGGCCGAGAGTTACCACGTTGGGGTGAAGCAGGTCGCGCATCATCCGATTTTCAAGCATAATTTCCTTGCGCTTCTTCTTCAGTGCCGTCGTCTCGCCCTTCGCCTGCAAAACGACAATGGGAAGCTTCTTGAAATGACTTACCAATTTTATGGCGACATCAACCAATTTCGGCTTCGTCCCTTTGCGCATCACCTGGCCTTTCCAAACCTAGCGAAAATAGGTTAAATAGACACGCAGCAAGATACCTCTCCAAATTCACCATTTCCAAGCTTTTTCTCGAGGTGTACATCCTTGTGTTCGTATTCCCAGATCTGACGTGGAATGCCCTGGTCCAGGCGGCATTTGTGCTAAAAGTAAAACTTATAAAAATAGATAAAAATAAACAACCGATTTTTCCGGACGCTCATTCTCACCAGCTGGCGCCTCCTTCGTGGCATAGTTATCAATCAGGTCGGCAAATGTCTTGAATTTCTGAAACATCCAAGACGCTTCAGAACGTTCGGCTCGAAACCGAATGAAACTGAAACTCGAAAACGATACCTTTTTCTGATCCACCGAATATTCCTGGTCAATGAAGTGGACAATCATGTGCTTGATCGGGCCCTTCTTCTCCTTGCCGCTGTTCCGCCGACCGCTCGTGTTGGCACTTGGCGCAGCTGTGCGCGCCGTTCGTCCGCTCTTTCGGTCATCATCCTAAAATAAAACTTCAAAAAGAAAATCGCTTCTTGCCGCAGACTTCTTCTGTCGCTCGGTACGGTCGCCGACTCCACCTTGGTTTTGAAAGAACGAGATGATGATTTCCTTGTCTTGCTTCTCGGCCTCGGGCTAAAAATTTGAGGTTAGAAGTAAGCGACTTTCCGCTACCTCAGAGATACGGATCAGAAATTGGCCTTCTTTGACGAGTAGCTCGGCGATGTCTTCCCTGGGCAAGAGGCCTGGAAAATAAAAGTTGTTTTTATAGAGGTTTTTAAAAGTGAGAAATCGAAAACAAATAAATTAAAGAGGAAGGAGATGAAGAAGCAAAAACTAGAATTGTTCTTCGTAAAAGGAACTCTAGAAATTTTTATTAGAGCCACCATGGTAATGTGGCAGGTTCAAGACATCGGCCGGCGGGAAGTCTGGCCGACTCGCATCCATCGACGGTACGAAAAAATGGAGTAAAGAAAGCAGCGCGCGCCAAAAAATATTCCATTTCCCAACCATAAGTAGGACTTCCGGTATGCAAAACTGCTAAACCAGATTTGCATACCACCAAATATTGCGCAATCCCTGAAGCGCCAAAAACGCACCATTTTCCGTCGAAATGGATGAAGTTGGTTACCGCCCCGTCCATCGACTTCTAGTTCTTTAGGCGGAGCAGACACAAGACCAGACGGAGGTCACCCAGTCATCGCCATTACGACGCCGTGTCTCGAACTCATGGATCAATGCGGTAGATTACAAAACTAGAGTAGAACCGGACATTTAGGCAGTCCTCGCCCCGACCCAAACTTTCGAAGCCCCGAAAGCGAAAGCGATCGTCGAGAAAAAGTTGAAGAAAAAGGAGCCGGAAGTCAAAAAGGCCCGCACACCGAATTCGACACAGCCGTCTGAGGCCCACAAGAAGGCCGAGGTTATTGAGAAGAAAAAATCGGAGGAAAAGGAGAAAGAGAAAGAAGAGGAGCCTGAGGAAAAGCAGCAAAAGAAGGAGGATAAGAAGGAGGAAAAGAAAGAAGTCAAGAAGAAAAAGCCCGAGCATGAGGATGACGTTGAACTTGGTGTGGACCCTGACCACAAGGGAAGCAAGGTAACCTAGGATTGAAAATATTGAAAAACCCTCCATTTTTCTAGAAAAAGGAAGCCAAAAATGCCAGCAAGCTGAAAAGCGTCTGCGCCCCACCAGTCGGCATCCAAGTCCAAGTTCCCAGCGACTATTACCAAAAGCTTAAGTGGGGATCGATGAGACAGCTTCTAATCTTCATCTCACCACTTTTATAGACAGTGGTGCTTCGAATATGATACCTTGCTTGATTCTGAAAGGGGCGTGGCCACGTTCGGAATTCGAGAAGAGACAAGGTCGTGCGACCACTTCATCGTGCAGAACAACCAGACGATGGCAAACTGAAGAATTAAGTTAAAAATCTATATTTCTTTAGCACGTCATCTTCAACGTGTTTCTACCGCCTACATCTTATTTTGGCTGCTGGCCTCGGGTAATTCAAAGAAGTTATTGTTATCTGATTCTGCCTAGATCGGAATTATCGAGCCGGGCGCTAAAGCTACCATCCACTTCTCATTCAACGGCCGTGTCGCGCCTGCCTATCCACACGACGGCGCCTTTTCCTACAAGTGGGGCGAGGACGCCATTGAAATTACAGTAGAGGGTTTATCAAATGCCTGTAAGCATCCGAGACGCGACGTGGATCTCGGATGACGACTGCAAAAAGAAGAGCCGCCATCTGCGACAAGCGAGTTCCAGTCGGGCTCTATCATCACCCACCCATTTTCAGTATTGGGATCAATTTGCCGGTGAACTCGACAATCGCTCCGCACACAAGCGTACGTACGTGCTTCGCCTCCCGATCTGCTTCGTGTCCGGAGAGACACGACATGGGTGGGTAGCTGTGAGGCTAAAAATGACAAAATATATTTCAGCTGCAAAAACCACGCTCATCGCCGGCAAAAAAATTGCGACACGGCCAATCCAGCCCCCGGGAAAGAGGGTAGGAGACGCTTCTCGCATATTTCCCCCGATTTTCAGAGGCGCCCGGCGACGCGCAGGCGCAGGAAAAGTCTCAAAAGACCGATGAGTTGCCAAGTGCTCAGGAGTGAAAGATTGCAGAAATACAAATGAAGAACATTACCTATTCTCGTTTAATACTTTTCGGTATCCTATTCGACGAATAAATATATCACTTACTGCATGCCGAATGCCGCTTACTTTACCAGTTGGCATCAGCTGCATTCTTTTGCAATATTGTACGTGTATACAGGGTGTCCCAAAAAAAACGAACCATCTGGCATTTCACCGTGTTACATCTAATCGGCCCCAAATTTTGACCAGAGGTGTATCAGACCCTAAATAACAACAATCCTGACTTATAGCCCTGTCGCTATAGTAGTTCTCGAGTTATGGCAAAAACAAACTTTAGTTTCTATTTTTCATAGGGTTTTCGTGGAATTAGATCCCCTAAACATTAAGTGAAAATGATCCGGAAGGCCTCCTTTACCATAAGAAATTTTTTCCAGAAAAAAATTAATTAAATAAGCTTCGATTTAAGCGATTTTTACAACGCAAAATTACCCCAGTTCTTAAGCGAAATTAGGGATTCGTAGCCGGAAGTCGATGCAAATCGATGCAAAGTCCAAAAAGATAGCCGAAAAAACTGTTCAGAATTGCGGGAAAAGCAGTATTTTCGTTATAACTCGAGAACGAATGTAGCTATGGGGCTATAAGTCTGGATTGTTGTTATTTAGGGTCTGATACACCTCTGGTCCAAATTTCGGGCGGATTGGATGTGACACGGCAAAATGCCAGATGGTTCGTTTTTTTTGGGACACCCTGTAGAATGCGAAGGAAAAGCTAAAAAAAAAAAAATAGAAAACGTAGAAATTTTGAATTCCAAAAAATCCAACGCTCGTTCCGTTCCAGTAATTTGGACGTTTGCCGTGATTTGTAGCGCTGCGTACGGCTATTCCCGGATGACAAAAATAATCAATTTATATTATTTTGAAGACAATTCCTTCTTTGTTTTCTTTTGATTAGATTTTTCGTGTTATTTTCAAGATATATCTTTTGCATTTAGATTTCCGCTACCTTTCGATCGCAGCGATACCATGGGCGACACCAACGAACACCCGGAAGTCGCGCTCAAGAAACTTGGTGCCGAAGACGCGTCCAAGGTTTCGGATGAGGATTGGAAGACGGCTCTGGCGCCAGAAGTCTACGAGGTCACCCGCAAAGCTGGCACCGAACCCGCCGGCTCGGGCGCTTACGACAAGTTCTTCGACAAGGGCCGCTACATCTGCGTCTGCTGCGGATCCGAGCTGTTCAACTCCGACTCGAAATTTTGGTCAGGGTGCGGCTGGCCGGCGTTTTCAAAATCGACGGATAACGACATGAACATCAAGCGCATCCCGGACCTCAGCTATGGCATCGAGCGCACGGAGGTGCGGTGTAAGACGTGCGATGCGCACCTTGGCCACGTTTTCGAGGATGGACCGGAAGAAACGGGGGAACGCTATTGCATCAATTCGGTGTCGATGACGTTCGAGCCGCAACCTTGAAGCGGGCGTACCTTTGAGGGAATTGTCCGCAACACTTTCAAGAATTGACTCCTACCTAAAAATATTTTCTCTCTCCCTACGACGTTGGCTGTGATTTGTTTACCTCTGACATACGCTGAGTTACCTTTACCTATTTTAATTTTTCACCCATGTTTTTAACTGAATTTCGCCATCCGAAACGCTGCCCGGCTGCTTTACGATCCGTTATACTGAATGTCTTTGAAATTCTTCGATGCAGATAATTTTCAAAATATCATAAAATTTATCTAATCATTTTTATCGATAAAAATTTATTGACTGTGCCGTGGACCCGCATCGTTTGGACTTTCTTAGATTCTTGTGTTCAATCCATTCAACTGATGATACATCGCGTTTGTTTCCGTCGTTTGGCCTTGCGGATCTTGGTGACTTCGGTGTTTTTCTGAAAGATTTCGTTGAGATAGCGGTATTGTGGGCGTACAGCTATGGTTGCAGCAGCCATCATCTGTTGAACATAGTAGACATCCTCGTCGTCGGAAGAATCGGATGAGGTTCTGCAAGAAGTTGTGAAAAATGTTCGAGGTACTTACGCATATAAGGGCCTATCATAGAGGGGCTCGGAATCTGTTCGGCGAAGTTGATTCGGGGTAGATGAGTAGAGGTTGGCTGGGCGCATTTTCAGTTTAGATTTTTCTGGTGTAGGCACGGCCAGGACTAAAAAGTTTTTCTTTAGATGATGAGCTCCATTCGAGTTGTTTACGTATCGATTTAATGGTTTCCGTTGGTGACCTACCAGTTTCATAAATTCCCTCATTAGCTGGTGGCGGCGGGGGCGCAGTTCTCGGAGGCGGCGGTCGGCGTGCAAGCGCCGCTTGCTCGACGTGGCGATGCTGTTCAGGCTCATCGCGGTCGGATAAACTTCTCCTTCGGCGACGACCGCCCCGCTGTCGCCCATTCTCATGTGTGTAACGGCTCGTCGAGCTAAATAATTTTCCTTTACTTTTTTAGACTTCACAACTCACGCGATCGGCGTCTCCTCCCTGCACCCATGCTGACAAATCAGCCAACCATCCTCAAAGACTTCGAAAGGGCGGCCGAGGAGTGTACGGCGGCATGACCGACATTGGAAGCAGGTTGAGTTTGCGTGCCAGATGTCCTCACCCTAGAAGAAAATGGCTTTTAGTTGGGAAGGAGCCAGCAAACCTTTGCGATGTGCGGTTCGTTTTCACGAATAATTTTTCGGCATGTCGAGCATGAGCCAGGGTTTGGCGGTGGTGGGCCTAGCGTTCTTGATTCGCAGCGCAGGCACATGAAGCGTCCACCGTGCACGACGTAACGATTTCCACCTAGGAGAAGCTGAAGTTAAAGGTTTTTCTAGGCTAGATTTAGACATTTTTAAAGTCCAGGTATTTTTTTAGGTTTAGTTTGTGCTAAATACCTTCTGTTACCTACCGATCGGCCGTTCACATTGCTGACAGGTGAAGTGGTGTCGATGCCAACTGCGATTCTCCGCGTCGACCACCTCCCCACAGAAGACGAGCTAAATGGAATTGAATTGAATTGGAAATGTTTATTTCAATAGTAAGTAAATTTTCCACTAGTGTCCCTATCCCGAAAGGGTCAAGCTGTGGCCTTGGACCTTCTCAGGGCATGGCCCCGATGCATGGCACTTGGGCGAGTGTGTCAACAGCGCGCATCTGTGAGTCGGATCCAGTTTCGGGATCCGAATCTGCCCCCGAAGGTTATGTGGTACTTGATGCGGGGAGGGTACCCATCTCTCCACTACGTAATTGCCACAGATCTCTATCGGAAATTGGAATCGACCGGGGGTTGGGTTCGGAATTGGCAGCGGGTTGTGAACAATTTTCGCGTTTACTAAAAAGGGCAAAAAAAAGCTGATTGACAGAAATATTAAATCCAGAAGGAACGCTTCCCAGTCAAAAATGGCTGTGTTTAAAACTAGTGAGATATCTTCAGATTTTGCCATTTTTCGTCGTTTAAAAATCTAAAAATGCACGTTCAAGGAGTTGGCCGTATACACCTATTTACGCAGATATGTTGAGGAAAAGCGAGGCGACGAAGGCGTCCATAGGTGTACACGGCCAACTCCTTGAACGTGCATTTTTAGATTTTTAAACTTTTAGTTTTTGAAAGTTTACATAGAAGTTCTAAATGCTCTTAACAAATTTTCAAATCAGTGAAAAATCGAGGAAAAAGACGGGTTTTTTTTACAAATTTTCAGCATGATCTGGGCGCAAAAGCCCAGTCTTATTTGGTCTCTATCCTCAAAGATTGAAAATTAGGCGTTACTTATTAAAAAGGCTAAATAAAAAGGGTCATTTACAAATTAGCCAATCCCCGGCGCTTCTTCCTGACACTACCAAACTACCATCCAACAGCACAACACTTGAACAAATCAACCCCCCCCGGTCTTCTCATCCGCTTCTATCCCATTTCCACCCACCTCATCAACCATTCTATGGCTATGAGCCCCGGGGTGGACAAAGGGTTGAACAAGTGGCCCAGGCAGTGCCGAGGGCACTGTCCAGCCGTATGCATCGGCAATTTGCATAATTGGCCTCCTTCCCTGTTCCAACGAGCGGTCTATGAATTCATCGGAGGGCCCCAGGCCGGGGCCCGGATAATCCACCGGGGAAACAGGTGTGTGGGATTGTGAATCGTCGTTTCCGGTGGGCCGGGACGATGGTGGGTGCCAATTAGCGCGCTGCAGGTGAACGCATTTTTTCTTACAGTATTGATGGTTCCTGGGATCCGAGCTTTGGCAATAACGGGGGGGGGGTTTATCATTAATTTTTCGCAAAGATTTTTTTTAAGTCACGTTCTGGAAAGGATTTCTACAATTTTTTTACTTCGGTGGTCTTTTCCCATTGGGAAGCAAATTTTACGAAATTGGACTTACGAAAATCCGCTTTAGGAAAAGCTAATTTCGGAGAAATACCTTCGAAATCGAGTTTGAATCTTTCCCATCCAAACAATAGCCATCCGGGCCTTCAGGCCGAGATCCCCATCATCTCGGCTATCCCGTGTCTGTAGTATAGGCTGTCACGCAGCCAGGGCACATAATTTCCGGGATAGAGATCTATATGGGCTCGGGGCGGCCATGTCCTCCTCCTTCTCCGCCCCCTCCTCCTCGACCCAACTGTCGCGTATGGGCCGTATTTCATGAGTTGCACAAGCCGAAACCATCCCTGGAAACAAACACAGCCCCCACCCAACCACGCACCCCCAGTTCATGGCGTCGTTTCCGGCACATGTGGGCCCCAGCTGGGCCCTGGGGAGCATAAGCTGAAACGATACCTTGGAATCTTAGAGAGTACTTTGAATTTGATCCAAGCAGATAGTGTGAGAAAAAAAATGGTTCATTTGCATTATCAGGGGGTCAGGGGATTGAATTTTTTGTATAAGCCGAGAAGTCCCTAATAACGTAAAAGCAAGTATTTTAATACTGTTTTTAGTAGCATTTAACTACATTTCAAGCGGAAAAATTACCTAACAAGTTCTAGAAATTCGAAATTTTGATCAAAAATGGGCTATTTCTGGCCAAAAAAATCTTATATTTTGGATATTTCAGTAGAAACACCTCCGCTATTTATATACGAAAAATTGGAGACTAAGGAAAAACTTGTCGAGCCCTCCCCCGATAATGCACAAGCACCGGAAAAAATAGGTTCGTTGTTTCTAATAAATTTCGTTTTTAGGCAAGAAGCAGCTCGATCCCTCGCAACTCCTCCACCCTAGCCAATGACCTCAAAATGTTTATGCGCGCGCGAGGGCGCGGCCCTCACATGTGTTTTTGTTATCCGCTTTTATGGCTGCACTCTGGCCCTTTGGCGTGGTGGGTTGCGGGGCCAGAGCTTTATGACAGTTGGGCCATCATTGCGTACCCGTGGGCCCTTAGCGTAACCGCCGGGGGCATGTGTGGGCCCAAGGTGGTGCTCGGGTCGAGGTAGTAAAAATGGACCGTGGCCCTCGGGTGGGGTGCGCGTTGCAAAAATAATAGTAGAGTCCAAGGCGCCCAGGAATTTAGGTCCAGCGCTAGCATGCTAGCAGGGATTCTTTAGGAATTGCCATAATTTAACAAGCGTTTTTGAGAAAAACTGACCGCAATTATTACGCGACTCTAAACTAAAGAGATTTTTTCAGCCTCACCTCATCGCACTTGGCGCAGCGGGGCTTGAACTGCTCGGCGTGGTGCCGGCCGCAGTAGACGGTATTTCCGTGGGCGTAGTAGAGCAGGTCAACGAGCAACGTCTGACATTTTTGGCAGTTGAAGCAGGCCGGGTGGAACCAGCGGTCGACCTTCTCGGCGTAGACGGCCACTTGGCCTTCTTGAAGGGGGGCGTCGTTGCACTGGAAAAATACGTTTAGTTTTTTCAATTGAAGATCACTGGGTGCTGTTGCATTATCGGGGAAGGGGGGCAAGTTGTTGCTACGATTTAAACACACTTTTTTGCCACAAAAATGTCGAAAAACGTGTTTCCAAACAAAATTCAAGTTTTTATAAATTTCAGACAGATTTTTAGATAGTTTTTCCACTTGCATATAGTTAAATTCTTGCAAAAACACTACTGAAATATTCTCTTTTGCGGTACTAGACATATCTGGCCTTGGTGGGAGCAAATTCGCCTCCCCCGGATAACGCAAAAGCTCCTAATCCTGTAGGCTGGATATTTAAAAGTGAGAGTTTATTTCTGTATCTCGCCGACCCACATTTTCTAACCCACCCCCACAATAACCCCCCATTTATCACCGGGATGGCCACCACACCGGGTGGGTTGGATGACCCCCCTGGATAAAAACGGCTTCAGAAGGCGCCGCTTGCGCAAGTGTGTGCCCCCGGGTTTATCCCCCGGCAGATAGTCCGCACGACACCCCCCAGCCGTAAATCTAATCGGATAAGGTGGCGGCGGGACGGCACCCCATGGGTAAATGACAGGGCAATACTCTCGCGGTCTCTCTCTCTCACCCGAAATCTGCATATCTGGGGGTGCTAAACAAAGCGCATTATACCAACACCGCCACCCGCTGAGGGGTGTGGCGGGGCCCCATGATTAGAAGTTTGGGTTTCTTTTGGTGAGCTGCGCGCGGTCGGCAGGCTTTTAAAGGGTGCCCTAAAGGGGTTACGGTAGTGGGAAAGGGGGGTATAAGAAATGAGGACTTATAGCTCCCCTACTGGCTGGTGTAAAGTTTGTATACTTTAAAACCAAGGATAAATTAAATTTAAAAATTAGAAACGCTGAATTACTGCAGCAGACGGTGTTTTATCGCTAACATTGGGGGTTTTAATAGGTTAATGATACGTACGAGCGTAAGTATGCGGCGTTTTTAAAGTTTTACCTTTTCTCTAAATTTGTCTTTCTTTAAAAAAATAAGAACTATAAAACATTAGTAAAAATAAATGTGAAGATATTTTTCATAAGTTTCTATCAATCAAAAACTACTAAAAACAATATAAAATTCGTTAAAAAATTATCAACAGGACAAAAATTAGTTTTCCCCTTGCTAAAATCCCCCTCCGCTAGCAGACCAGTACCGAAATTCAACCTCCACAGCTTTCGATTAAGTTTTTCACGCTTCAAGGCCCCCGGTGCTACCCGTTTTACCCGGCGCCAGGGTGGATGCGGTATAAAGGACGGAAAAAAGAACATGGCCTTCAAGAAGAGAGCGGAACTGTTGGAAGCCCCCCCCCCCCCACCCCATTTTCCCTATGCAAAACGCAAGGCGCCGGCGACTTTGCGGGAGCCAATTTCACAGTTGGGCTGGCCCGTAGCCCGTTCCCACGACTGTCACATGAAGGGTCTGTTTTCGGGGTGGGGGTTCTCCTTCCTTCCCTTTATCCCGCAAAAGGGTATGCGCGAGACCCGAGGGATGGCCATCTGTTCGCGTGCCCGCCAGGCATTTGTCAAAAGTCTGCGGTGGAAGACGCGGATTTTCGAGGGACTGGGGGGGACGTGTCGCCTGTCAACAGCTAATCTTTCTTTGTTTCTGGCAAAAAAGAGGCGAAAAAACAACAATTAAAAAGCTATTCTAGCGAGCTAGCTAAAAGATGGCCTAGTGATTAGCGCGTTGCCCTTCCAAGTGGAGGGCCTCCCCGTTGGTGGATGGCAAGACTTTTGCTTTTTGGGGGTTTTGCAAGAACTTTAATAAAAATAATTATGAGAAAAACTGAAGGAGCTATTCTTTCTGCGCTTTTTCCTACGGCCTACTGGCTAGCGACTATGTCTACCAACTTTAGGGCCGAGGTTCGAGTCCCGCCGGTGGCAAACTTTTTGCTTTTTGGAGATTTTACAAAAATAATAGTCAGATAACCAGGAAATGCCGAAAACCCAATTTTCAACGCCGATCCCTAGCCGAATGGCTATCGCGGCCGACTCCCAGCTTGGGGGTCAGGGTTCGAGTCCCCTCGCCGTCCAACTTTTTGATTTTTCGATATTTCGGCGCCAACCCATTCCGCTTCACCCCTATACACACCTATGCGGCTGCGAGGAGAGGAGGGGCACACACCGGTCCCCCATAGGCAAATGTGCGCATTCCCGGCTTTTTGCAGCTGAAACCGCCCCCGGCTGGAGCTCCAGCTGGGCATTTTATGGGATAAAGCAGGGTGGGGAGGTGGCTGTGACCACCTCAATCTTTTCGGCCGGGGGTGGTCCCGCGGCGAAATAGCCGCAAGCAATTAGGATACAGTACGGTAAGGGGGGGATAACTGGTCGGCCTTCACGGAGTCGGACTTTTCCGGGTTTGGCTGGAAAGGGCAACCGGAAAATTGTGGCCGTACTGTAGGAGAGACAATATTTAGGTGGATCAAAATATCGAATTTGACGGTGTCGAAATTTTAATATGGATTTTTAAATATGTATTTTGGCAGTGGAATTTCGGGGTTTCGGGGCGACTTTTTCATGATACCTTTCGACAGATCAAATGCCGACATTCTCACAGCTTTTTCAAGGATCATTTGATTTCTGGCCTTCCGCCCAAGTCCACTTGCCGGCCCGGATCAAAGCCCCCAACCCCCCCACTTGACGAAAAACGACCAGGCCAATTACGCAAATTTTTTGTGTGGTTGCACATTACCCATCAGCCGGTAATCCACAGCGACCTGACCGCCCGGCGGGGCCATTAGAGGGGCGGATTTGCCCTCAGCATGCGCCCTTCCCGGCGCCTTTAACTGACCGCCTGACCGTTGGAATGCAAATTAGATGGATGGGGGGTAATGTCATCGTCTAGGAAAGATCAATCTCCCAAAAAAAATTGCCAAATCCACCTCAAAAATCGTCGCCCTACTGTATTTTTCTGGGCGTGAACGACACGGGACGATGTCGACTAACTATACTACAAAACCCGAAATCCCAACCGGTTGCGCTATGAAAAAGACAGGATAGAGAGCGCGCTGATGCAAGAGGCAGCAAAGCCACTTTTCGTCTAGTCACCGATTTTCCGAATCGTCACGGGCCGTCCTGTCTCCTTTAAGGCATCATTCCCACGATTCCCAAGCAATTCTCATGGCAGCTACACGGCAATCCTGTTCACACCTCGTCAACGGGCGGAACTGATCTCCCGCGCGGCGCTTTAATTGACAAAAGACACCCGGGATGCAACAGGAGGCCGGAGGCAATTAACCGATAAAATCGCCCGGGATATCCGGGTGCCAAATCTTGCCCCCGGACTTCCCGGGGGTATAAACCGGGTTGTCCGTTGACGAGCTGCCGAAATGTCGGCAGGGCTTTGGCAACTTTCGCTCGCTAAATCGTGGACAACCGTAATCCTGGGTCTGAAAGACGATGTGGTGCATTGGTTGTGTTCCAGCATGCCAGGCGCGGCTCCCGGGTTCGAACCTGTCATTGACCAATTTTCTCGCTTTAAAGGGGCTGGGTAGCGCGCGAATTGAAGCCTTTCAGCTGGCCGGATCTATCAGATGCCCGTACTTTGGTGCGGCTCGAAGATGTCGAGACCTAGTAGGTCGAAGGGGTCGATTCTGAGGCTTCACAATCGCGTTAGAATAATCGCTAGGTTAAAGACTGATCCCAAACCCTTCCAGACCCCCCTGCGATTGGTTTGTTTTCGCGCACGCCAGGGGGTAAATTTGTCACTTTGCTTCGTTGTCTGTCGCTCTCTCTTTCTCTCTCATACTCCCACTCTCTCGCCCATTCTTGGTCACACCCCCCTCGGGGTTAGACGGTGTCGATTTTCCGTCAAAAGCGCTGGTGACACGTCTGGATGGTCGCGCGCGCGGGCAGTGATTATTCATTGGGATGGGCCGAAGGGGGTCGGCAGCAGTACGGAGGACACCCATGCACATACACAGAGATACACACAGACACTGTATAATTTACGCTGAGAAGGGCAGATGGCGGCAGTGGCTCGGAGGCAATTCATAGAAATTGTTGGGTTTCTTCGCGAAAATCTAGGGTGCTAAAGGGGCTAGGAAGCCTCAGAATCGTCGCTTCACTTAGACTACGCCCGGCTCATTTTCACAGCCTAATCTTGAGCATGAGTTTCAAAAAAATACTTTACGATTCCGAACGATATATTTTTACGGATTTTACTCAAAACCCCTCCCACCGCAACCTCAAAGGGTCCCGAGACGCTCTGCAGGGAGTGCCCCCTCCCCCCACTCACTGTTCGTGTGTGTGTCTATATGCGGGATTATCGGGTTAGCCGTGGCGAGACTCCCCTCCCCAAGGGGTCCGGCAGCGAAAGGGGGGATCGGTGCCTGTTAAGAGTGGTCCCCCGGAGGGCATGGGTCACTGAGACGCCTGTGCAAACAAATAATCAGCCCCCCATCACCGATCCCCCGCACCGTATAAGCCGAAAGCAAACCCCGCACAGCCTTGATTCTATAATACGACCCGCTGAGGATTTTGGAAACTTAGACTATTTTAAAGAATGGAAATAAGTTTCTAGGGGGATATACAGCGGCAATCGGAACAAAAACTTTAAGGGGATGGACAAGGTATTTGTTGGAATTTTAATATGGATTTTTCCGCACCCGCTACACGCAACGCGCCCGCCCGGCCTTTTAGTGCGTAAATTTTGACGATATCTTCCGAAAAAGCGGGTGCGCGTTGCGTGGAAAGTCGCGGAAGAATCTAGAGGTAATCGAGAGCCAAGAAAATCTAGGTAAATAACCGTTTCTAGAGGTAAACGAGCAAAGATCCTTTAGCGGAATTTCTTAAACTGACCGAGTCTATTTGCAGGAATATTAAATTCATAGATAACTATGCATTTCCGGTCCCTTTAAAAAGGCAGAATAGCAAGATTAGACCTAGACAATTTCATCTGAACCATGCTAGAGTAGCCAATCGCAAGAATAAGATTGCCTAATCCCTCAATCGCGACCCCTGTCTACCGATTTGCGTAATTGGACGCCCTCCAGCCGCCCGTTTTTACATGGTGCTGAGTGGCATCCCCCCCAGCTTTGATCCCACCGTTCCAAGTGGGCCCTCCGGTGCCCTTGTCAACCCCTCAAGACCTCCCCCGTTAGGACTCGCAAAAAGGTGACCGCCGACGGGGCGCGTGCCAATGCCCCCCGGGGTAGTTTTGGGTATACATTTATGGCCTGGGGTATACAAGATTGTTTGGCGCGTTGCGGGCGAACACTTGAGAAGTTGCTCGCCCGCACCCGTCGCATCAGCTACCATTGTTCCGCGGCAGTACTATGGACGGCTGGGTGTACAAACTTGATAGAGGGCGGATAAATACTTGAGGTCGGATCGGTTGAATCGAAAAAAATTGAAAAAGAAGATTGTTATGCCAGAAAGGTAATTAAAAAAGGTTATTAGGGGTGTAGTAACGTACTTAATTATATATTTGCTCGGTAAAACTACTCGTTTTAGCTAAAAATTCTCGTAAAAAACTAACTGCCGGTAAAAAGTTCTGATTAAGATAGTTTATTACCACAAAATTATTAGAACTACTTTTACTGCAATGTTTAACGTGATTTTAAAGGTATACCACGCCTTTGAAGCATAGAGTTCCGAGGCGCACGTGAAGTGGCAGAAAATATCCAAAGTATGTACGCTAAATTACCAATTACGAATGCTGATGCTCAGCTTAACGTAATTTTTAATGCGCTGCAAAGTTTAATATTTGCAAAATTGCAAAAATTGGCTTTTCCCTAGGTATCTTTTTCACTATTTTCCATTCCCCGCATCCGATACTCGACACCCCCGTGTATCGGGACCGATCGCCCCGAATGCCATTTGCATACGGTCTCCCGCGACTCTTGTTTGGATTCGGCATAAACACAGCGCAAAGGCGAACACCCCCCATCGATTCATCCCCACCCGAGGGAGCGGCGAAAACTACAGCGGAAGTCTGTACAACTTTGAATCGAAATTTTTTGCCCAAAAATCATCCAAATATCCCCTGGCAAACAGCCAGCTTTTTGACAACCGGCGCCAAGGAGGACAACGCAAAAAACTGACCCCTCCACAACGCCTCAGCAGCCCATCATATGGTGTCTTTTCGACGACGGCGCGCCCTGGAATGATTTATTGAAAACGGCCGAGGGAATGGCCAGAGAAAGAGACGCAGACGGGCGAAGAAAAACCTGGGGGTACAGTGCTGGAATTTGGCAGCCCGCCAAAACCTGGGCCATCCTAAAAACGCCCGAAAAACCCACCAAAAGCCTTCTGCTTGCGGCTGACGTCGAAAACCTTGAGCTCGTCCACCTCGTCGCGCGTCAACGGGCCACAGCATAGAGGATCCGAGTCCTGCGGAGGGTGTTGGATTCTAAAACATGGGCCTTTGTGGCGCAACTGTTTTTAAAGCTCTAAAAAGCTGAAAAAATCGTACTTCAACTGGCGTTCGCGCCATTTCTCGCCGGCCGACCCGGTGACGGGCACCTTGTCCTCGGGGATGCTGGCGAAATAGAGGTGCACCTGGAAATTCGGATACGATCGATAGGAATTTCCGGTTTTAGAATCGATCAAAAAGAGGCGAATTTTAAAGGGACGACGCCCTCAATAAGGAATCTAACTAGCTAGAAGCATAGAGGGCACAAATCAATATTGAGCAGAGTAGCGTCTCGTCCGCCCACTTTTGATCCTTCAATCCTTTTAATCTTGATCCCCCCCATCAACTATTCTGCGTGCTAAACTGTGGGGGAATTCCCGGGCCCAAAGTCTACAAGTTCTCCCACGGTCTAAAGCCTTGAAGTTTGCGCGTACCGATTGAAGGGCACCCTTTAGCGGGACGAAATTCGAGACCTCCCCCACCCTCCGATAGGCGCGTCTGGAATGCAACATGCATTCCGGAAGCCGAACCAAAGTTCAAACTAGTGATGGTATTATTCAAATCTCAAATCTAATTTGCATCCGCCTAATCAAATCTGCCGGTTTGATTTGAATAAGGTTTCAGCACTTCAAATCAAATCGATTTGATTTGGACTTCCAAGGTTTGAGTTCAAATCTGAAGATTTGAACAAGGATTTGAAGGAGTCGAAAAAATCAATAGCTCATTACGTGGATGCTAATTTTATGATGGCATGCATAATCATGGTCATTTCCGGTGCTCGGCAGCTCGGCCATAGCGATTTTTTTATGTTTTGCATGCCGGCATCTCAATAAGATTTGATTAAGGACCGGAAGCTTAATCAAATCCTCAGGATTTGATTTGAACTCGTCCACTGGGTTTCAAATCAAATCCGCCGATTTTAAATTGAAAATTTTCCCTTCAAATATTCAGATTTGAGCTCTCAGATTTGACTCAAGATTTGATTTGAATAACCCCATCACTAGTTCAAACCAAAGTTTCTGGTAATATATCGGCTTTTTATTAGGCGGCCGTTTGGAAAAAAAGTGAAAGAAGAGGGAATAGAAGATGTGGGGCATTCAGAGGTATAAAAACAACTTTTCTAGACGTTATAGCCTGCTAAAGAATGGAATAAGCATCTAAAAACTAGAAAATACAACAAATACATACCATGTGCGGCGTGTGCCTGGGCGGTGTCCACGCGTACTCGTCGAGCACACATCCCGAATCCGAATCGCTGTCCGAGTCGGGCAGAATCTGTCGGCGCCAAGAGCCTCCTGGAAAAAATATAATTGTATTTTAGTGCTACCCCGAGCTGTAAAGCTCTCAAAATTCCGAATTTTTCAACAATTTTGTATTTTTATAATGTTTTTCATAGTTTTTGAGATCATTTTAAACATTTTAAAAATTCACAAATTCGTCCTATTTTACCTTTTTCGTCCTATTTCATACATTTCTGACAAAAATCAAACGTTTTTGCAAATTTTCAAAAGCTTTTAAGAACTTGTTATATCCAAAAACCCATGTAAAGTGCTATAAAAATGAGTTGTATTTTTTTTATGGGACCGTACAGGCTTACTGGGAAAAATTAGTTTCCCCTCTGCTAACAGCCCAGTACAACCAACATTTCCGGCCGATTCTACTTATAAGTTAAGGATCTCCTGTGCGCTAAAAATAATTTTTCACCATATCCCCAATTTCCAAACCCAGATCCCAAATTTGGAAACATCATCCACCGAGACCTTTATGGTGTCGATGTTGTGGGGAGAGCAGCTGAAGACCATAAATGCCCCCAGGGCCCCACCATGGCCCCCCACCCATAAATTAAAGGGACTGGGCCAGTAAAAATGGCCGGTCGGTCACCAACCCGAGTCGGAGAATGCGGCCAGATGGTCCCGGCGACGGGTCGACGACATGCTCGGAGACGGTCCGAAAAGGACTCCTGGAAAAATAATTATAGAAAAATCAGAAATAACAGAGATATGAGAGTATATAGATTATATCTATAGTATCTAAAGACTACAATTCGAGAGTATATAGCTATTGCGCCAAGGCGGGAATCTGTTTGAACAGGCCGGAAAGGAAATCGAGAGGTTGATAAGGATGTGCCGAGGGCGGAAGGTGGGAACACTGATTGCCTGGTTGTAAATGGGGGCATTAAAGGGTTAATGATTTATATCGGCAGTCGCCGAGGGCAAACGCCGAATTGCATCAAGGAAATAGTGGTGTTCTTCTATTACATGCCTGGAAATCAGAAATAGCTAAGAAAAAATGAAAAGAATGGTATCGAAACTTTAAAATAAGAAAATACAGCATAGAAGCAGTAGAAAAAGTCTTCGACAAGTTCCTATTTTCACACAACAACGGGGTTGCAATGAATTTCGTAGTTTTCGGCATCACCCTGAATTTTAACAAAACGATAGCTCTATCTCAGACGTCGGAAATTCTACCAAAAAAAACCGCTAAACTATAATTTAATGTTTCACGCCAAGAAAAATATTTTTAAAGATTAAAAAATAACACGAATAAGGCTCAAATCTCTCGGAATCCAAGCAGATAAATCAGATTTTCATAAATAGATGCAGACACAAAGGGAACATGATTTATCCTTGAAAAAGCAGCAAAAATCACGTAACGCTCCGGTTTTTTCAGAAAAGTTACTTTTCAAAAAAAAACCCCATCCTCGCCACCGAAGCAAGGGAAATGTCGAGAAGGAGCGGTCAGAAAAGACGGTTGGCGGCTACCCCCGCGATGGGCTTGACCTTTTCAGGGAGGCTGGGAACTAGCGCTGTAGCGGGAGAATGGTCCGCCATGCCCCACTGACTTTCTGCTGGGAAAGTTGACTGTAGCGGATCGGGGAGCTGTGCGAGGTTTTAATACGATTTGGCGCTTGTAACCTCAAAATCTATTGTTAAAAATCGCTGTAAAAATATTATGAAAAATGTCAAAGAGCTAGTAATCCGGAAAATCATAAGTTTTTGAGATAAAAAATTGCTATTTTTTAGTCCACTTGAAACCTCCTGACGCTTGTCCTCTCAAAATATCGTATAAAATAGCTAGAAAAAGACGTTCAAAATGTCACAAGGCCAGTAATCCGGATAACACGAAGTGATTCGGCGCAAAAATAACTATTTTTTTAGTTCTAAAATACGTTCTGGTACGTTACATTACTAATTACGCTGGATTATCGCCGTTTTCTGTAAAAAAACACGTGCCAATCATGCAACATCTGCTGAAAAAATCAAGGGAATGCCGACAATCCTATCACCTTACGATCGAGCTCTCAACATTACTTGACGGCAATGGGAAAATGAACGGTCCTTATAACAACGGAAAATGATCATAATGGTATCGGCTTTAAACGACACTGCCAATACCATTTCTGATCATCGCCATAAGCAAAAACACCCAAAAGATATCAAAAAGCGAGCAAGACCGCAAAAAAGTGTACTATCTGTCGGGGAGGAGGATGATCCGGGCCGAGAACACTCCCCGGATTAGCCGGAGGAGCAGGAGCGCGAGCGTTGATGACCCCTCTCGATATGCGGCATCTCCAAAAATAAGAGATGAGCGCCGGGTGAGGGGAAGTGCCGACAGCCTGCTGCACATACACCCTCAATACGCCAAGCTCCGCCCCCACCCGCTCCAACCCCACCCCCCCACCCCCGCACCATGACGATGCCATCAACACCAATTAAGCGGAAATCACCCCCCCCGCAAAATCACGAATGCATTAGATGGATGAGGGCAATTAAGGGTGAATACTTGATAGGGGATAGGCCATCTGCGAGGGTTGCCGAATTTTTGTGAGTGCGCGAAGCTGGCGGAAAGGGCAAGATAAGCCTAACCTACGCCTAAGCTAAGTCTGGTTCCGAAATAAGCGAAGTTTAAGCATAAGCCAAGCTTACCTTTGTTTACCCCTTGAATAACGTATCTGACGTAAGTTCTAAATTGAGGAATATCATCGCTTACCTATCGATTTTCAAAGCGTAGCTCTAGCGTATTATTAAAGGGACGCGTAAGGGAGGGCTACGGATTTCATCGCTATGGATTCCCTGTAGACTTCGCCGTTCCGCGATACGCAACGCGTACGCCGCCTTCCATCCGCCAAGCACGTATTCAATCACATAACGAAACTATGTATGCAGGGGCGTAGCCAGAAAAAAAATTTCGGGGGGGGGCCCCCAAAAAATTTTTCCAAAAAACTCAAAACATTACCGAAAAAACAGCGCCGCAGGCAAAAAATTTTGAAAAAAAGGTTGCATAGCTCAACAAATAGCCGTAAAAACGCGAAAAAATGGCGCCGCAGGCAGCAAAATTTTTGAGAAAATAAAAATCATAAGGGTCCCCCCTTATGAAATTTTCGGGCCCCAGCGGATTTCGGGGGGGGGCCCCGGGCCCCCCGGGGCCTGTATTACGCTACGTCCCTGTATGTATGCATGGGTTACGTGTCGCGGCTAAATCCATGGCGAATCCAACGCCTTGAAAGCCCGTATGAACCTTGATGGTCTCTTTAGCGCTACGGTACAAGCTCAAACCAGGACTCCTGGTCTTCGCGATGTTTTCACGTATTTCTGCCCCCGAGGGGCGTTCAAAAATTGCGCTGACACCCATATTTCAGGGCAGAAAGCGACGGGTAATTGGTATCAGTTTTCAACCAGCAATAAACGCACCTCGGCTAGGCCTCATTGGTCACGTTATTACCTCTGCGCAAAGCTGATTTCCAGTGGTTGAGGGAAAAGGATGGCCCGGAGGGGTGGGCCAGATGAAGGGCGAGTGGGGTGGGGGTGGCGAGCACCCAGGGAACACCCAAAAGACACAGATACATCGTTTTTTGGACATTAGAGGGGCCAGGATGTGATGGTTATAATCTTTAGATAGTTTTTAGAACAAAGTGTACGGGAATAGGTGCATTTTTTAGCTTTGGTCCCGGCTCGTCTCGGATTGATGCCTCGAGTTTTGGCATAGTTGTAGGGGTGTAAAGTATCCCAAAACGTACCTTTCTGTCTGGAGAATCTCGAAATATTATACTAAACTAAAGATTAAAACAGCGGAGAAAACGTAGAAAATGGCTAGACATTTCACACTGAAAATACCGTAGTAGAAAAATTAGATCTGGTAGGCTGTACAATTTTTGGTACTGGACTGTTAGCGGGGGGGGGGCTAATTTTCCCAGTAATCCTGTACGGTCATATAACACAATATAAATAGTTTTTCTAGCATTTTACACAGTTTTCAGATATAACAATTAAATTAAGCTAAAAATTTTCGAATTTTCAAAAATGTGCAAAACTTCTTGTACTTTCTAGCAATCAAAAACTACGAAAAACGTTTAAAAATACATTGTTTATTATTAAAAGGCTGGTATAGACGAAAAAACATAGATTAGTCCCCCCGATAACAGCCCAGTACCCAGATTTTTTCCAAGGTTCGCTCAAATCACATAACTTTCGATTTTTCTTTTCGAAATAGAGTTATAATCTCAAAGTTAAGTTTTTCACCGAAGTATTGGTATATTCCCCTAGCCATAGGTTATGTTTACGAGCACCGATACCGCTACTCCACCTCCCCCCAACACGGCCACTTGTAATGTGCCTGGGGCAGAGTGTGTAGAGTACGGAAAGAAACAAAGCACGCAAGATCGTTTCCCCCATTCTGGCCGTCGGCGAGCCATAAAACCCGGAGGGGGCCGAGTCAGGAGATCGACGAACTGAAGGGGTTGAGGTGGGCGCACTGTTTGCCCGACGACTCTCCATGCAAATCAGGCTCGCCCGTTGGCCAACAATTTGCCCCGTCAACCCGCCGGGTTCCAAGGTCGAAAAACTCGACGAGCCGCCCCGGGAAGTTTATGGCTTTTGGAGGTTGGTTGCGTTGCAAAAGGCAGCAGGTTAAGCATTGGGATTTCTAACTTTTGCTGTTTAACCTGATTAAAATTTGGGTGCTGGACTGTTAGCAGGGGAGGGGATAGCAGAGTGGAAACTAAATTCCCGCGCCTTTTTATAGAATTTCGTGCAGTTTTTAGATTAGCTTTAGAGCGAAATTTTAGCTTTTTTTTGTAGATTTTCGACTTGTTGGTAGTATGACAAATGACCAAAAACATGAAAATTTTCTAATTTTCAAAAATCTCTAAAATCTTTTGTGTAAGTTTCTAGCAGTCAAAAACTGCAATAAAAACAAAATAAAAACATTATTTGTTATTAATTTATAGCAAAATAAAGCAAAAAAATTAGTTTCCTCCTACTAACCCCCCGCTAACAGTCAAGTACCAAAAATCTTTGGCCGGACGTGCGTGCGACCTCTTCAAATGAAATCCAGCGATCGGCGCGCAAAAACGCAAAAATTAATCGACTTGAGGACCCGCGGGGAGATGAGGTTGACCTCCGGGATAGGCACCGAATCCATCCCTCAACCCCTTCATTCTCCTTCAACCCATCCGAACGCAGGAATGGGGAGGAGGAGGAGCACGAGGGAGAGCACGAACACGGCGACGCGCACACTCCATCTTTCACACACCTGTCCACTTTGTCCGCCCCGGTGAATTCGGCGCGCGAGAGGACGATGGGACACGCTTCCCGTTACCCATTTATCACCACAGCCTCCACTTTTTTTACTGGTCCAGGGTCGAAAGATGGCTCTGGTTGGGGCGGGAGTTTTTGAAAAAAAAAGATCAGAAAGCGGATTTGGTCGCAAAAAATTAGTAGGCCTGCCAAATAATAAAAATTGGTACTGGACTGTTAGCGGGGGGGGGGGGGGAACTAATGTTTGTTTTTCCATCTATATATGCCTGTTAATAATAAATACCGTATTTTGATAAGGTTCTTCGTAGTTTTTGATTGCTTGAATGTTACAATGCACATCTTAAACATCTTTGACAATTCGAAAATTGTGACCTTTTTTGGTCATTTTTCATACCTTTTTGACCCAGGTAAAAACCGAAAATATTTATAGTTTTTTATGTTTTATGAACCCTTTGCATCTAAAAACTGTTTAAAAACTATAAAATTGGTCTATATTTTGTTATAGGACCGTAAAGAATTACTGGAAAAAATTCGTTCTCGATGCTAACAGTCGAGTACCCGAAAATTTGTTTGTTCCTTTTGGTGGAAGTGAAAAACGACGCTATGCGGAATCTCTAGAAAAACCTATCGCCCAAATCTGCACAATTTTGCGTTTTGATATAAAAAAACAGCGCGGAATTAGGCGCGTCGCGGTTCGTTTTCGCGTTGGCGCTTTGCCAAAATTATACGCAACCTTTCCAATTCCTTTAAAACCAGACTAAAAACGGATTCCACACGAATTCTCTTGAACCCTTTGCTTCTACAAGGCCATGTCGATCGTCAACCCCAAAAAAGCGTAGCTCAACCCGACCCAGCTGTGCCCACGGCGCTCCATACAAAAAGCGGGTTAGTCCCAAACCCCGTGCCGGCATAAATACGGGTGGCTCGGGATGGTACATGGCATCGCGTGCTTGCGTGCGTGCGCATGCTCGGATTCTCCGCCAAATTTTTACCCGCCGCCCGCGCGCGCGCGCAACGAGGCAAGAACGGAGACAATGAGGCCCGTGTAAGGAAGGGCAGCTGGGTCGTGAAGCCGAGGAATTTTTGGATGGTTAGGGAAATGGAGGGGAAACGGAATCGGCGTGAAATCTTCGCGGAGAAATGCGAAATTCCTGGGGATCTAGCAGAGATTTGATAACGCAAAAAGTATTTTAGAAATGAATTTCTACTAATACTAATTTCTACTTTCAAACTTCTAATTTCACAATTGTCAATGAAATGATCAACACGGTGTATAACGTATTCATTTTTCATACCAACCTTTTTTCTTTTTGATTTTCAGCGTTAAATTTCTACGCCTTTGGATTGCTTCTTTTAAGCCTCGTCTAAATTGCGTTTTTTTAACAAAACCCATAAAAAGAAAAACTGTAAAACACGATACCGCGCAAAACCGCACCATTTAGCGCGCCGCCCGCCCATAGGGAATCCGTACAGAAGTGCAGCGTGTGCTCTGTCAGTTGTCAGGGGTGAAGCCCGGGTGGTTGTCGAGAGAATTCATCAGGCCCTCCCTGGGGCCCTATCCATCTACCATCAGACCCCGAAGGGCCCCAGACACAGGCGGGGGCCCACCAAAGGCCCCGGGCCCTTGTCCCTAGTAACATTCGAAAAATACACGGCCTCAAAGTGGTTTTCACCCCCCAAGCTCCGGGTCGAGTGACAATTTTTGAACAAGAGGCCCCTGGGGGCATTGGGTTGGATTTTGCAACGTGCAATTTATTCTGACGGCTATAGAAGTCGAGTCTAACCGGAAAAGAAAGTGGCATGTTTCGAGAGGTTAGTAGCGTCTTTTGGAGGTTTTAGTGGTTAGTTGATTACCAAAAACTTCAACACCTTTAAAATATAAAAAAAATCTCGAAGGCTCAATATTTTTTTAAAGGGCGTATAAGCTATATGAATGGTGTTTATTCCATTAATGGAACCCGACCGGCTATAGCCCACCAAAGTTAGGCCTCCACGGAACGTCGAATAAAGTGACATTTATGCGGAGCGGTTGAAGCCCAAACTACTAAAACGACGTTAAAGCCATCGCCAACAACATGAAGCCTCCCAGCGAACGCACTAATCTATGCTGCGTAGAAAAAGAAAGAATTGAGGGCTGGGAAGGTGTGCCAGTTCCGAAAAGTCAGTAGACCCGCGCGGGCGGGCGCCCATCGGCTACACTAATCCACGCGGAATGGGCCCCCCGTGAAAGGGTGGTCGCCCTCCCCCATGGCCGAATTGAAAGTTGCGCGCTTATCGTGTCCAGGGATCAGAGACGACGGCTCTCCGGGGGGTCGTCGTGTCGCGCATCTTTATGGCCTATTACGCAATCATCCCACGATATGTGTGTGTGTGGACCATGGATGGCCCCCTGGACCACATCGCCCACCAGCCACTAATTTCAGATTTATGAGCCAGTCGAGCCACCCGTCCCATCTCGGCAGCAGGCGATTAACTCGAAACTGACCTCCAATTCCTGGGTAGATGTCGACAACTTCGCCGCGACAGGCCCTGACCGCCTGAAACCCCCACCCGCTGCAACCGGCGCATGCGGGAAAGTTTTATCACCTCGAAAACAATAACAATTAATTAAAAAAATTCAAATAACTAGAAAGTTAGTACCCGTGAAGGATTTTGAGCACGCTGGGAAAAATCATGCACCAGTAATAATATAAAAATAACCCGGATTCCCGATCCCTGAGCTCACAGAGCACATTCAAGAACATTGCCGTATGCTCAAACCACGTTGAGCCATAGAAACAACCCAGGTATTGTACATAGAAGGTGGTCTGTAAGAGAAACCCAGTTCATAGCTAGAAGAAACGAGAGATACCAACTGGTAGAGGGACAATGCGAAATTCCGATTCGAGCCCAATGCACTTGAGCGATAGAATGTGTGAAAAAGCAAAAATAATTACAATAAAATTTTGCCCCCGTAAAATACACCCGATCTTGAAAAATAGAGATTCACAAATATAGAATTTTCAGGAGAACACTTCTCCGATCAAAATAAGAGAAAACGTAAGGGGGGTGTGGCGCGGTGGACGGGGGATTAGGTGAATGCTGGGTAAAAAGCCCCGAAATATCTCTCCCCCATTCTGGACCAAAGCACATTCGTTTCGGGGTCCATTGTCTTAAAAACAACATATTCTGAAAGTACAAGCCGAACAGTGTCATGGGATTTTGCTATCATAGGCACACAATACAACGCCAATCGAGGGAGCAATCATATACACCAAACAAAACAAAAATGAAAGTAGTTTATTTTACAACAAAATGAAATCTTAATTCGCCGTTGCCGTGGGTGGGAGCCCGGAAGGTGATCAACTGGCGCTGAGATGCGTGGGCCGACGTAATGGAGTGAGTGATGGGCGTGGAGAAAGAAGGGAAAGGAACCTGGAATAGCGGGTTTAGTCAAGGAAAGGTTTTACTATTGTTTGGACCTAGTCCTATTCAAATCAAATATACGCTCAAATCCGCAGGTTTCTTATTTACATCTCCAAATTTTGTTGACAAAACAGCTAAACGCGCTTTTTTCAACTTTATATTTCTCTTTTCCGAATCTTCTGCGCTGAATAAAAAAAGACCCGTCAGATTTGATACGAATGCAAAATTTTTGGAGATTGTAATAAAAACTGGAGGCATCATCAAATCCTCAGATTCCAGGGTGGGTTCAATTCATTTAAATAATAGCTCTACGCTGACCAAATGCTCACCGGCACATGTTTAGCTCGACGACACAATCGATAGCACAAGAATCAATGACGACGGTAGTCCCTGCTGCGGCTACGCGAACGACGATAGCGCTTACGGTCACGAGACCTAAAGAACGTTATAGTTTAATTCAAAGCTGACATACCGGCTGCGCTCCCGACGATGCTTACGGCTGCTACCCTTTGTCTCTATGCCGGCGAGTGTATCCTGAAAAAAGATCTCTAAGTTTCACTAGTAAGCAATTACCTGAAGCGAAGTAACAAGCTGCTTGCAACGGTCGTCGTAGGAAACCTTTGAACTTTTGATGAGCGAAATTGCGGTGAGCAGCGTTTCGATGGCACCTTCAATGTCACCGCTCGAGGCGTCGGACACCTAGGAAAAAAGGTTCAAGCAGGCAAGATGATCTAACCGCTCTGCTGATGGCCGAGCTGGACACGGTCCGGTTTCTGCTCATAATCTCCTCAAACTCGGCATCATTCGTTGGGCCTTCTGAAAACGCACCTGAATCGATGCAATGTAAAAAATCGCCCCAACAACCGGGCGATGAAACAGCTTTTAAATCTCAAATACGAACCAGGACGCTGCATCATAGGATGTTGCTGCATTCCCATTTGCTGGTAGCCGGGGTAGACCTGCGGGTTGATGTGAGCTCCGGGCATGATTCCAGGCGGTCCATTGGAGGGTAAGCCGATCCGGACAGCGCCCAGGTTCTGCATCCCCATCTGGGCCATCGGTGGCATCTGGTTCATCTGACCCATTTGGCCCATTTGCGGCATTTGCTGCATTTGCATCATTCCTAAAAAAGTTATGTTGCTAAAGAGGTGAAAGTTCCGGTGAAACGTTAAAGCAGTCAAAAGAAAACCAAACCTGGTGGCTGCTGGTTGACCTGCATGCCGGGTGGGCGCATGTTTGGAATTAGAGGCGGCGGAGCGCTCATACCTAAAGTATACTTGTCAAAAGGAACCACAGTAAGAAACTAACCCGGCGGAGCTGTATTTGTCATCATTGGCGGCTGCATCTGCATGTTCATCTGGGGCATACTGGGCTGCTGCTGCTGGTAGTTGGTGTTCATCAGCGGACGAGGGGGCCCTTGCGGTGGAGGGGCGACTGCTAAAATTTTCGGCTCTGTACCGATAGCACGGGGCAATGACAACAGAACGGGGCATTGGCAACAGAACGGGGCAATGACAGCAGAACGGGGCAATGGCAGCAGAACGGGGCAATGGCAGCAGAACGGGGCAATGGCAGCAGAACGGGGCAATGGCAGCAGAACGGGGCATTGCCAAGTCCCCGCGGCCGGCGGCCAGCAGGACGGGGCATTGCATATTTTCTCAGAAAAACGTATTTTTATGGTCTCTCGCCTACTTTTTTCTCTGATTATATTTTTTGGATTCACAGAACTGTTTGTCAACCAGGCCGAACGTTTCTAACTAGGGAAGTCCAAAATACCCCGCAACACGGATCGGAATGAAAATTTGTACATTTATAGATGCGACCAGGCTGATAATCGCCTCGATTTCCGAATCTGCTACAGAGCCCGAAAATTTGAGATATTAAAGTTTTGGTGTCAGTTTTGGGACCCCGGAAAAGGGTTTGTCAGGATATCGAACTTTTTTCTCCATATTTTTCTAGTTATTTGAAGTAGCCTAACCGATAGTCTTTTTTTTCCTGATTTTTCTGATTGCATGGTATATTTCTTTAATACACGAAGGCCTTTGCGCTATCCTAAGCTGCTTGAAGTAGGCTGTTTTCTACCATTTCCATAGTAAAGTCGGAGTCCATACCAAGTATCGTCGATTTTTCTATAATCTATCATCAGGGAAAAAAGTAGGCGAGAGACCATCAAAATACGTTTTTCTGAGAAAATATGCAATGCCCCGTCCTGCTGGCCGCCGGCCGCGGGGACTTGGCAATGCCCCGTTCTGCTGCCATTGCCCCGTTCTGCTGCCATTGCCCCGTTCTGCTGTCATTGCCCCGTTCTGCTGTCAATGCCCCGTTCTGTTGCCAATGCCCCGTTCTGTTGCCAATGCCCCGTTCTGTTGCCATTGCCCCGTTCTGCTGTCATTGCCCCGTTCTGTTGCCAATGCCCCGTTCTGTTGTCAATGCCCCGTTCTGTTGTCATTGCCCCGTGCTATCGGTACTGAGCCAAATTTTCAAGAATATAAAACCGTTTTAAAACGCCATATATATCGTAATTTCCGCACCGAAAGCTCGCAAAAACCTACGCGGCCCGGTCACCAAAGACATCAATGGCTGAGGAGCTGGGACACCCGGAGGACGACCTCCCATCAAGGTAGGCAAAGCTAAATTATATTTGTGAAAGGCAATCAAAAGATAAACTGACTCAATTTGACCGTCGGCACAATATTGCCACCCATCGTGGGCCCTCGGTTCATCTGGTTCATGCTCGGGCCAATACGGATGGTCCCCAGGTTGAGAATTTCGCCGCCCTGCTAAAAACTCACATCGACAAACGTTTGATTTTACCCTGCGTTTGCCGTCGGACGACATAGTCTTCATAGAAGCCTCCTCAAGCCTGGCCAATGACTGCTTGGTGTAGGGAAGCACCTACCAAAACCCCGTAAAAGCAATAAAAATGCCGTCCCACCATCGGTTGCTGGTTGTGAATCGTACGTTTCGGAAGCCCTTCAGTCAGCTTGGTGACCGAATCTTCTGAGTGGAACACCATCAAAGCGTAGCCCTAAAAGCACTCAATTAGGGTATGCGAGCCAAAAGTACCTTGCTTGAGCCGTTTGTGCGGTTCTCAAAAAACTTCATATCAACGAGGTCGGGCTCCAAGTCCATCTCAACAATCGCCTGTCTGAGATCAGCGTCCGTGGTCCACCAGGTGATGTTGCCCACGTAGCAACAGTATTTGCGCTCTCCGCTCCTCTCTGATTTGCGAGTCATCGAGCCGTTTGTCGACGAAAGACTGCGGGTGGCGCTCGCCGAGACTTCTTCCTTCACGACGGGAGCGACAACAGGCTTTGCCGGTTCGACTTTGCCATTCTGCTCTTCGCCCAGGGCTTCGTCGAACAGGTCATCAGGCTCCTCTTTTCTGTAATGGATAAATGGTTGTATGTTCCTCTCTGTCTGTAAAACAGCTCCTCTCATGTAAAGCACAAAAGCCTTCAAAACAATAAAAACTCACAGATCAGCGAGCAACTCATTCTCATCGGCGGGCAGCTCAGCGGTACCGGTAAAAGAATCGAGAAGATCATCATCCGTTAGGTCGGTCATACTAAACAAACTGAGGTTATAATACAGAAGGTAATGAATGTAAGAATAAAGAAGTCTCAATCTTTGAAAGAATTGGCTAGCCGCAGCGCGCAGGGGTCGACGCAAATGCGGCGGGGAGCTGATGACATAGTGGGTTGAGGGCAGAGGGGGCAGGGCGCAAGGGTGTCGTGTGAAATCAAGGCTTCGGGAACGCCCAACAAGATGTTCCAGGCACCAATGAAACCGAAGATAGATGAAAAAGAACCAGTCCAGGTCATAAATCATTTGACACACAATTGCCATTTAGTCAGGTAGAAGTGGCAAACTACCGAGAGATTTCTTGCACAAAATATTCAAGATATGTTTATTTCGTCATACAGTATCAATGTGAACTCAAGAAAAGGTGACAAAGTGAAAATTAAAAGTAGCGCGGACTGTTCATCGGGAGGGGAGGTGTCAACGGGTCATTTCCTTCAAACAAATAGCGCTTGTAGTTTGTCGAAAAACCGGGTTCGATCTTCAGACTTGAGCAAGACGACTGTAAAAGATTTTTGTAAGCAAGAAAATCTGGCTTACTATTGTGATCAAAGTAATCTCGACGAATGTGGACCATCTTTTCGTCATGGCATTTGTCGTAGGCATTCCCGAGAATACTAAAATTGATGATTATGAAGGCCGAGCACACCATCACAAACTTTTTAAGATAGTGGTCCTGATAGTTCGAAGCTAACGGCATCGCTCCGGTAACCACATGCCATCCCTGCCGTTCACCGCCCAATTTGAAAGAAACGATGAGCGGCTTCTTCGTGCGGCTGCTCTAAAGGGAAATTTGACGGAAAATTTTAATACCATACCTTCGTGCCGACGAAAGCCTTTTGCAAAAAGATCAAAAAATTCGTCAAAAAGTGGCGGGATTCCAGCAAACTTTCGTCAATATCTCTGCAAGATTGCGATAAAAACCGAGTTGTTAATGCCAACCGCTGACAGATAAACAAAAAGTAGGGGCCCATTGGTCGCACTTCGGATTGAGTAAGGGCTTCCGTCAAACAAATATACATCTTCTCGAGAGTGACCTAAAATAACAGATATTGCATATTTTAAAGGAACGCACCTTATAAGCTTCGATGCCCTTTAAAAGATCGATTTGCTCGCCAGGTTTGACCATTCCTAAAAAGAACATTCTCGGGTATAATATGTAAAAGCTACCAGTAAGCAATTCCCTCGCAGTCGTAAAACGTTCGCTTAAACTGCTCCCAGGCCTTTTAGCTTCTAATCTAAATAAACACGTTCAGCTTTGTGATATCGCGGTTACTTCAAGGCCAATACACGAGAAATATCCGAGGCGAGCACCTTCATCGAGAAGCCGATGTGCGCGATGAAGGTTGAGAAACTAAAATATGGGGTCCATGCAGACAAAAAATACACACTTGTATTCCATTGCCTTCTCAATGGAGGCGACGATTTCCTTCCGACGATCAGTCTTTAGGGTCGAAAATTTCTGACGTGTTTCGGCTATTGAAATACTAAAAAGCGGCGTAATCGCTTTAACCTAGGCGCATACCTCATCTGAAGATACATAAATTTTGTGTCCGATTCACCCTTCTGGGTCCAGTTTTTTGTCCGGCACGCAAATGTCTCGTCAACACGAGCGGCCGAATGCAGGGACCAATGCGAATATAGGGGAATAGGTAACCTAAAACGCAAATAAATTAGCGTTTGGTAAGGACTAACTCTTTTTCAAAGCTAATCCGGAACAAGTCATCAGCGCGCTGCCCCGCAGCTGGGGAGAAACGGTGGATAAAGCGATACGAGCGGTCACAGCACAACTCCATGTAATGTTGTTTAGTAATCTAGAAATGCCATGAGCAAAATCGGTCCCATATACCAAGTGATCTGTCAGCAAACTGTTGATCGCCACAGCGGCATACCACCACAATTCGGAGGACGCCCTGCTGAGATCGAAAGCCAACTCGAACATTTGAAGCGCCGTCTGCAAAACTTTTTGCATCGAAGGGAAGAAACTGACCGGTGTGGAAACCCAACTAGATCCATAGTAGTCCCAAATAAGGGAGTCTTTCTTTTGTTCCCAGCGTCGACGTTCTTCCCGTTTTAATGCTCTTCGTTGTACCGCCTCCATCCGATCTAAAATAAAAAATAAAGCACCCACGAACGTAAAAAACCCTTCGCTCCAAGAAATTATTACCTTCGGACTCCTCGTCCTCATCTTCTGAGTCAGAATCCGGGCGATACAGGTCGGGATATTCCGGAATCCTAGACCAGTATTTAGATACAATCGAATAACAACTTTAGAGAATCGTAGACTTCTTTTGAGTCGGCCATCACGGTAACCTGACTCTCATTATAAATGTTTTCCAGGTCGAATGGTCGTCGGTTGTCGAAAATGAAGACCTTTGTCGTTTCGGGGATCTACAAGGACATGAAGTAGACAAAAATCGTGCACCACTCACATTTAATTCCGTAATATCACGATTTCCGCCACAGTTGATCATTACAATATAGGGACCTGGAAAAATTTCATAAAAGCGACGCTCTACTTTACTTGGCTCATGCTCGTTCAGGACCTTCGAGATGTCCTCCCAGCAGGCTACCGGTACAATGGAAAATGCTGCATCATCGCAACGTAACAAGTGCTAAAGAAAAATTAGAAAACTAAATCGGACGAACCGTCAAAATCACGGAAGCACATAAGCCGTCCACATCATCGCCCACTAACATAAGCACGTGCTACATCGATACTGATCGAAGAAACACAATGACGGACCTGATTCTTGATGATGTCATAGAAGCGGTGCCTGGTTCCATCTTTGATCAACATCGAACGCCGGTGGGTATTCCCGTCTTATAAAGTGCTGAATATAACTTCTCGGATTCAAAGGCTCAACATTCGCGCCAAGTACCACCAGCCCGTGCCATGAAAAGAGGGCAGCCCCCCTCTCCGCCAGAGCACATGAACCTTGCGATAAAAAGCAGTCCCCGAACAAGAAAGCCAACCGCTAACAATTTTTGAGAAGCTTTATTTTCCAAACAAAAAGTCAGCGAAGGAAAAGTCTATTATGCAAGAGAAACCCGTTAGACAGGTGACAATCACAAGTATTCAATGGGTGATTTTACTCTAAAACGTTGATTGGTCTTCGCATGTTCATTTGCTCTGGCCCTGGGCAGCAAGCTTCTTCTTCAGCGACTCGGGCATCTCGGCGGGCGGCGGGCGGGGGAGCCCAAGGATAACCTAAATCAGTATATGCTGGAAATTTTCCGGATCCTTACCTTCACGGTGTCGTAGATGAACCATTGCAGAGCCGTAAGCGTGCCGACCATGATAATCCTGGGGCCCAACCCCTTCCAGAGTCCGGCCCATCCGAGCTTCTTGATCAAAGAGCCGGCGGTGGCATTAGCGTCTTGGTTCAACTTGGAGACCAGGGTATCAGCCGGGTGAGAGACCACAGCGCAGAAGACTCCGGCAATATAGCCTAAAGTGTGATACACGAGAATCTAATATAAATTACCGGCCACGAAGGTGACTCCGAGCTGCTCGGTCTTGTTGCACTGGGCACGTGGCTTTGGCACGACGTATTGGTACAGCAACTCCACGGTGCGCTCGAAGCATGCGAACTTCATCATGGTGTACGGGATCTGACGCATCCAGAGCGGTGGCAGACCCTTGTAGAATCCAGAAAGTCCCTCCGTGCGATAGATCATCGGAGCGCAGCCACGGAGCGTCGGTGGGGCACCGGGCGAGGTCTGGATGCGGACCTTCGTCGCCTCCATGGGGGCCAGGAGGATATCGGCGAAGAACTCGGCCGAGGCCGAAGCGGCGAGGTAGAGCGTGGTACGCCACAGATAGGCATTTTCCTCGCCGATCATGTTGCCGTAGACGTTCTTGAAGAGCTCGTAGAATCCGAACTTTCCAAGGCCTTGCATCGAGTACCCGATGAGGGTAGGGGCCCATCCTTTGGCCAGCGCACGGAAACCCTCTTCTTTCACGGTGACGCGGAAGCCAGTGCCGATGCTTTTGTACTTCTCAGAGTTGACCTAAAAGAAAGAATAACTGGCTCTGGAAAGTCTGAAACCTGGATGCGGCATTTGACCAAATCAAGGGGCACGATGAAGGTGTGGGTAAGTCCGCACGAGGCAGCTCCACCGACCGCGCAATAGGCGTAGAAAAGAGGGCTGCCAAACTCGACTTCATTCTTACCTAAACCAAATTCAGGGAAACCGGTCAGAACTTGCCAGAAGCGCCAGAGGAGCACTCGGCTTTCTTGAATCCCGGAAGGCTGAATGCGTTTTGCTTGGAACTCTCGGTGAGCTGGCTGATGATGCCCATCGTTGGTTCCTAAACGTCAAGATACCGTGAGAGCACAAAAAGCCCAACCGTGTTGTCGGAGAAAACCGAAATAATGAAAATTATCAGCAAAAAAAATCAGGGGAAACAATTGCAGGAACACGGATCCATGCAAATTACCCAAAAAAAAAGAAGAATCGAGGCAGACTGAAAGAATCCGGTGCCAGCGTTCCATACAAAGCCTCTAGACGCTCAACTGTCACTACGGAATGAACCGTAGGCTTTCAATTAAAATAAAATTGTATTTTAATCGAAATTGTACAATTCGTTTTTGCTGATAAGCTTCCGCATCTTCAAAAATGCCTCTTCTTACCGCTATTTGGATAAGTCCGTGTGTTTTGGTAGATATATTTTTGTCCTTATTGACCGAGGGCGATCGCTGCGTCCGTGTATAAAAATGGTATAAAATTTCACGTGCTGCTATCAGTTGATGGATCTTGCATTTATTCACTAGAAATTCATCGAAACGAGATGAATCTATTTTCGCCGGGCCGTTTGAAACCGTTTGAAAGGTCAAAATCACAAAGTAAAAATTGACAATGATCGAATTATCCTGAATTCGAAAATTACTATTTGGGAATTCTAATCTATTGCTGTCCCTGAGCGGCAAGCTTCTTCTTGAGGGATTCGGGCATCTCGGCGGGAGGGGGTCGGGGCAGGCCAAGGACGACCTAAATTAAAATGTAAGATTTGTAGGATAGAGACGAGGCAATAAAGTAAAGGACCAACCTTAACAGTATCGTAGATGAACCACTGAAGAGCGGTAAGAGTTCCAATCATGATGATCCTAGGCGTCAATCCCTTCCAGAGTCCAGCGAATCCGAGCTTCTTGATAATGGATCCAGCCGTGGCCGAAGCGTCCTGGTTCAGTTTGGAAACGATAGTGTCAGCTGGGTGAGAGACAATGGCGCAGAAGACTCCAGCAATGTATCCTAAACATTCGTTAGCTAATCCTCAAGCATAAAGCTTACCAGCAACGAAGGTGACTCCGAGCTGCTCAGTCTTGTTGCACTCAGCACGGGGCTTGGGCACGACGTACTTGTAGAGCATCTCGACGGTTCGTTCGAAGCAGGCGAACTTCATCATGGTGTACGGGATCTGACGCATCCAGAGTGGGGGCAGACCCTTGTAGAAGCCGGAAAGGCCCTCGGCACGGTAGATCATCGGAGCGCAGCCACGGAGTGTTGGTGGGGCACCGGGCGAGGTCTGGATACGGACCTTCGTCGCCTCCATGGGGGCCAGGAGGATGTCGGCGAAGAACTCGGCCGAGGCAGAGGCGGCCAAGTAGAGCGAGGTGCGGTAAAGATACGCGTTCTCCTCGCCGATCATGTCAGCGTAGACGTTCTTGAAGACCTCATAGAATCCGAACTTTCCGAGTCCTTGAAGGGAATATCCGATCAAGGTCGGGGCCCATCCTTTCGCGAGGGCGCGCACTCCCTCTTCAGCAACGGTCACACGGAAGCCGGTACCGATGCTCTTGTACTTCTCGGAGTTGACCTAAAATAACGTCACGGGAAAGAAGATAGAAGTTTACCTGGATACGGCATTTAACCAGATCGAGGGGGACGATAGCCGTGTGGGTAATACCGCACGAGGCGGCTCCACCGATGGCGCAGTAGGTGTAGAAGAGCGGGCTGCCGAACTCGACTTCCTTCTTGCCTGAACGAGAACGTTAAACAGCACACCGAAAAACTAGTTACCAGATGGAGATCCGGACGAGCAGTCAGCCTTCTTGAAGCCGGGAAGGCTGAAAGCGTTTTGCTTGGAGCTCTCGGAAAGTTGGCTGAAGACGCCCATTGTGTTACCCTAGAAAAAATGGATTGGATATTAGTGAAGGACGGAGAACCGCGTGAAAAAAAAAGAAAAATGAGACACCAAAAAACCGTGAAGCAGATGAGCGCGACCCAAGGTCAGCTTTTAGCATGCAAAGTTACGCACGTTCTCGTAACGTAGCGTAACGTAACTAAGCAACCGCTTTTCAAAAAACAACTTGATTTTTAAAAGTTCTAAACTCATTTTTAAAGTTTCTAGACTCAAAACATAGTGCAAAAGGATCGTAAAATTCAGAACAAACGATCAAAGCATAGCCTCCGGTTTCAGCCAGCCATTTTTTGACGCCATGTTAGCTCACTGGGCGATCCACCGTAAAGTGGCGCCCATTCCCCGACGGCCCATCCCCTGCACATCGCGTCGGCTGGCAAGGGCCCAGGCCTCAAACTACGACATTTCCCGCAGACCTTTTCCTTGTTACCAGCCGCAAATTTTCCCCTTCTCCGCTGCTTACTTTCATTTTCCACTAGTTTCTATCTTCTACGTAATATAACTTTATTTACAGGAGACCCGACTTTTGGCCGGTCACCGAAGACGGGGGAAATTTTAAAAATGAGCGTCGATGATGATTTAAGAAAGGTAAAATTTCAAGCTTGGCGTGTATTCCATATTTTTAGGCTTTCCAAGAACTCCAGGTCATGATGGCGGACGCCAAACAGAAAATCACAGAAGGCGAGCTACTTAGCAAGCGATACTCTGCGGTAAGCTTATGCCTTTTGCCGTTTATAATTATTTTTTTAGAAAAGCCGCATGGCCGAGTTGACGGTCGAGCAGCTTGGGAAATTTCCCGCAAATACGCCAGCCTACCAAACGATGGGCCGGATGTTTGTGTTGACGAATATTGCTGACGAGATGACACGCCACAAAGAGGAATCTAAGGAGCATAAGGTCTTTTTTTAATGTATCAAATCTTTACTTTGGTTTTAGGAAAAAATCGTCGGCCTTGTTCGGCAAAAGGAATACCTGCAGAAAAACGTTGAAGATAGTGAACGGAATTTGAGGTTGGTAGAAGCCTGTCGTTGCAACGATATGTTTTTAGAGAAATGGTGCAATCAAGACGCCACTGAGCCACTGCCTGATCTCCTTTTGGAGCGCCTTCGCCCCCAAGCCGCCTTTCATTTTGCGCTGCCGCAGGGCTTGATCAGTATTCAACATGTTTTATCAAGGTGAATTATATGTGAAAGATAAAAGTCCGTCTATCCAGCGCGTAACAACCATAAAAGAACACAATAAAATGGGGGGCAGGTGGCTTTGAGGGCGTTGTAGATCTTTTCGCTTTGAGTAATTTCTCTTTATTCTCTCATCTCTTTTCTGTCGTTATTTTAAGGTGTAGGAACAGTGGTATAATTTGAAATTTATTTTTGAAAAGGATCAGCATATTTATAAGTATAGACTAATCCTCTTTTCCTGCTCGAGTGATCGGTGGCGTAGATACAGGGCTGACGAGACCAGGGACAATACGAAAGAGACCAGTAATATTGCTGCAGACGCTGCCGTGTAGTAGTAGGCCCATCCGTAGTGGTACTAAAACCTTAGGTTGATCAGTTTCGTGTTTTGGAACAATTCATAGTGAATAGACATAGATTGTTGTGAACTCACCAGATACAGCTGTCCGTTTGTGGACTCCATCTGGTTTTCCTTGAGTTCGTTGTGATATGTGTAAACTATGTAGGCTGAGGTCGAAGAAAAAGCTGGAAAGCTAGTTTGCTTTTATGTACTGAAAAAGACAGACCTGCGATGAGCACGACAAGGGAATGGGCAGCAGCACAGAGGGGCGAATAAAGTGTGCAGATCGCAAAGCCGACTGCCATAAAAGAGGATAAGACTGCCAGCGCGAGCAGTATCAACGTGCAAAGCTCGAAATCTAAAAATTCTTGTTGGTTTTTCTTGCTGCTTGTGAGCTCACCAGAATAGAATTGGCGATAATCAACGGGAACGTGTTTCGGCGCTCTTCGCCGCAGATGGCATGCGTATCCAAATTCATGCGCGTGTAGATCTAAAAAGGAAAATGCCTAGATCGTCGTGCCTGCGGCGAAACTCACCCATGCCCCCACTATATGGGTAATCACTGTTCGGCTCGTAGCAAAATCGGAACAGCCCAAAAAATTTAGTCCCTCGTGACTCGTCGTTTTGGACGTAGCGGAAGGATACCTTGAAATAAATAGATTGGCGCCCAGTTTTGAATACCTACCGAAAAAATACACGCTGTGATGATGGAGGCGGCTATCAATGCGCCGGCGGAGGAGATGCTGATCAACGGGCAGGCGAAGCAGTGCATGTCACGGCGGCTTGTTGACGGGCCCGGCGACCGGGACATGTTCGATTCAGTGGCCTAAATCCGGTGGTTGAAGCGCGTGAAAATTCAAGGCGTTTTTTGTAGAATAAGATTGCATTTTAACGATAGATTAAAAAATTCAACCCTGTGTTCATCTTCAAAACTACGGCCAAATCTAGGAAACGCCATGCAATCCAAGGATTTAGGCTTTAGACCACTGCTAGACACCAAAAAATTAGCTCGAATCGATGGGCCCAGCTGTCAGCGGGTGAAAATTGAGCCCGAATGTGGCGATTTGTTGTAGGGCCAGGTAACCGATGCCTGGGAAAACGACGAAAAAAACAGAAATCCCCCAATGAGCAGGGTTGAAAGGTAAGAGCACCCTGCCTGGGACGTGTGCACACGCGGGGCCACCACAGGGGAGAAGCCGGCCAAATCCTTAGAGAGTCGTGTTTCTGCTTCTTTACACACAGGTGTTGCCCATGATCTGCGCCTGTCGGGGGGCCCCCGGCTGGGGGGAAAGCTATTTATTATCGGTGACGGATCCGGGTTGCGGGCTTTATTGCGTTCGCCTCGAGGCCGAGCGCACTTGCAGGGAAAAGGGGATGGGTAGACAGGATGATGTCTGTCATAAGGGGTGAAACTTATTAGGAGCCTTTGTAGGTGATATTGGACGTTTGCGATGTGACTCCGCTTATTCGATAGAGCTTACAATTCTAAAAAAAATTCTTCTTGCAAAAAAAAGGCTAAACGAGACCACCGAGAAATTTAGTCTGGTACTGGATTGTTAGCGGGGGGGTTAGCAGGGGAAAAACTAATTTTTGTCTTTCCGCCGATGCATTCTGATTGAAAGAAACTTACAGAAAGTTAGAATTTTTAAAATTTATCAAATTTGAAAATTTTGGATTTTGGCGTGTTTTGGTCATTTTTCAATTTTTTTGATCATTCAGCGAAAAGTTATCGAACAGTTTTATAATTATTTATGAGTTCTCTATACCGAAAAAGTGTAGAAAATACGATAAAAATTATTTATATTTCGTTATAGGCCCGTACGAGATTACTTGAAAAAATTTGTTCCCGCCTGCTAGAATCCGCCCGCTAGTAGGCCAGTACCTTTATTTTAAAAAGAGAGAAACATAATGGTAAATAAATTACGCGAAGCTCATGCCTGGAATTTTAGAAAGGTTTTTGAATTTTGAATGATTTAAAGGGAATCGCACTAGAGGCCAAGGTCAAACCAAATTGTCTAGATTCAAGCTAAAGATAGACCCGTCTAGATAACGACTGTTAGCATGGTCAGTCGCTCGGCCGGGTTAGAGGTCTTATGACCGTTATTCACCCGGAGGTTGGTGTGCGTGATTCATAAGCTGCAAGGCACCATTCGTGGCACCCCATCGGGAATAGGGGGGCCCTACAACGACGATGTGCCGTAGAGTAGGGCGGCTCGCACAAATAAACATCCCCTTTAGGCACACGTGCCCCGTAAAGCCCGCACCCCCACAACCGACCGCCCGAATATATGTCGCAAATTTTGCCGATGGGGGTCTTGCTGACGTGGTGGACTTTTTGTTTAGAGAAAAAGGGAGAAGGAGGAATTCTTAGATCCACGTTTCTTCTACTAGCGATCAATGAAGGGAAAAACGACGTCTTCTCAGTTCTGGACTGTTAGCGGGCGAGGGGGAGGCAAACCTAGCTAGGAAAATGTCTAGCGTTTAAACTGTTTTTATAGCGCGTTTTTGCAGTTTTTGATAGCAGTTTAAAAAGTCGTAAAAGAGTAAAAATATTTAAGAAATGTCCGATTTTTGACCAATCAAAAACTTTCGCAATTTTCATTACTTTTATGAACTTTATGTACTTGCAATAACTTTCAAACGCTACATAGATGGTATATATTCATTATTGGGACGAGCGGAGCCAAAAGCTAAAATCAAACCCCCCCCCCCCCACTGACAATCCAGAACCGAGTTTTCATCATTAAATCTTTAAAATTTATAATTTACAATTTACATGATAATTTACATCATTATAATTTACAATTTACAGGCTAAATTTAAATCTCATAGCAACCCAGCAAGTCACAGAAATGAAGATCATAGATTTTGATCTACTCCTACTAACTGGTCAGTCCAAATCAACCCAACCCCACTTCTTCGTTTAGTATTTTTACTCGTGAAATGTTTGGTGGCTTCAAAGGATTCCTGAAAAAGGCTAAGAAGGGTAGGCGATCCCCTGTCCTTCAAAACTCTTTAATTCAGCTTTTACCCGTAACAAGGACGACAATGAGGATGAGGAAGAGGTGAGGCCTCCCACGAACCCTCCCACCACTGCCACCAGCCCCAAGCCACCCTCCGATTCGGGTTCATCACTTTCGAGACATATATTTTGTTTCCCAGGTTCTGGTAGCAACTCCAAGTCCGGCAGCTCGGGTAAGCGCTTGAGAAAGAGAAAGCAGAAAAGTGGATAGTCTGAGGTAATTTGGTTAAATTCTCCTTTATTAGAGACGACGTCATTGTCCGACCGCAGCCCGCCCTCCAAGCGAGACGAGAAGAAGAAAAAGAAAAATGTGTTCAAGCGCATTTTTTCAAAGAGTGGGCGGCCACCAATGTTTGGGAATGTTTTTCAGGCAAGAAGACGATTTCGAAGAGCTCGGGGAAGGTGATTGAGGGTAAGGCTACTGATTTCTGGACTTCTAATGTTTTTTTCTAGTGACGAAAGCGAGCAGCCGAACCGCCGCGGTCGCGACGAAGGCCACGTTGGGCGCGGTGAAGGATGGCGGCGTGGTGGCTGGCGACGCCATCGTTTCCGGCTCTAAAGCCACCGCTTCTGAAGCGGCAACGATTGCGAAATGTGCCAAGAATCGTGTGAAGAATGGTGCATAGTTATTTAATAGTTATTTTGGTACTGTAGTGTTAGTGGGTGGATTTTTCCGGTAATTCCATACGCCCAATAATGACCAAAAACAATTTGTAGTTTTCATATAAAAAGGTTCTTATAAAAATTTACGAATTTGGAAATGTAAAAATATTTTTCCACTACCATTATTTTAGTTTTTTTTAATATGCCTTTCACCGATACCATTTCAGATATCGTCAAGCGCAAGGGTCACGTGAAAGATGTCTTCAAAAGTTGGTGATCTTCCACTTTAACTTACCACTTTTTAGAACGTACCTTCCTCCGAAAACTGCGCAAGCGCCTCATCCCCGAAAAGGCGACCAAGGATACGGGCGGTCTGGTTGAGAGGCAAACTTCAGACGAAATTCATGAATTCTTCGTTTTAGATATACGGTCGCCAACCTCAGCTACTTTAAAAAGCTCGGCCCGTCCAACTTTTGCATCAATCAGGTGATACTCAGGTCTTCTGGATCCACCGGATACCTTTTTAGATCCACGCCCCAGTCGCTTCGGTGAACGTGCTGATGCTGCTGTTTGGGTTCGGAGACGACGGGCTGCGGAAGAACATCCATCGCATCATTACGCTGAACAAGAATGATTTCACAGGCATGCACCTACTTGCGCATAGTTCAGTTTTGGCATTTCAGAAGTGAGCGAAGCGCTGGCCGAACTCGCCTCGTTGCATGCGGCGGAAAATGTGGCGCTGGTCTGCCTGTGCTTCTACTTCCTCGGTGAACAGCATCGTCCGTTTCCGACGAAGCAGCTCGCCAAGACGCGCGCTCAAATTGGGGAGGCCGTGCGTTTTTCTTAATACGTAACGTGACGGGAGGGGCCGAAAAATGGAGTTCTAGCTACAATAACTTTTTGAGCCTTTGAGTTAGCTTAATTGATAACTTTGAATCGACAACCTGCTAGCAGGCGATCTTATCGCGCCGCCATTTACAGGCCGTGCAAAGCGTGCAGCCGAAGGACTATGGCCGTTGGGTGGACAAGCACACGAAACATCAAATGGCCACCAGCGACGAGCTCGACGCGGAGGGAAGCCGGATTATCGTGGCTGCTGGGCTGAGGGCTGCGTGGAGTGACGCCGATGTAGATATCGGACGTATCCAATATATGCTGTTTTTATAGGCCCTTGAAATCCTCGACGCCGCATTCCTCGTATGCCCGAACCGAGCCGAGCATCACCCGTTTTTCGGGCTACGCGTCGACCTGGCTAGCTATCGGACCGAGCGATTCGAGGTCATTTTTTAAGAGGAGTGGTTTTTTGGTGGTAATAGTTTTTTTACGACGTTACATAGCTAATTCGATAAAATTTGAAATTGTAAAAATTTTTCTGCTGTTAAAACGTTAAAAACGGGGTTCTCAAATTGCATATTTTAGGTCGCCAGGCGCAAAATCGCAAAATGCGCAAAAATCGTCCTTGCCGAGCGAATTCCAAAACCTAAAACTTAAACTTCTCAGAAAACCAGTGAGTGACCTCATCAAATCACAAGAAAAATTCTGTCCTAAAAACGCCTTCCTTTGTCAGTGATAAAATAGCGCACTCGTTTTCCAGGCCTGGTCGATTCCGCTGGACGTCGAAAACTGCCCGGCCGAAACTGAAGTGTCCTTTGTCGTCTTGCGCCCAACTTTTGTGACTGGTTAGTTGGAAAATGATCTTTCACGATCCTTTTGTTAGACATTGTGAACTTGGCGAACAAATTGACGGGCATCGAATTGGAGACGGCGCTCGACAAGTTGGCCAGCGCAAAAGTATACATTTTTCTACTGGCTTGATTTATCCATTTTCAGCGCGCCAAACAATCCGTGCTGCTGCCCCGTTTCCAGGTGAAAAACCAGCAAGACTTGCTGGCGCACTGGCAGAAGCGGCTGGTGGTCACGGTAGTGTGCATATGATTTAGAGATGGTCAGAGATTTCAGGATGAGCACGTAGACCTGCTGGCCCCGTTACAAGGTGTCGAACACTGGGCCACGCTGGGCATCCAGCGCGATGGCGTCACCTTTGGGGATGGGCCTGGGGTGGAGGTAGTCTTTTTGGAATTGGCCCCAATCTAAAAATTCAAATCCAGGAGCTTCCAGCCGGAAAGAAGCTGCAGCGCGACGTCCGCTCCCTGTTCACGCGCCATCGCAGCTACAATCTGCGCCTCGACAGCCCGTTCCTATTTTTTGTCGTCGTTCAAGGTAAAACTATCCCCAAAAGCGATTTCCTAAAGCCTAAATTTTCCAGTGCCCAACTCTGCGCCCACGCCGCTTCTCGCTGGGGCCTACGGCGGCGTACGCGCGGCTTCAGCGCTCGAGCTGAATCGCCCGGCGCCCACCACCTACCGGAAGGCCCGTCTGAGGCGCCCGAATGAGAGACGGTGCTGTAAGTGGCCTACGATTTGTACTAAACGCTTCCCCTTCTCAAGCTTTCGCTTATAATTACGAGGACCGGGTTTTTTCAGTAATCGGATCCCCTTCCGCGAAGCGATGAGCATATCGATGATGGCCGTCCCGAATATATTTACAAAGTGGGGAATTTTTGGGAGGGTTATGGATCGAATTTGGGCAAAAAGTTTGATATCATGAGAAAATGCAATTTTCAGCCTCTACCTCTCATGCACGTCCCTCATCGCACTTGCACTAAACTTTACAACTGGTAAGTAGAGTCCAAAAAATAAAGATTCCTCAAAATACGTTTGCAGACCCAACAACTGACTCGCCATCACCAACGTCATCTACCACCACCTTTCCAGCCACGCCATCCGCTTCCGAAGACCTATCAGCAGCTATTTTTGATGATTAACTTAATGTGTGTGTGGTGAATAAAGTAGATTGACATAAATTATTATTGCGCACACTCGTCGACACAGAAAACATGCGAAATACAAGGAATCCAAAAATGGAATATCACAGTCTAGGCGCAGAATGGAATAGGGAGATTACACTACTTTCAAGGGACTGGGAATGTATGAAAAATATTTTTCCCGGCCCCGTCAAAGTGTACTATTTTCACGAAATTGGGCAGCGGCGAAACAATGCAAAGAGTAAGGCCTCGTAGTGCAACAAACGCAAATAATATGATCGTAGAAAGATCGGGGCAAATCTGTTTTTGTTCCAAGGGGGTACTGTTTTGAGATATGGCTTGAGATCGGAAAATGGATGGATCGAGGGTGACTGGGGAAAGTGCAAAAATTTCATTGGGCTACAGATGACTGTCGTACCTAAAATGTGGGCCGATCCGACCGGAAGAAGTCGGCCAGCGACCGCGAAACTGAAGACTGCCACAGCAGCAACCGCTCAACCCATTCGATGTGCCGTGACATCACCACGCCCCAATTTGGCACGAGGGCACGGACCTGGAAAAAGGAATAAAGAAAATAGACATTATTTCCAACCTGTCGCAACTCCTCGTGCGTTCTGACCGAGTGCAAAAGCACCGTCGAGGCGGGCCTTGGCTCGCTGAGGTTCGCCGAGAATAGGGTTGAACGCTCCATGACCGAAAGTTCGGCTGAAACGTTTTTTTTTCGATTTTTTCGCTCTGTATTTCAGTCCGTTTTTAAATCAATAGATTTCTATCGCCTTCGACAATCGAACTTACCCATTGTCGTCCAGAAAGCGCTGCGGAACAGCCGATTGTAGTGCAACGAAAAATCGGAGTGCAGCGCCGAGGCGAAGACGGCGGCGTTGCGGGTAGATACAACACGCGATGCCGCCTCGGTGGTGAGCTGCGCATCGTTGGCGCACGCGCCTAGCTGCACACCAACCGACCAGCCCTCGCCGCCGAGTTGACCCCACACAAGGGAGAGCTGCATTTTTTGATTGGCTAGTTTTTAAAGCTTTGCCTTGTTTTGATAGTACACGTTAGTATGTAAAGGCGACGAAAAGCCAACCTCCTGCTTCGTCGGTTTGCCTGCCAGTGAATGACAGAGGGCGGTGGATTGGCGATGAACATCCTCTCCGGGAGTCCCGCCACTGGCCACCCATTGAGATGTCTACAGACTTTATGCATCAGTATTTGAATTCTACCTGCTTCTCCTGCTCGCACGTACTGGTATTTGTGGCGCAGCGCAGTTGGTAGAGTTTTGAGAGCCTGAAAGTAAGTTGTAAGTAGTTTGTGAGCTGGAATTCGGCTACCTGGTGGGCTCGACAAGCCAGAGCGCCGCCAGCTCGGGCTGATGTTGAGATTCGCTAAGGAGGCGGTCAAGCCGGGAGACGACGGGAGCAAAGTATGAGAGTAGAGCTGGTGAAATTGAGCTGCCTAAAAACCGAATGATGACCTAAATCTTGACATACCCCGAAATGAATCAGCCAGCCTGTAAACCGCATCGAGCCCAAGTAGAGCGACGCCAAGGTCCTTTTCCTCGCTGAGATACCTGTAGAAATTCAGGTTTTCAGCGGTGATACAAAAATGACATTCTTCTAGGGTAGTTAGCGAGTTTAATAAACCCAGTAAACTGTTACTGCTTTGCCAGGGCGAGCAAACGAATTTCGGTAACAGACCGGAATTTCAAACCCTACCCGAGAATATATATGTACAGGTGCGGAACATCGGAATGGGCGAGGTACATCTCCGAGTCGGTGAGTATCTGCATTCGCGTCGCCACCGGCAGTGTCTCCGGCGATCGGTGGAGCTGACAAAAGGCGATAACGAATCAAGACACTCGCCTTACCAATCTGGCGATGAGCTTCCAATTCTGGCGATCATAATTGACGCGATAAAGGAATTTCCAGTCGGGGTTGGCGATCAGCGGCTGCGAGGGGGACAATTCGACATCGGCAAAAGAAAGTGAGCGCTCGGTTAGCCAGAATTCGCGTACGACCTGAAGACTTAGCGGTGTTTTTTGAGAAGAGACAAACTTGGCCTTCCGTGCTTTTCATCGTCCCAAACATGTAGCTGAACGGGATTGACCAAATGTCAGAGGATGCCTGAAGCAAATAAAAAAATCATGAATATTTTTAGCTCTCAAAAACCTTTCTACTCGGCCGTCGCTGCTCGCCACCCTTGTGGGAGGTTCCATTCTTTTCCTAAAAATAAATTTTCCTATTTTTTTGCCCGAAAACTACCCTATGCCGTTGCTTGGCTTTCTTTCCATTACGATCCCGATTGCGTGGTCGCTTGGTTGTTCGGCCAATTTCCCCGCTCCTAGGGATTTTATTTACCTGTTTTTGCAACCTACTCTTTTGTATCTCTGGATTCACGACTTTGAGCGGCAAATGCTTCCTAAAACGTGGTAAATTGGTAAAAAGATAATACGTACGTCATGTGTCGGAGTTCCGTCATTGAGGAAAGCCGCGTAGCGATGGCCGGAAGCGCGGCGTTGCCATACTCGGATTAGGCCCGAGTCGTAGGATCGACTGGAAAATGTGAAATGTCACAATGGACGAAACAAACCTGACGACAACTTCCGGTATTCCCGGGTTGACAAGCCATGGCTCGAGCACATCAGCCAGTGCCTGTGGCTCAGCGCCGTGTGTGGCGCCCCAGGGTAAGACCGAGAAAAGGCCGACACGGTCTGCCGATGAGAATCCGAATTTGTCGACGTATCTGAAAACCAGTTTCGGCAATTAATTCTCACCTACCTTTTCAACCCCGTCCTGAAATCAAAATCCGACACGAGATTCGTGATCATCCGCAGCACCACGGCTCCTTTGGTGTAGAGATGAGACGAATGGAAGGCTCGCTCGACTTGCTTTTCCGTCCCCAAGACGCGCACCAATGCCGGTGCATTTGAGAGGCTCTAAAATGTACGCAATTTTGTTTTAGTGCCGGGCGAACCTGCAGTCGCGACATCTCCGCCAGCCTGGAATGTGCGTCAAATTGCGAGAGCTGGGGCCGAGTCTCGGCAAGCAGCTCTTCCACGACGTGACACGTCAACCCTTCGGCCAGCCACAACTCATCCCAGCTTCTCACCGACACCAGGTCGCCGAACCTAACAAAAAAAATAGGTTTCATCTTGGCCCCCAAACCATTGGTGCGCGATCTCATGCGCGACAATCTTTTCGATGCGGTATTCGTGGAAGAGGCGATCGACCGTCATGTTAGCGCTTGCTAAAATAAAATGAAAAAGAAGAAAATGAAAAGCATACCGTGTATATCACTGGGAGTCAACAGTGCAGCAGAATCCACGATAATCAAGCCCCAATTCTCGATTCCTCCCACCGGGAAAGCCCGTGCGGAGACGATGTCAAGCTTCGGAAGTGGGTACGGGATCTGGAAATAGAGACGACAATCCTTTAACCCAAAAATGGATACCTGTAAGTCGTTTTCGATCTTGTCGAGCAGCCCGGGCGCAAGCTGGGAAGCCGTCGTGCCGTCCGCCGCATCATTTCTGCTCACCCAAACCTTCACGGGGATCCCTGAACTGCTCCTTCCATCCAGCCCGATCCAATCACCTAAAAACGCATAAATCTGCTAATTTTCAGCAATTTACCGACGGCAAATCCGAGAAGAAACGCGCTGATTAGGGGCGTCTTTTCGAAACGCGATATTTTTGCCTGAAATTGAGATTTCCGAACGAAAATAAAAAATAGTATAAAGTTTTTGGTGATAATTTACCCGAAAAACCGGCTTCCCGTTCAGCCCAATGCTCGCGGGCATCTTCTCCCGCGCCGGCATGTTCGACAGGGCCACGAGGAATTCGGGGTGGATAACTGGAAAAATTATAGATTCTTAGATCAGAACAAACCAGATAGATTAAACGTGGCTTTGATGTGCGGCTCGTCCCAGCACGGAAAAACATTCCTCGCTAAAGTCGGCTCAAATTTCGTCGTCAACGATTCCAGCAGGGAGGTACCGTTTTGCTAAACATTTTCTTAATCGAAATAATTCAAGCGATTACATAGTTGACAACCGAGCAAACGATCCCGTCATCCGAGCACAGTGGCGCGCTGTATTCCATGTGTAGCATGTAGCTAAACTCATTAATTAACTTGTCAAGTTTTTGCTTACCTGGCGATAGGCAGCGGTTTAGCGAGCTTCAACTTTGTGACCTTGTGGTGGTTCTCTTTTTCGACAGAGCTGATTGTCACTTGACGCCCTAAATTTAAAATCTAGGGTTACTGAAACTGCTAACCGTTACTAGCGATCAGGCGTACACGATGAAAGTGCATTTTTCTCCCGGTATGTAACGTTAATTGGGTCGACGTCGAGTTGGCCGAAACAGAAATCAGAATTGAGGCATTTCCGAAGAGCATCAGCATTGGCAAAGTGCGAGACATCGATGGGAACCGGGTGCCCGGGAACGCCATCAGATCGAGCTAACTCTTGCTTTTTACAGGTTTTTTGGGACCTACCGTAATGTCGTAGTGCAGCGGAACGATATGTCGTGGCAAAGAAACGAGTGGCGTATCTGGTTCGTCGGCTTCCAGTCGGCTTCCCCAGCCGTGGACAGCCTAAATAGTTTTTTCATTATGAAATTGCCCAAATTTGGTAGTCCTACCTCGACGGCATCGAGGTGCTGCAGCGCAGGCGGTATCACATCGGCCAACGTGAAATTTTGGGCCAACTAAAAGTTTTTTTTCAGTCCTAAGTAACTCAACAAATAGATTTTTAACTTAACCAAAAGCCATTCGAAAAGTATAACGCCTTGCAAAAATCGATTTCTGACGCACAAAAAGAAAAGAGCACGTCGTGCGGCCAGCTTTGATATTTTTCGATTTATTTTCGAATTGCTCGCGGGTTCTGGTTTGTTAGCGGGGGGGGGGGGTATCTGCGTGAAAGCTACCTTTTTCCATACTTCCATAAAGAAATTTGAACTATTTTAATAGCTTAAATTCTTTTTCCTAACTTTTCAGTCATCGGAAACTACTAAAAAAATAGGTCTATTTATCGATTAATAGAAGGACTACTATCGGGCTCAGTGAAGCCACTTTGATTCCCCTCCCCCGCTAATAAACCAGAACCAAATTCCAAACTTTCGATGCGCGAAAAAGAAAAGCACTTCCTGTAGTTTTTTGCCTTTCACGTCTTATATTGATTTTACTCGGTAGAGTTTTACGATTTCGTGTTCGCTTTGCCATTCACCGGTGCCCAGGGGCCAAACTCACGGCGGTGCGTTTCGAATTTGGCGATGCCGCAGACGAAGGCGAGACCCGCACGAGCTTCGGTGGGGCTGTAGAAAATGGTGGTGAAGGGCGAGCAGAGGACCCGTGCTGACCCCATCTCGGCGCCCTCGTCGTCCACAACTCGGTGTGCAGCCGGAACTGTTAGTCGAACATAGCGGGGCATTCGGACACCATGTTATTTTGCTGCGCATGCAGTGCAATACGAAAAACGCGCTTACCTCCTCGATCTCGGTGACGTTGCGTATCCGGTGATCGGAGAGCCATTTGCCTGAAAAAAAAGAGGTTCTTATGAGAAAATAGAGATAAGTGTTGTTTTTTCAGTTTCTAACTGTCTTTTGCTATTCCTAAACTTAACAGATAGGAAAAATAGAAAGATGCCTACCCAGGAAGAACGCCAAAAACACGGCGAACACGAAGACGGCGTTGAGCAGCAGAAAAACGATGCAACGACGCGCACAGTCAGGCCGGCGGGTTGATGTGGAGGAGAAGGCGGAGACCAGGGAACCTAAGATCGTAAAAATTATAAAACGAGGTAAACTTTACTATTATTTTGCGTTGGCGATCGGTGGAGACACGGCTGGGCCGCCTCGTCGGCTGGCAGGCCTTTCATCAGATGTTGATGGCCATCGACGTGAGCTAGCAATAATTTTTGAACTCTACGAATTGCATTAAAGGGCCTGTATGAAAGAGATAATCGAAAGTCATGATATTGTTTTTCCAATTGAAAAATAGTTAGTTATCCTGCAACACTATTAAAATACCTACTATAAAGTCATTAGGAATAGTTGGAGTCCTAAAAAAACCGCTCCCCCCGGTAATATGAAAGATCCGGAATAGTAATAGCGTAAAATAGCACTTTCCCCCTCGCCAATTCGTCAGCAAGTAGTGCAGAAGAAACGCAAAAACAAAGGTTGGAGGCATATTTAGCGGCGGAAATGTGATACATCGAAGACGAGCCCGCAATTTGGCGACTAGTGGAGCGTCCCCGGGGGGGATTCCCACAGTAAATCCGGCGCCGCCCCAGGGCATAATACAGGGAAGGAGGACGACGTTTAGGCTCAGAATGGTTCAAATCCGCGAGGCAAGGCAACCGAAGAAGTGAATTCAGGAAATATGGTACTGGGCTGTTAGCGGGGGAGGGTGTTCGCTGAAAAACTGCCTAGTCTACAATTTTCGTCTGAGACTCCGGCTCAGACTCAAGCTCCCCAAAGTGCAATTAGACCTAAAAATGAGGGTGAACCCCATGGAATTCGAATTCGTGTTCAACCTTTCCTCAGGCTGGGTGAGGGCTGGTGCGCAAAACGGTTTTGCGCCTCCTTATTATCCGCTCAATTGGGTTCATTTCGCAGGCGCCCATCCCGTGGAGACGCGCGAAAACCCTCACCTCCCGGCTGATGCCAATCAAGGCCGTCGGGCCGGGGAATTTGTAATTTTTTTTTGGTTTTGCAGGAAATGAAAAGCTATACAGAGATTGTAAATTTTTCGTAAGAAGGTCGGATATAAAAGCGGAAATTAGGAAGCAATTCTCGACGGATTCGAGGGGATTCGAGATTCGAGGAGGAAATAAAAAGGAAAACGATATGTTTATTTCAAAGATTTTAGTTAGAAGATGGCAAGGGAAATTATTTGGGACATTTAATTCATTTTTAAATAATAAAAGAAAATTAAAGGGAACGGTCAATGAAAATGTAGGACTAAAAAGGTGAAAACCTTTGAAACAATGCATCACTGAACGGATGGGCGGCTTTGGCGCGGCCCGCTGTGTTTAGGGACCGCGCACCGCTGATGCGAAGATGGTTATCGGGGTGGGTGGGGTGGCAAAAGACAGAAACACAAACGGTACGACAGACAGACAGACACACGACGACAGCCCGGATCATAGAGTTGATAACAGGCGCGGCGATCGCCTTTAGATGCGCACAGGGAATGGAATTAGAGGGATCGGTGGTCCTTTGCTCTTTACGGGGGGGGGTGTTTTCCTTAGGATCTTCTCATAAGTATTCCTCAAATGTTTTTTCCGGTTCCTAGACGTAAATACGCTTAGAAAAATTGATTCCCCAATATAAAAATCCCAATTTTTGACCATTTCAGACTTATAACAGTTTTTAAAACTTCCTAAATAGCATTTTCTTAAATAAAATTAGTTACAGCTTTTCTTGAGAAATGCCGTCCACGAAGCCGGATCCCTATAGGCCAGCCCGCGCATTGATGAATTGGCCAGTTTTTGTCGGCATATGTGCACCACTTTACGGTCCCTTTCCCGCCTCGTCCAAAAGCCGGCACGGAAACCAGGTTTTTACAAAAATAAGGTCCAAAATTAGCAACACCAACCCCGAGAAAACAAAAGTCGAAAGGCCGGGGCTGGCTGGCGGCGTCTAAAAAAGGGCGCCGACGAATGTTGGGGCGGTGAGTGAGCACGAACAATGCCACTTTCCGCGCACCCCCCAAAGCCACTGGTCCCGTAAAAATTTCCAGGGTCCCCCCGGCGTGCCCCACGAGTTTTACTGCGCTTGGGGCGTGGGCCTAGCAGGTAAAAAGTGTTACCTTGTTAGGCTTGGTTTTTGGGTGGTTCCCGGGGGAGGGGGGAAGCTTTGCTATATGACAATTAGTAACATCTTCGGAAGTGTTTTCATAACCGTTTTAGTCAACTTTACTCATATCTTAACCGGAAAAATCAGTTATAAACTATTCAAATCGGCCCAAACCTTGTTTTGGTAATTTAGAAAATCTTAAAAACTGTGTGACAATGAAATTTTCTCGAAAATCGCCGATTTTTGGTCAAAAATAAATTGTTTTTGTATATTTTAATATGAAAGTCCAGAAAAACGTCCTCTACTCCTGTTAGAAAAATTAGATCCTAAGGAAAAGAATTAAGTTTCCCCGGCAATAGTTAAAAAAAGGACAGTGCCCTCGACGTTTTCTTCCCGAGGTTCAAGGAGCCCCACCGAGGCTGGCGATTGGCCAATTATCCGTCCCGCATCAATACTTCAAATAACACAACAGGAATTGCCAACTTTTGCTGACAGATGGACATCGGGGGTGTTCCACGCGGTCGGCGTGACGAACCCGGGGAAAACAGTGCGAAAATGATGGATCGGCCGGGGTGGATTTTTCAGCGCACTCTGTCTCCTTTTCTCTCATGCTCTTCGGCCAAACTCTTTAGGAAAAACGGGCCATTCTTCATGGGGACCAAGAAGTTTGGGTCCTAGGGGACGAAAGATGGGCGAAAAATGAGTTTCTGTGATAAATTCTTTGGTTTGAAAATTTTTAAGTTGTTGAAAACTTTTTCATTATCGGCGGGGGGGAGAAAGCACCATTTCTTATACATCGCATGTTAGAGGAAGTGTTCGAAACCGCCTCTAAATTTTATCAAAGCAAAAATTTTACAAATTTTGTACTAAAAAATAAAAAACTATAGATTTTTCGTCCAAAAGTCCAAATTAAAAAGTTTTTTAAGTTTTTTGGATGCTTTAAATATAGTTAACTGTTACGAAAAACACTACAAAAAGACTTGCTATTGCACTACTAGGTATTTCTAGACTTATAAAGATTCAAATTCGGTCCCCCCCCCCCGATAATGCACAAGAACCCACTCAAATTGAAAAAAATTTGAAATCCAACCGTTTAAACAAATCCGTTATAGCCGAGCACCATCAAAATAGACACAGTCCGCCGGGTGGATGGTTGGCGATAATGCAGAAGAAGGGCCCAGCTGCACACACACAGGCATATAACGAGAAGCGGAAGAGGCAGTTTGGGCAATTGGGCAGCCGGGATGGGCCACCTCGTATAAATATCCAATTACCTCGCCACTCCTCAACATCAGCTCACCTGGGTGGGGGCGACACCCCAAATGGGGGGTTCATAGAACTTAAAGAAGGCCATGAAGCTGGTGGGAACCTTGGAAAAGGCCAGGGCGTACGAATTAAAAAAGGTAACTTTCACTATTAAAGGAACGGGCAAGTTGCAGTGGCTGATCTCCAGATGACCCCCCCACCGCCCGCACGCAATGTTTCTCGGCTGCCCGTTCACCTACAGGGCTGTAAAGTATACCAAAATACTCGTCAAATCAAGACGAACATTTTGGTATACTTTACACCTCTGCACGATCCGCTAAATTTTTTCCTCAGGAGAAAAATGGATTTACGCGACGCGCATGCGCCGCCGTTCCATTGCGTAATCGATTATGACTGTTTCATAGCTGCAAAGTAGGGCGTGCACGTTGCGTGCCGCGGGCGTGACAAAAAAAAAAATAGAAATCGGCGATTGAGAAACTACACTTTTCAACCAATAATCAAAATCCAAACTTCTCCACGGGTGTAGGCGACGCACCGTATAAGGTGCCAGAGCTACATAGATGATAAAAAAATCGCCAAAATACTCGGCTGAATTTAAACTACGCTACTTTAAAATCAAAACGCAAAAATTTAAGCTTCTCGACGAGTGTGCGGCGTGAACCATATGACGTGCCAAAGTTATAGAGGTGGTAAAAAATCGCGAAAAATTCCCTGCTGTTAAACTACTTTCGAACCAAAAATCAAACTCAAACTTCTCTACGGGTGTACGGCGCGAACCGTATGACGGCCCGTAAGCCCCTTGAAGCATTGAAGGGACGGGAGCCCATCCGTCTCCACATAAAGTCGCGGGATTACTTGGGACGGCCGGCCCTCACCCAGGAGGGCACAACCAGGCGTCGACTTTATGTATTGAGGCGCCCGACGGGGGGTGAACGAATAAAAGTGGGACACTTGCCAGTGTTGGGCACCTAGGGGTTAGGACCACATAAAATCTGACCTTGTGAAGCGCCTACACTCGGTAGCGCTTTCTCTGCCAGATGTTGTTAATGGGAGTCAAAAAAGAGTGTTATTTTTATACAGAAATTGTGTTAAAACAGATTTTTCCTCTACTGTGTAAAGCAGCAAAAAAACCTTCCAGGTCGGTACAACAATACAAACAAGAATACAAAAATTACGCTACAAAAATGGGTGCTTCTTCATAAGTACCCAACTTTTTTCTGAGTACCCAATTTTTCTAATATTAAAAAGATGAATGCTTTCGAAGCCGTTTTTGCCATTCCCATTACTTTCAAATTTCTATTCTAATAAAAGAAAAAAAAGTAGATTTTCAACGAAAATTTCGAATTTCCAGAGATTTTAAAAATTGTTAAAGAGCTTTTCCGCTATAATTATAGTTAAAATTTACTACGAACGCTATCAAAATACTTGCTATGACGTTACTAGACATTTCAGGAACTGTAAATTTTGGACCCCCGATAACGATCCAAGTCAAGGAAAGTAATACGGATTCGAAGGTATCGACGATACAATAAATTAAGAGAGAAAGTGAGAGAGAGACAGGGAGAGAGAGAGAGAGAGCCAGAAAATGAAAATAGGGTTAATAATAATATTAAACGCGCTAGACGCGCGACTGAAGGAAAGGATCGGCCGGGTTAACCCCGCAGAGGATGGGCGTAGATTGGCCAGATTAAATCGCGGCGGCTAGTCCCTTTTAAGGGGGGTGAGGAGGGTGTCGTTTTTGGGGGGTGTGGCGGTGAGGGGGGAGCATGCCCTAATAAACGTGACACCTCCGCACCACGGGGCGGACGAGGCTAATTTAGGGCGGGCGAGATTTCAGAGTTTTGTATAAGCCCGAGAATAAACCTAAAATTCTTTTACTCGGTGCGCCTTTAGAAAACGAAACAATCAGATTTCGACAAACTAAAGATTTTATAAACTAGTCTAAGACTATAAGCTAAGCTACAAAATGTTCCAAATTCCGAATGTAGCGCCTAGCCCCGCAAGAACGCAGCGCCTATAGGTGCGTTCGCGAGTTCTGGCCCCACTTGGGCCCTAAGTCGGTTTCCTCGTCCCGCCGGGAGGCGCCCAGTGCAGGTCGTCAAAAAGCCGAAAAACGGACCCGGGGATAGGCTGAAAAAGCATGGAGCAGATGCCCCCTCCAGCCACCCTTTCTAGGTGAGCAGGGTCTCCCGGAGCCGCCGCCTCAATCAAATCAGAAACATCCCACGACTGGCCCTGCAACCCGCCACCACCATGACTTTATGCAGAGGAGTAATAAGCTGGATCTGTGGTTCGTGAGCCGACGATGAAGCCGGAAACCACAAATTTCTCGACTTTAGAAACATTAAAGAATCGCTATAATTTTTTGTAGCCAATAAGTCTAACCCGCTTTTACAAATTTGGGATGCGTTGTGCATTTCTTCGCGAGAAGTACGTACTAATGTAAGAGAGAGCGAGAGAGAGAGAGGGAGAGAGTGAGAGTGAGAGAGAGAGAGAGAGAGCCCGACTTTTGTCAACCTAAGCAACCGAAAATTGCGCAGCACTTGATTATTTCGGGAAGCATTGGAATGGCAAAAGAAGGAGTGGGGCATTTACCCACGGGGGGACATGGCGTCCAGCTGGGCAACAACAGACCCACCGGATGCTGAATGGCCAGCCGGGGCCAAGGTGGTAGAGACCAGTATTTGAGCCCCCGGGTGCTAGTAAAGTGAGGAAATTGTTAAAATAAGTGGACCGGGATGATAAATTTGCAAATTGACTGGATTCTTCCGGTTTTTAGACATTTGGTTCCTAGAAAGTCCTAAGGAACTTTAGACTTTACGCGTTCTGACCATTTTCATGGACAATCCTCGGAACCTAATGGCGCGACCGCATAGCGGACAACTCTAAAACAGATCCTTGAGGGCCGTCAATTTTGACGACAATTAGGCGCGGCCGGCGGTTCAATGAGGTTCCATATGGGGGGCAAGGACGACCGTCGAACTGCCAGTCCCCAGCTACCACCAAAAACAAACGTGCCGCGATTAATTATCCCTACAAGCGAACCGGCTGGCCACAATGGATGCTCCAAGCGGGGACCTGATTTGAACCGGCCGGCAATGACAGTCGAGTCTGATCGCATGCATACGCGTTGAAAGTATCAACATTTATCAACTAGTCATAACAAATTAAGCGAGAAAGTAACGAACAGATCATCGGGGAAATTGGTCTGATGTCCCCCTGAAAAGTCGTTATTCCGAGCATTTAATTGGAAATTTAATAAATCCAGCCTAACAAAGGAAAATGGAAACATTTGAGTAACGACTTGTCAGGGGGTAGGCACCGGTAGATAAGTGAGAAAGTGGATTGGCAAAGTGGTCGACTGGATCACTTCTGCTCGTTTTCGGTAATCTAAAGCGGGGTAGATGCGGGCACTGGAGGCGTTCCTACCTCTTCGAAACGTTTCCGAGTAGCGTCGAAAATTTGCTGCTTCAAGGACTTAGGCGCTTCTCGCTGAGCTGTCCCGAGGCCGGCTCGATCCGACTTTTGCAGCACGGCCACCTAGAATTGGGATCATGAAAGAGATGATAATCGGCGATTACCGGCTCGGCCCTTCCACTCTGTTCCTTGCCAAGCCCCTTGCCCTCGGTCCAGCCCATCATCTTCAGCAACTTGAAGCCCTTGTTTTCCGCTTCGATCGGGGTGTTCACAGTCTTCGGCGCGGTGAACGGAGCAGCGCCTGGAAAGTATGTAATCGTCCATCGGGGTTTGACTAATCTCTATTCGCCCATCGATGTCTCGTTAGAAAGGGAGCGAAACGCTATTAATACTTACCCGGAACAGGACGAGCAGAACAATTAGCGTAGATGTCGTTAGGATCGGAGGCCTGTGCGCGTTGTCGCTGAATATTGACCGGATAGGTCGATCCAACGTTCCGGCGACGATTCGCGGCGCGATCTGTGTATTTCGTCTCGTTCTGTTCCTAAAAAATAAGGAAATGCCATGTATGGTTTCGAGTACCCCTTCCATAATGCCATATTGCTTCTTCATCGCATTCAGGACACGCTTCCGGACGGCGGCCTTGCTGAGCTTCGGGGCACCCTTGGCGACACGCTCCGCTTCTTCACTCATGGCCATTGGCTTCGGCATCTGGCCGGGGTCGCACCGGGGGCAGGAGTTGTATCCTAAAATGTGCCTTGCGATACTTTGAGAGTGCGATGGGAGAAAAAGGCCAACTTAAGCTGCTTATTTCCAAAATGTCGAAATCAGAATGTAGAAATTTCAATATGCCGTCTGTTTTGGGATCGTATTTGGGGGAGTTCCCCAAGATATTCTTCGTTCATGGAAAAAGTCAACATCTTAAATTTAGATAATCAAGCTCAAAATCAGCTTCCATTATTTTAAAAAAACCGACCATAGTGCACATGGATGATGAGCACCACCTCGCCGGCGATAAACCAGGATCCGTGTTCGAGGTCGAACTCGTCGTTTTCCTAAGACGAATTGTCAGTATGCGTCACAGAGCATGGGCAGCCGAAAATGGCATTGACGGCGCTGCCGACAAACTTCGAGAACTTGGCCGTCGAGCGAGGCCGTGCAGCCGGGCATCACGCGCAGCTTATAACCGGGCCCGCGGGTCTCATCCGCCGTGTTCACGTAGTAGATCTCAGAGTGGTACTGTAAAGCAAAAATTCGTCCCCGCTTGAAAAGTGCCAATATCTTGAAAATCAACATCCCGAAAGTACATCATCTCGAAAATTCATTAGCCCGAAATTTCCTATGGTTTTAGCTTGAAATCCCCCAATTCCGGATGCAATCTTCAACTTCAAAATTCAAAACTTCAAACTTCAAAATTTCGTCATACTCTTTCGGGATGTCGCATTTCGGGTAATCAATAATCGATTCAAACAAACCTCGGCCAAGGAGTCTGATCGAATAGCCGAGCTGGCATGCGAGCCAATAAGTCCACCGGTGATCGTAACAATGTTCAGCTGCCCCATTTGGTCGATAATGCGCAGACAGGGAGCTTCGGTAAAGCCCTCGCCTAGGAGAATGGTAGCAGAAGCCTCAAAAAAAAAATACCTTCCATCAGCTGCTGCCAGGCCATTTCTTCAGGGTTTGGCATGTTCTCTTGGAAACCGCCATCTGAAGAACCGTTGCTCGAGTAAGTCTTGACAGAATCGGAGTCTCTTTGATCGCGTCTGCGCCTTTCATCTGACACACGGTCGCGTTCACGATCGCGTATGCGCCGACGTTCCCAAGAACGGTCACGCGACCTGGAAAAAGGTATTCCTTAAAACATTTGACATCCCACCTATCCCTGGAGCGTTCGCGATGCGAGCGCTCGCGCGAACGATCCCGCCTGCGGTCGCGATCACGCGAACGCGACCGAGTACCGCCCCGATGACGGCTCCGCGAGCGGTCCCGATGCCTGTCTTCGCGTGCCTCCTTTTTGGACTTTTTCTTCTTATTGGATCGGCGAGGGGCTTCCTCTTCTTCGCTGGATACGCGCACATCATCACCATCAAAGTAGGCTCGTTTAGCTTTTTTGGACCTTTTGGCCTGCAGGTCAGTGTCCTCAAGCTCGTTGAAGATGCGCTGAAAATATCGAAATCATGAGGAAAGAACCAACAGCACGAAAAACCAGCTTGTTTGAAATCGAAACAAAATTGACGAACCTCCCGGCGCTCTCGTTCCTCCTGCTCTTTCCTCTTTTTCCGTTCCCTTCGGTCCTCTTCTTCCTCACGCCGTCTTTCCTCGCGTCGTCGATCCTCTTCGTTTCGACGCTGGCGATCTCGCTCTCGATCCCGCTCTCGATCGCGATCGCGTGACCGATCCCTCGAACGATCGCGCTGCCGACGTGCTGATTTGCGTTGCTCCAATTCACGATCCCACTCCAAATCCGCCACTTTATCGACAATGTTGAAGACAAATTCGCAAATATCAACAGCCTCCTGATCGTACCTAGAATACCGGAAAGTTGTTGGTGGCAAGAAAATCGTCGTACCGTTGAATCTCCCCCTCTCCGAGCAATTCAGCGGCCCTCCGTCTGTAGCGAGCGCGATCCCACTGTTCTAAAAAGACTCTAAAAACTAACGGGAGACACATACTTTGCTGCATATTTGCGTATACACAATACGATTGAGTCGCCTCGTCGTAATAGTAGTACGTCTGGGTGTCCGAGTGGTAGAACAAGTTGGTATTCTGAAAAGTCTCTCGGTCAGAAGCTCACAAGGAGACGTTTTTAGGTGGGCACGGAGTTTCGGAACGGGACCAAGCCTATCTTGTGCAGAATTTTTTGCTGATTAAAACGTACTTTGTAGAATTTGCGAAACGACCGGAAAACCAAAGTTATAAGGGTTTAAAGTGTGAAAAAGGCCCAAAATGGCCTACTTTCGGCACCTATAAAACATAGCAGAATAAGTTTCCACGAAAACTAATCAGTGCATCTTGCTCAGAAAATTACGCTCTTTCGAATTAGCCATGTCACGCGGAAATTTCAAAATTTCGTCAAATTGCGGAAATTTCACATGGGGGACCATGTCGTCTAAATTAATCTTTTTGAAAAAATGTTCGAACTTGTTTCATGAGATGGCTGATTCGAAAGAGCGTGATTTTCTGAGCAAGATGCACTAATTAGTTTTCGTGGAAACTTATTCTGCTATATTTTATAGATGCCGAAAGTAGGCCATTTTGGGCCTTTTTCACACTTTAAACCCTCATAACTTTGGTTTTCCGGTCGTTTCGCAAATTCTACAAGGCACGTTTTAATCAGCAAAAAATTCTGCACAAGATAGGCTAGGTCCCGTTCCGAAACTCCGTGCCCACCTAAAAACGTCTCCTTGTCAGTGTAAAGTACCATGTCGAAGAAGTATCGAGTGGCTGCCGAGTAGTACATGTTGTATTCGGCCACCCATTCGAACCCGTCCGGCACCGAAGACTGGATCACCGAGTTGGCAGCCTCGAGCAGCATTTCGGCAATACTCGACTAAAAAGCCGTTGAAAATCGGCGAAAAGGTAGATAATTTGTAAACCGTCGAAAATACATCAGCGATCTAATTTTAAATGAAACCGTCAAGTCTGACCGACTGCCCGCTAGTCGTGGCGACATTCTCCATCAACAGCAAAACAATATCGTCTTCTAAAATCTGTCTTACAACTCCGCGCTTCGCCAACGTCTCGATACACTCGCCACAAAATCAAGGCCGAGAGTTCCTGGTTTGAACGTCATCTCCGAGAAGCTTTATCAGTGAAACTCAACAAGAATGCCTAGACAACAGGCAGTACAACAACAACAAATTCAACAGCAACATTTCTAACATTTCAATCTAACAAGGCTATCATTCTTCAGCGGCCGGCTCTTGTGCTTCAGCAGACTGTTTGTTCGCCTGCAGCTTCTTCTCGGCTTTCTTCTTTATCTTGTTCTACATGAAAATTATATTTAACTCTACAAAATAACGCACCATTCGCTTCTCATCTTTTTGGGTCATCTCGCCTTCGGTCTTCCATTCTTTTACCCAGGCTTTCACGTCTTTCTTGTAAAGTTCCGCCTTCGTACGGAGGAGCATGAAACGCCAGAATTTTCCGTAGCCCTAAAATGGTCAAACTTTTTCTTCTTTTTTCTTCACTTTATTCCGCACCCCCATAATGGAGACAAATTCTACCTTGGGGGTATTCCGCATAATCTGGTGCATGAACCGCTCCTTCAAATCGATCGTGAAGGCGTCGCAATCCCAAAGCCGCTCAAACACATGCGAGCCGTACGGATTATCTATCAGAGACGACCACTTCCCCTAAAAGCACCGGAGTCATTATGAGCCGGAAATATGGCCGGGTCGGGGATCTCTAATATACTTCAAGTTCCGAACCTGTCAGTGCATATACAAGTGCACGACAATCCCATTTTTTTTTGTTCGCCAAAATAATAAAAAAATACCTCGAAAGCGCCTGCAATCTGTAGCTTCACGTCCTTGCCAATATTTTTAGACTGGAAGACATGCTCGATCACATGGCTGCCAACACGATGAGTGCCCAGTTGAAAGACCGTATCTGGCGAGAGACTCTTCAAGCACTCGCTAATCGTCTTCGTTCGCGTCAAATTCAGCAAGCATTCGAACACCAATGAACCCTAGGGTCGAATTGTAGATACAGTGGCAAAGTTTACCCTGGTAGTAATCGTGTCCGGTACAACCTCACTGGACTGGTTTTTACTGCCATTCATTGTAAGGACGTTTGGTAGGAAATGGAGTTTCGTCGATTCCTAGAATACTTTTATCAAAAGGTTGAGCATAGGACGAACCGTGTTCGCCTTGAAGTAGCGCCGAAAGGACTTGAGCAATGTTTGTTGAAGATCATCATGATGGGATGCACAATGAACCAGCGATTGAACGACTCCAAAACTGAAATCAACGTTTTCAAACCTGGCCCAAAATGTACCTTGCACTTGTAAGAAGCTGGTCCAAAATCGGGGACAGCTCGTCCATGATATCAGTAGCCTGACAAAAGGGCATTTAAGTGGTTGATGATCATGCCTACCAATTCCAACGATCTCACGCTTCTGATCAATTTTTGAAGTGCGAAATTGGCCGATTGATGTTGTGCTAGCTTGGATGCGCTCCCGGAAATAGTCATCCAAACCCTGCAAGAATACAACGTCACTAATTAAAGGAGCACCTTTACCTAAGCTTTGCGTCCTCACTACAGCTGTCGACAAGTTTTTCCCAAACCCGAGACGAGTTGCGGCCTTCCCATTCTTTGGTGATCTGAGTTTCTGAACGGACACATACTGATGTTCGAGAAAACCCCTACGATCGTCTCCCGCTTTGGTTATTGCGGCATCAATAAACTGATCGATGAGCTTGACGCGTGAGTGGGCTGCTTCACAAGCAATTCCCTCTTGGATGAGGAGCGCGATGTGATTATGGTCCAGGATAGCTAAAAGAACGTAATCAGCCCGATGGACTAATTACCTGAATGTGAACCGTAGTCGAATAAAAGAGTTGCCAATTTTTTATAGAATGGAGCCAGTTTCTTCTCGGCCTCAGGCGAGCTGTATTTGGGCTTCGGAGTTGTAACGGGCGCGGGGGGCTTCTTGTGATCCCCTAAAAACAACGTTGTTCGACTCAAATCTTCTTACCTTTATTTGCTTCCGGTTGCAACCCTGAGAATATTCTCAGCAAAGCACGGATGATGAAAGACGAGTTCATAGAATGCGCAAAATCGGTCCAGTTCTCGGCGACAAGTTCAGTGAAAAGTTCAAAGATCTACAAGGCGTTCGGCGACCCCAGGTAAAAAACCTGTAGAGCCTCCGCGTTCTCGGCGAGATTCAATCGGTACAACAGCACATCGAGCACTTTGGCACCACATCCACTGTAGATCATGCTAATAATTGTTTTGTGCTTCAATTTCGATACAAGTTGCAGAAATGAATACGCGGCGTAGCTCGTTTTGCCTAAGACGTTAAGTCACGTTTAAAATGGTCATTATACCGAATAATTCTTCGACAACGCGAGAAGACTCGGGGTACATCAGTAATCGCTCTTCTAGTCCGGTAACTTCATCAATTGCCCGATCAACCGCGTCATTAACTAAATAATTAGAAATCCACAGGTCTGATAGTACCCACTGAATCCTCCGTCTTTAGAAATACGCTCCATATTTCTCAAGTAGGTTACGACGTCTTTCGGGAAACCCGATGCAGCATCACCACCTGACTAAATCAGCCTGTGGGAACCATAACACCGCTTACCATGTTTGTAGAATTAGCGTCATATTCGTAGGAGTCTTGTTGCGCCTCCTGGTTTTTATACCGATCGAAAGGTCTCTTCGCCGGATATTGTCCATGATTCTCGTCCTTGTAACCATACTGCGAAAATTCGTTCTGGTTCGCATAATCCTTCTTTGGAGAACTAAAACAAACATTATTGCGGGTTGCTGCGTTTAGCAAACTGGTTCTTGGCCGGAAACGGGCGGGCTGCTGCCTCCTCAGTAGCTTCCACCGGGTTCTTTCTCTTTCTGGTCATCCTTCAAAGCAACTAGTCTATTGTCACACTCTGATTCAGGATCCTGCGGCCCATAACCCTCGACGTACGTGCAATCTGTGTTTATGCATGGTTTATTCAACCGGGTAATATAAGGCAAGCGAAAAATGATAAAAAAAATTTGCAACGTAAAGAGGAAAAAAATGGGTGAAAGACGAGGCACGGGGATAATAGGGTTTTTACTTAGCCATGGTTAGGTGGACGGGAAGTTCGGAATCAATTTCCTAGGAACTGAGTCGGAGGGGACAACGCGAATTCAGAAGGGGGAAACGTACTAACACATTTGAAGCTCCTCTCAAATAAATAGCCGTTGAGCATATGTTGTGTGGAGATCACAGAATGGTGCACTTCTTCTTCTTGCGCGGCTTGTCCTTGGTCTTCTCTCGGTGCTTGCGAATCTCGCTGACCAACGCGAAGAAAGCTTCATCAACACCCATCCTAGTCTTCGCCGACGCGTCTCTGAAATGAAATTGTTGGCTCGGAGCCAAAGTTGCGGAATACTCGCGAAATATTTGAATCACTCACAAATAGGGGATCCCATACATTCTAGCCATCTCGTGCACGCTTCGAGAATCAACTGAGCGCTGGGCCAAATCGCATTTATTGCCAATCAGCACCATCGGCACCTCAAAAATTGTTATAACTGCAAACCAGAAAAGGAAAACAGCTGAGAGTCAAGTCGCTACATGAAAAATTGCCCCACCTCATCCGAATCCTTGACACGACGAATCTGCTCGCGATAATGGGTGATATTCTCAAACGACTTGGCCTCGTTCACCGCAAACACGAGCAAGAAGCCCTCGCCGGTTCGCATGTACTGGTCGCGCATCGCCGAATATTCCTCTTGTCCAGCAGTATCCAATATGTCCAACAGACAGGTCTCATTGTCTATCACCACCTAACAAGTCCGAAGTTTCAAGTAGTCAGAGGATAGCCGACCTGTTTTCGGTAAGAGTCCTCGATCGTCGGGTCGTATTCTTCGACGAAGTGGTTCTGTATGAACTGTATCGTGAGGGCCGACTTGCCGACACCTCCGTCCCCCACCACGACGAGCTTATACTCTGTCATGTACCTGAAACAAATTTTAGAAAATTATGAACAATTCACCAGAAGGAAGAGACGGAAAGCAAGAATCCTTTGAAAGGAGGAATTCTTCGGTGAAGAAAGGAGAATGTGGTAATGCGCAAAGTTTCAATCAGAAAATTTCAAAAACAACCAAGTGCCCCCGCGCATGCGCATGGCTCGAAACGTGTAAAACATCGCCCAGGGGTGCGCGCATCGGCCTGGGCCCCCAATATCATTTTCCAGGCAATGCCAGTGGAACGTCGCGCCGGCGCGGGCAAGGTGAAGATTGTCGTAAATTTCGATTAGCTCATAGAGCGCTGGCCGCGACGCGCGCGTAATAAGAGGGCCCTGAGAAAAAGAGAGACGCAAAGAGTGCCCTCTCGTACTGGCGCACACACTCGCCGGGGCGAGGTCCCCGTCTTTCGTGAAGGGGAGAGAGCAAGTGAGGGGAGACGACGACTGGTCCCCCGATACATTTCGCCATCCCAGGCAGGCCCTGGTTGAAAACGTGAGAAGGAGGGGGGCTCTAGTTGAAATCGACCTCAATCTCGTAATTGACGGAGAAGAAAGTCTAAAGCCCGCCTTAACCCTTTGTTTTTTTCCGAAATGTAAGTTTGTCAAAAAAAGAAAAATTTCGGAAGCGGTTACCCAATTTCCGAATATTACACTTTACAATCTTTCGTACATGGGTTTTCTTCGTAGTCGTCGGCTCAGGCTTCACAAATTTCAAATGCAATTCATTTTAGTAAAAGTAAAATTAAACGTTCCTTATCTCCTCGGTTTTGCGCTTTTCCACTTACAAAATATGTATGTTTGCCTAGAAGGAGCTGCCTATTCCGCTATCGCTCAAAAACGATACAATTTCCGTAAAAGCCATTTTTTACCATTTGTTCCCGACGCAATTTGCCTTACATCAATAGATGCCTTATTACAAGCCGCTCCTGCTACCTGTCTTCCATTCTTGCTCCAAATGAAACGACATGCCTCTAAACCCATAATTCTAGCTCCACTCCCTGACCACCACTCTTCATTATGGTCATCCTGGGCGAATGGTGCGACGCGGCTACTGTAATTTTCATGATCCCCTCCTAATCTTTGTTTCTAGATGGCAAACGAGCTCGAGAAGGGCGATCTCATCGAATTCTCGCGGAGTGTAATGATTGTCGGGCGAAAGCGACGGGTCTATGCGGTGAGCCGAATCGATATTTTTGTTGTATCGAGGCCACTTCCAGCATTGGGCGATCTATGTTGGCATTCTCGAGGACGATGAGGGCTATGTTGTTCACATTAGCACCGAGGATGGCGACTTCGGCGTTAGGCCAGGACAGGATGGCATGGGGAAGCTCGGGTCGAAGATTGCCGGGGACAATATTGAGGTGAGGTGTGGGCGGAGGGAATCCCAGTCATTTTGCCTAGATAGTTTTCTCATAAAAACAGGCCAGCTGAAAAGGCCACAACCACCTAGGTTCCGAAAAGCTTAGAGAAACCATCGCCAAGCAAGCGAAGAAAACGCTGAGAAAATGAGTGAAAAATTTGGGGAAAATTAATGTAGGCCGCGTGAAAGGGTTTCGGGTGGCAGAGGCGACAGTGTCAAGAACATTTTTTTTTGCAGGTTCGATGCGATAAGCTCATGCGAGTGGCCGGCGCTGACCTATGCCGTATCAACAATTCAATGGACAACTATGTCGACCCGTTGCCACCCACGATCGCTGTGTCCAGAGCGCTCAATCAAGTATCTTTTAAAGTTTAAGATTTGACACTATCGAGCTTATGTTCGGGGCAAATTTTTTTCTCGGCCATACGGTTAATTTACTGCAAAACTGGCATCAACCATATTTTTTCCAGTTGGGCACTGGCGGCTACCATCTCGTCGACAACAACTGCGAACACTTTGCCAAGAGTTGCCGCTATGGTGTCAAGGAAAGCTCTCAGGTTTACCTTATTTTGCTGATGAAGCCGAATTTCAGGTGAACAAAGCCGTTCTCGCTATGGCGGGCGCTTCGTCCCTGACCGCCGCCTCGTTGGGCAGCGCCCCGGCCGCCCTGCTCTTCTCGTTGTCCTACGCCGCATATTCCGTCTACAAGCGGAGCAAGTGGAGCATCATCAGTTAGGATTCGTCCATTCGCAAATTGACTACAACTGATCGATTGATTGTCGCAATGTTACTGTAACTATTTTTGCACTGTTGGGTATGTACATAACTCGGGTTATTTACTGTTGGTTGAGTGCCATTGTATGGTTATGATTTATTGGCTAATGTATATAAAAGAAGCATCGGCATCAGTGATTTGTAACAAAAACGAACAGACTCGGAGTAGTCTAACATTGCAGATCCAACAACTAGGAACCTAATTACGCACAAAACGGGGCAATACATATGGAACGGCTTCAGGCTGCCACGCTCTGTTTTTCCTTCTCGCCTTGCTCCAAGATCTTTAGAAGATCGGCCTTGGTATGTGGGAAAAGCGATGGAGCTTTGCTGAAACGTAGTGGCGCGGTTCGAGCCGAGCGGTCGGCGAGGAAATCTGGCAGCTCGACACCTCCCTTCTGTAAAGAAATTAAAAGTGAGCATTGGAAATATTACCGCGGTCTGGGAACTCTCCACGACGGCGATCATCGCCCTCGTCGACGCCATGGCGGTGCCGTTGCATGTGTGGACGATTCGTGCATTTCCAGATTCGTCTAGGGCCCGTAAATCTAGAGAAAATTTAGGTTAAAAGGTGAGAGGACGTACTTAATCGCCTAGACTGGTAGTCGGTGCAGTTGCTCGCCGAGCTGACCTGCAATTGGATGATTTTGACTGTTCATGCTCCAGGCCCGTACACTCCGGCTCAAGGTGTTCTGTACTACAAGGACTAGGAATTTGCATCCGTAAACTAATTCAAATATATTACCATACGGTTCCCAATGGCATAATTTCGAGTAACACTCTTCATTTATTATTTTCATACTCTTCCGAACGATTGATTCTGTACTTATGATGACCCAGGTTAGTTAATTTTGCCCTACAAAACCCCGGCTTCAGCCGACAGAAGTTCGCGGGCTGGCAGAGCGTGTCGTGCGCCGGCTGATGCACGGCGAGACGATGGCCGGATTTGGCGACGACGAGGTCGGTCACAATAGCTTCTTTCGATCGAAAAGCCTTTAGATCTATCTGTTGCTTGAAGCGTCACGCCAGCAGCTGCAACCGCTCCCGGCCCTCGTCCGCATGACCGCCCCGGTGGTCATCTTCGGCGATATCCACGGCCAGTTCGCCGACCTTCTGCGCTTTTTCAATGTGAGCTAGCATAAATGAGTTAACGTTGAATGTAATATCTCTCAGGTTGTCGGCACGCCGCCAAAGACCAAGTGCCTCTTCCTCGGCGATTACGTCGACCGATGCTCAAAGTCGTTGGAGGTCATCATGCTGTTGCTCTGCTTCAAGCTGCTGCATCCCGGCCACATTGAACTGCTCAGAGGGAACCATGAGTGTGCAAAGGTGAGGGGGATCATGAAAATGGCGCTACCGTGTTAGCGAAGAGCAAGAGTTAATTTTTCGAATGTGTTCATAGGAGCAAAGCGAACTACGGACATTTTATATTGGGTTTTTAGTTTAAAAACTGAATTAAATAGCCAAAAAATGTCAATATGTGTAAAAAATGACCAAATCAGAAAAGGTCGTGCTAAAAAGCGTTGTAACGTTGTAGCGATCCTAAACTACTGAAACGGTGCTTGGCTACCCCCGCTAACATACAAGCTCCATAAAATCACGGAAACACAAAATTCCAGCTGAATCGGTCCTACGGGTTCTACGAGGAGCTGCGCCGGAAGCGCAGCGTGAAGATGTGGAAGGCATTTCAAGGGGTAGTTTCTCATTCAACTTTTCTGTTTCTTTACTCATAAGCAAAAACTTCCCCAGAGTGCTAAAATCTACGAGATTTAGGTGTTCGCCGAGTTGCCGCTGTGCGGACTGGTCAACGGCCGGATTCTCGGTATGCACGGTGGTATCTCGCCCCATATCGCCAACTGGGCCTCACTCACCGACCTGCAGGTAAAGCTCAAACGACGATCTCAAATAAGAGCCGTTCATTCAGAAGCCCCGCACGGCTAAGGAGTGTGACGAGGGCATCGCGCTGGATCTGATGTGGGCCGACCCGACGCAGGACACCTGCGGATTCTTGCCAAACAAGGTAGCCAAGCGGAGAGCATTTGCCAAAAGCTTCTCAGTCCCGCTCGGCGTCGTACACCTTTGGCGAGGACGTCGTGAAGGCCTTCTGCGCCAAGCTGGGACTTGAACTGGTGGTCCGCGCTCATGAAATGGTCATGGTGCGTTTTGAAATGGCGATCAGTAATTCTGACAAACCCCTTCAGGATGGCCACGTGCTGCAAGCGGAAAACCGCTGCTGCACAATCTTCACGGCTCCGAATTATTGCGGCACCGACAGGAATTCCGGATCGGTGGGTTCTAAGCTGTTAGCGGGGGGACGGGCTAGATTTAGCCTATGATAGACTTTTACTAATTTAACACCACTATGTCGGTTTTTGCGCCGGGCATTGAAAAAAGATTAAAATCGCCGAAAATTTGAGACCTTTGCGCAAAAAAAAATTAAAAAGGGTCAAAACTTCAAAATTTCAATTATAGAAAATTTTATTATGACCGTTTAGTCATGAAAAACTACTAAAAACGCCATATAATAAACCTAGTAAACGGTAAAAAATTCTTCCGTTTAGGCATAGCCGCTATAGCTTTCCCCACCCCCTCCACCCCCCGATAACAGCTCAATACCTCAAACTCATACATCAAACGACGATTTGCTGCTTCAGGTGATGCTCGTTTCGGAAAAGTTGGAGATCAGCTTTGAAACGCTGCGCCCACGCCCTGTAGTCCGCGGCACGCTGGACGAGCGCCGGGAAGCGATCCTCGAGAAGATGGCCCGCGTCGATCATGGAGCAAAGAGCCCGATGCCGATGCGGAAGGCGGACAAGGCGGAAAAGGCGGAAAAAGGTTTCACTCCCAATCCCAATCTGCATGCATTTTTTAGCAACTGATCCGCCCGCCACAACGTCAACCGTCAGCGAGCCGTCCACCACCGTGACCAAATGAGAAACGAAACGCCCAGTCTGCCACTACTCGGACCCGTTTTAATTACTAGACCAATTTTCATCCAAGAAACTATGAAATAAACATTTAAACGAAGAGCCTTGTTGCACCCACCTCTCCCCACAACTTTCGCCCGGGCATCCAGGCTTCAATATCGAATTTACGATGCGCTGACGCGCCAAGTTCCTCGGTCGCCATGTTTACTAGTCTAAACCTCGATAAAACCAGAGCAGTAAACATTTTCTCACCGAGCCTTGATGTTCTTGAATTTCTTGAAAATATCCTTTTGGATGGAGACAATATTCTCAAGTTCGGAATCGCTGTTCTCCGGGGCACATACGACGAACATCTCAACCTGAAAGTGTACCGGTTAAAGCCTTATTTTCCAAGCACATACCTTTGTAAATTCATGCACTCTGTAGAGCTTTGCTTCGGCTGCAGAACGACTGATTTCCGGGCGATAGCACCTTGACTGGGAGACAAGACGGATCGGTAACTCAGATGTTCTGAAAAATCGCATTGCGCAAAGGATGGTAAAGAAACAAAAAAATTATGAAAACCAGGCATCCTTACTTGAACGTCCTATTCCTCAACATGGCAGCAATACCCATCTCGGCCGTTCCAGATAAAACATTCCCTTCTTCGCCCAATAATCGGTACTAAACTCAAATAAATTTTCAAAAGAGTCCATTGCAAACCTGCATGGGGTGGGCACCTTCCTTCTGTTGGACGCCACACGCCTTGGTCACGCTTTGGGCGACGAGATCTGAGATTACGACCGGGCTAAATCCACGCCCGATCACCTAAATTTTATCGTGAAGCTGGGGATTAACCGTTCAAGCCGGTTGTGAACTCCAAAAAAATAGAATACCGTCTTGTAGGCATAGTCCAGCAAATTCCGCTCCAATCGTGCAAGTGGGCCTGGAGAAAAAAATTGTACAGCCACTGAAAAAAACATACCAACGAGCGTATAGCTTCTCTCCCCACAAGCCTCTTTCGGAAAGAAAAGCGATCCCCATTTTTTGACGAGATGTTCAATTGTCTTTGGCTCCTTAATCTGAAAATCATCACAGGTCTCCGACTTTTGCACAGCCAAACCTGAATTGTTTCGCCCCATTCGTCCACCACCTGGTTTTTCGATTCGTCACCCGCCGGTGACGTCGCGTGAGAAGTATTGGGGATTAGCAGGGCCGCTTCGTAAAGCTACCAAAATTAATTTCGGAAAGCAGAGCATCAAACCTCATCCCATAATCTCTGGTATTCCTCTTCGGTGATCTTAGACTGGCCACGCTCCTCCATTATGCGCTCGATCTTTTCCCATGCTTGATACATGGGCTCCGGGTCCCCGACGCCTTTTCGCAGGCTAAAAAAATAGGTAGGTGGCAGCTGCGGTAAGTTTACGCAATGTTCTTCCGGATCGCTTCAGCATTTGCCTTGTCGAGAAGGTAGTCAAAGTCCAAATTGGGCCTATTTGCACTATATTATGACAAAAATGCGGTCTACCGCAATTGAGAAGCCAAGGCTCTTCGTCCATGCTTGACGGTCCTGGCGAATAAAAAACTACTCAGACTTCGGTTCATTTATCCTAAATTCGATCTGCAATAACCGTCCCTCAATCTTCTGCAAAAAGATGAAGTATTATGTAGTGAACGAACGCATCAATGTAATTTTGTGGGGCCAAGGAGAAGTGAAAAAGTTTATCGCAAAAAAAACGTAGAGATCAGCAACGTAATAGAAGACAACAACAACGAAAAACCGTAGCGCTAGAATTTGCTCACAAAAAACGGATACACCGGCTTTATATTGGGGGGAATCAAGTAAAATGATATGTGAAAGACTTAGGGCAAAGCACGGCAACTAAACGAGAACAAACCTATATCAAAAAATTCTAGAAAAGCGAAAAATGTTCATTTGGCAGTGAATTTCTTCTTGGCCAGCTCGAGCATGTCGAAGCAGTGTACGAACTAAATTATCGTCTAGAAATTGTATGAAATTGGACCCACGTGAGCTTTGCCAAATCGTTGGGCGGCAGCGGCGAGCTGCTCTCCTTGGTATTTCTCTAACGTTTCCATCATCTTCGAAAGCTAAAAGAAACGGTTGAAGCTTGCCGTGCCCAAACCTTGGCTTTCAGCTCAGGAGTGTTTGCCGGGAAGCAGGACCAAAAGTGTTTCAGCAACTCGGCAACGGAGTCGTGCACTATTCTGATCTCCGATAATTGTCCAGGTGCCAAATCCTTGAGGTGAGACCCGTAAACACCGTTTTGCGAAGTCGATTCGGAATCCTACAAGCGATGATATTTTTGACCGAAAGGGGGATGTTACCATTGCTTCGTCTTCCTCGCCGTCGTCATGGTCCGGTATACACCAATCGAGATCACCAAGGATCATCTGTGCAAAAATTCATGAAACTAGAAAAATAGCCGATAACGATACCTCATCAGAATTCCGCTCAAAAAACTCGCTCATCATCCCACGCCGCTTCCGCGCGCTCGTCGGGCTGAGGCGATTCCCCGATCCCGATGGATCCGCAGCGACTTTGACCTAAAGCAATCTCTTTGAAGCGGATTCTCCCGAGTACTGGCTGGATGAAATTCGTGTCCACTTCCTCGTCGAGCTCGGCCGATTCCAGGCGCGTCTCTACTTGATCAACGCCTCTCTAAAAACATTTCCATAGAACAAAAACGCTCTTACATTCAGAGCTCCAAATCCACTGGTTTCTGGTTTTCCGTTGGCGGTGGACGCCTCAGCACCATCCAGGTTCGATGAGCCCTCCAGGTTCATCGTCAGGGACTGGAGGATCCGCTCGGACAAATAGTTGCATCTTCGCATCAACTGCGCCTTTTCGCCGCCCGTCACATGGCTCGGCTCATCGTCTGTCTTCTATATTTTGTTAATAAAAATAAAAATAAAGTCTAATAATACTTATAACAGCAACAATCTAAGTAGTTTGGTTTCGAGATTTTGGAAAAATGCAAATATTGTGAAACACGCACCCATGTAATATCGGAGATCAAATTGTCGGAGAGATAATTGAGATCAAATCGCTTCCTTTCCACGCCGAGCTTGATAAAGTTGCTAATATCGTCGTCGTCCAGCTTTACACAATCCGAAAACGGATCATTCGGGTTCGGTAAAACCTACAGGAGGTACAAATTTGATAGTTCCGCCCACCTCGCGTTGGCGATAGAAGTAGTGTGATTGGAAAAACTTCAACCAAAAGGCCTCCTCGGTCATTTCGTGGGGCACGAGTTCCAGGTGCTTCCGTTCGACTAAAGAAAAAAAATAGGGCTCCGTTGATCAACATACCAATTGGATAAGTGTTGAAGATAGCTTGAATCGTCTCCGTGCTCAAATTCAATTTGACGCCTGTCTGACCATCGTTGTGGACAATGTCGGCCAGAAAACCGCCCGAGACGCCGACCTGTTCCTCTGCCACCCCGCTCTGCAACAAAATAAAGTCCCTAAATCCAATTCTACCGTTTTGTAATAGTCGGTCCAGAAATCCTGTGGGGTGATGAGCTTTGTGGAGACGAGGTGCTTGTAGAGTTGCTCGAGTTGCTTGTCTTGTAGCAGCAGCTTTTGCTTCGCTTCTAGTTCGGCCGACTTTCCACCCGCTTCATTCTTGGCGGCTAACTAAAATAAGCCTGATCAGACCTCTATACGACCTATTTTTTTCTGATGCTAGATTTCTCTCATAATAAATCGGTTATTCCAATTTTTTACCTTGGATACCCGTTGCCGATGCGCGAGGAGGGCTTGCTGAAGCGACTCCTTGATGAGATCTCGTTCCTTGATCAGTCCTTCCTTATCCAGGGCTGGATTAATAAACATGAAGGTGGCCTACAACTAAAGTATAGCCATATGATATTTCATACCTGATCATCATTTTGTAGACACAATTGCAATTGGACTTTCGTTTTATTGAGAGGCGAAACTCGTTGGCCCTTTATTTGGAAGAAGGGGAATTTAGAGACCTCCTTTGTTTGGTTGTCTGTCCATTCTACGTATTCCCTAAAACAAACGTTGTCGAAAGAGCTGTCACCTTACCGGTAAACTCGAAGAGTGCCAACTGGAGAGCGTCCAGCCTGATTATTCCTGTACTTGACATGACCAACCTCGAGGATCAGCTCCGAGTTGCCATTTTCCATCTGCCCACCAAACAGAATTTCAGAAACCTAACTTATTACATGTATCTGTGTGCGTTGACCAACAATTCGCCTCATATACATTCAGGAATTCAATTTTATTCACCCAGTTCCATCGTAGAGATCAAAAAGGCAGGAGGACAACGTGCAACAAATTTAACAATAGTTTTACATACCCGAATCGTCCGACAATAATAATAACAAAGATAGGAAGGAAAATGGGGAGAGAAAGATATTCAAAGAACAGTGACTAGTTTCTTGATCAGATTCAGGTCGTCCATGATGTGGTAGCGGTTGGCGCCGAGTTTACGGGCAAGGTCCTAAAAAGAAACTTTTAGGGAGGACAGATTTTTGATACCTTCTTTTCCTCCGAAGAGAGATGCATGAATTGGTTGATGAAGTCGAGATCGATGAGAACCCGTTCGCTATTTTCAGGGATTGGCCGAGCCGATCGTGCTCCGATTGGGTGAAGCCCTCCCGGACATGGTACTTCCTCTTGCTAAAATGTCGGCATAAATAAAGCAGAGTTACTATCATAATGACGAACTTCATTCATGCCGTCGACATTCACAATGCCGACATTTCGTATGGCCGAAATTCAAATATATCGAATTTCTCAATAAAAAATGTCCCGAAATTCCCACAAATACTATGCAAAAAATTTCGATATTTCGGCATTTACAATTCCGACATTCTGACAGTTCGACATTTCAAAACACGCCCCGAAATCCAGCTCCCCTACCATAATCTGCGATAAAAAGTTGAGACGTCGGAAGGTGCGCTCCTTGATTGGCCGGATGAAGCCGAAGGACCCATCCAGACTGCCGTAGAACAGCGACTGTGCGTCAATTTGTTGCGCAATGTCAGCCACATCAGCGCACAGATTAGATTGACCTGGAAAGAAAATAAATAAACACAGAATGACTTCGATACCCCGCATCCGAATCCATGAATTGATAACGGTGCCTGCATTAAAATGGGACCGGACTGGCATCTTCTCCACGAGGCCCTCCTTATCGTTGGGCTCCAGCACAAAAACGTTGCCGGTCTCATCGCTGGAAAAATGGAGGTTCTGCTGCGTTAGCGGGGGGGGTATCAGGGCAATACCTCATTAGTATTCAGACAGTGTTTAAATCCTACTATATATAAAAAATAGTGTCTGTGTGTGTGTGTGCATTTGCATGCAACTTCCGTCACCGTGTCCGGAGGATATCTCAAGAGGGGAATGGTCTTAAGCTACATATGATACGTCATTAGGTGCGTAATGGCTCCGAGATCACTGCACGCATATCAGATTTTGCAAAGTAGGCGACTTTCGACATTAAAATTACGTTTTTGTTGACAATTCGGGAAGCCTTCTTTGTTAGGAAACAATTAGCATACGCCGGAAGTGGCGGCCGCCTATATATAACGCGAGAGAGTGGCGTTTTTCATTTTTCTCATCGCAATTCGAGAGGATTATGCAAAGCGAAGAATTTTATGGCGTTAGACGGGGCCAGGGTTGAAAAGTCGCGAAGCGGCTTTTCAACCCTGGTTTTACCTAATTTTCATAATTTTTTCCGAAATTATTATATCGAAAAGGCGCCCAATACGATGAAAATAGCCTATTTCATCATTTAGCCACGACGGAAACAAGTAAAATTTAATTTCGCCCACTAAAAATATCCGCCTCCCCCGCTAACGACTCAGAACCACAAATTAAGATGAAGTTTGAATGCAGAAAGCAGTTGCTCACCCCATCACCACCGACGCATGCTTATCATTAATCAGAAAACTCGACGACATTGGCGGGGCCGAATCTTTGCGCACATCCTTGCACACCACCGACAGGGCCTTGAAGCGCTCCTAAATGAAAATTCAGCTTCCATAAGCGCAAGCCTTACCTGGTATCGAAGTAAATGTACAGAGGCATAGACATCACACGCCAACACGAAATTCCTGAGAATTCGAGGGTAGATTTTGCGAAAGGAACTACTTGAGGGCAACCAGGTTGTGAATGTAGTAATCCAGATCGATGAAAGCCATCCCATTCATTTGTCCATCACGGAATTGCCAGATGAAGACCTAGATTTACCAAATTTGTTAACCACACAAATCGTCTCACCTTTTGCCCCATGCCCGTATAAAGGTATCCGTTGCTGCTGCAGATGCTCGTGACCGGGCCTTTTTGTTCTTTGTCGTAGAGCACCTAGAAATTCGAAATAATTTTCAGCAAGCTATCAAAACCTTTAGCTGCCGATTCGACGTGGGCTTTCCGGGCTCGGGGATGACTTCGATAATTTCGTAGAGTAGGAGACGGCCTCGTATCAACACCTATAAAAGATTAACTGGATGATCTTTGGATCGCCTACCTCTTCACCATAATTACAGACAGTCCCCGCTGCGACGTAGTTCTCAAAACCAGTGATCGTCGATTCCGACCGCATCACCACCTCTTCACAGCATGTCACAACCTAGAAAAACGGTTTTTAAAATTTGCAATTTCCCAAATTTATTGAACCAGATATTCGGATAAATGTTTCCAAAATCTGCCCACCTCCATCTCCTGCATTTTGACTTCAGCGTTGTAGATCGGCTGCCAATCGACAGGGGAAATCAGCTGAAAACGCGTTAAAAATGGAAATACCAATAGGAGCACCTGCAGCGTGAATTCCTCCACCTCTGGCAGCACAAACGTTTCGGGCTAAAATGATAGTATTTTTTTTAAACGCCCAAACAGACCCGCGATTTCGTTTCTATCGTCCGCTCCTCGTTGACCACGACGCAAATTCGGTCTGAGCGATGTGACTTCGACTGCACCAGAGCGTACACCTGGGCAAAAAAAATGTAAAAACTACCAAAGCGCGTTTTAGATATAAACAACCTGACAACTTGGAATTTTTCATAGATTTTGGACCAAGTTATAGGCCGACTTTATATAGAACAAAATTAGCCCCCCCCCCGCTAACGAATTAGCAGCAGACTCACAACAAACCTCGGCATGGAAAAGGTAGCGAACAAAGTGTGGTGTATGGCCGAGGGGCAGCTTTCGGACGGGGTACGAGGCTTCGTAGTTCATTTCCGGCTGCAGCTTCGAGATTCGTACGGCATCTTTATGGTTGAGGTAGACGTAGCCCATCGGGTTGTTCCAGTTGTTGAAGCCGGAGAAGCTCCTGGAGAAAAAGTGTTGTCAAAGAGAAGAGACTCACTTGATGCCGCCGTCGATGGTCATCGAATGGCATAACAATCCCACGGCTGGCGATGAGACGAAAAGATGTGGCAGCGGGCCAGCGATAAACAGACCATTCATCTGAAGAAAAATTGATGATTTTTAGGGTTTTCAGACTGTTTAGCAGGGGACAATTCTAAAGAACTAGCGACGACAAAATGAATACTACTCTCCCGCTTTTAAGTCCGGAAATCACTAAAAGCCTACCACATTTCCGATTCGATCAAACGGATAGAAGAGTTGCCGATGCGTCTCTTCGGAACTTTGCTGAAAACGATTCCATAAAATCAAGGCGAAAAAACTACCTGCAACTTCGCCTTTCGCCCATCCTTGCCAACAAACGGCGAAGCGCGCACAATCAGGGTCTGTGGAAGCCGTCGGAATCGAATCGAGAGATGCCCTGATACTTCATAATTAACGATGGAGTTTGTCAAACCTGGATTGACGTTCTTATGCCTGAAAGCCTCGTAGGCAAGGACCGAGTCGTCGACGAGCATGAAAAGTGTCGGCCGACCCTGGAATGAAATTTAATATTAGTCGGCGAACCGTCAAAATACCTGATTGAAGCCCATTCCGCCCAAATACAGCTCGGCCACACGTTCTTCGGCCCGTTGGCCATGCGAGTGCAGATTCTCCTTTTCCTGAAGGGCTAAACATGGGAGAAGTGAGAAATGCCTTTTTCCACAAAACCTTTTAACGCAGCCAGGTGGGCCTCCACCTCATCCGGAGTGGCGTCGACAAGTAGCGGAAGTTGGGTGCCAAACTTGTAACACTGAAAAAGGAGATATGATTTTAGATCATTCTTTTGGAGAATTCGACATGAAACTTTTTGGTGCTGATTTATTAGCGGGGGCCAAAAATGGTTCTTTTAACTCATACAGGCCCAGTAATATCGGTATAATATAGTTTTCGTTGCGTATTTTCTAGGTTCCAATAGCTTTCCTATCTATAACGCAATTTTCAAAAAATTACTTGGAAAACGACGCGCAATGATGGCAATTCGTAGATTGACAGTCGGCCATCGTCGTGAGCCGCCAGGAACCAGAAGGTCGGCGCGACAGTGTTCGGATCGATCACATCCGATTCTTCTCCACCAGAAGCCGCCTGCACCTCTCCAAGACGTTTCTTCTTTCTCGCCGCCGCGTCGGCTTCTGAAAAACCCATTATTTTTGCAAGCCGCTGACAGCCTACGTTTTCTGCCTCTGCTCTTGGCTGCGGAGATGCCGTACAGTAGACGGTCCTCTTCATCCATGTCGCCATACAAATCGTCCATATCGTCAGCCATCTCGACATCTTGGGCAGCTTTTCCTTTCATCGGTCTTCCAAAAATCTCGTCCTCTTCTTCAGCAATCTGTAAAAGATGGTCGAATCAGTAAAAATGTCTAGCGCAAACCATCAATCCGGAAAGGTCTTTGTAGATCGACATGGCTGTGATTTTCCCCGAGAAATCCGCTTTCATTTCCGGGGTCAGCTCGTTTAGCTGAAAACGATTACAAGGCGCAAAAAATATACTGACTTTTAGTTGAGGACCGGTTTCTTCCATTTCGAGCGCGTAAATTAGGAGCCGCCCGTCCTGGGTGAGGAGAACAATCCAAGGATCACAAAATGCGGCCGTCATCACCTGGAAGGAGCTAAACCCCGGAATCACCGAATTTACCGGATGTAGCGAATCCAGCTCGATCAGCTGCACCTGCAGGTCCTCCGCGACGAGACAGATTGCGAGTGGAGTCACCTATAGGGATAAATTCTTAGAAAAATAGCAAAAAATATACCTGAACAGCAATGGCTCCATCGGCCAGCTCGCCTGCGGCTACGGTCGGGTCATCGGTGATGAAAAGCGGAGCGTCAAGCTCTACCTTTAAAAATTGTTTGAAAATTAGCGAATACAGCAAAACTAGTAAAAAAATACGCATAAAAATCATACCATATCCTCGCCACCCAATTCCAGCACCAACGTCGATCTAGTTCTGGCCACAATCACGTATTTATGCGAGTCATCCTCACACCTGCCGACCGCCCAGATGTTTTGCGCATTTTCAATGCTAAAACCGACAGCGAAGATCGGAAGAAAATTGAAATCTTACGAAAAGCTGGTGACCACTTCCGGCCGTATAGTACGTTGGAAAATACAGAGGGCACCGTCTTTCGACTGGCCTGAGGCGGCGACAAAGTCGATCGCGGGGTCAGCGCGCTTCTGTTCCTCGAAAGCCTCGGACAGCTTGGCCGGGAAGCCTAAAAATAATTCGATTCCGCCACGACCATTAGTACCTGGAGTCAGCGCTCGAATCGGTCCAACATTTGGCAGCCGGTCCAGTTCGCGTAATTCAACAACCAATTCCTTCGTCGCGCGGCTCACCTCCTAAAAAGCCGAATATCAATTAGCCCGAAAGTTCGACCTTGGTTTTAACGGTCGTCTCTCCGTACAGCTCGAAATCCTCGGCATCCATTTGCTCGTTTTCGTCCTGCTCGGTGGGCTCGTATTCGAGCGTTTCCTATTGGAAAGGATTTGAGATGAGGATTTGAGAGACCACTAACCACGACCACCTCCGACAATTTATATTCGAGTAGCTGGGAGTCGCCAAGCCTGGAGCCGAGAAAGACGTGGCCCTTGGCACATCTCGTCATACAATACGGTAGTGAGCATTCTAGAAAAGTATGCGATTATCTGATGGACACAGCAAACCGGCAATTTTCGTGATGTTCATCGATTTGGCGTTGAAGGCAGAATCCGTGATCAGTTGGAGTGAATAAACCTACACAAATAAAATTGTTGTTGCTATGAAAATAGTAGATACCTCGCCGTCTTTTGAGACTATTAAAAAGTAGCCTTCTCCAATGTATGTCGTATGCGAAGCGTCGAGGGCCACGGAAAGATGTTTTTGGTCCTGAAAGCCCAAAAACAGTTTAGACTATTTTTTAAAAGATTTTTGCAGATAAATTTTCAAGCGCTCACCCGTAGCGGGAATCTAGTGTAGCCACCATCAAAGCACGAGTTCACAGAAACGCCGCAGGGCGGAGCGGCCTGGCTCAGATAAATCTAAAAAAATTGTAATACTTACAATGTATGTAAATGTATTCCATACATAAAAATACTTACAATTTCATTTGCGCCCACAATCAGCGCACCGCCTAGGGGTTTTGGCACGGAATATATCCTGAAAAAAGCTTTAGGCAATTGGAAGTGAAAACGACCTGTCAATGTCCAACGGCAACTGCGCCTGATTCCAAACAACGGCGATCTGCTTCTCATAAATATTTATCGAAACGGCCATTGTACACATCGTGTCATTCCTTACACACGCACTAAAATAAATAAATCGTGACAAACGTCCAATCCAACCGTCCGGCCGTTGTCTGCAGCGGTTCGTAGAGGAACATCAACGTCGGCTCGTAATACCCCTCCAGAAATACCATATCGACGACGTTCTCCAGCCTTGGGTCGATTTTAGATAATGGTAGCTAAATTTAGGGTAAAATCTGTCATGAAAAAAAAAATACGTACGACAAAGCTGTGAATGAATTCCTTGCCCTCTTGGAATGGAAGTACCGCCAAGTGCTTTCCATAGAGAAGCATTGCCGCGCACCGTGAATTGTGATCAGCCTGAAATCAAATCCTTATTCAAGTTAAAAAAAAAACTAAAAATGGCAGATAAATTTCCAAAGATTCCAAAAGATACGTACCCTGACCACCGGCGGCGCGAAATTTTTCGTGTATCCGCCTTTTAGGACTTCGGTCTCAAAATTGTGCAGTGAGATCGTGATCAACTGCTGGGTGCCCGAGTGCATCGCCACAATCGAGAGCTTCCCATCGTCGAAGGCCATGATGATCGCGTCCGCCTCGGAGTATTCTGAAGCAAATATTTGTAAAAAATTGTTACAAATCCAGAAGCTCAAGACCAAAACCTACGGGGGAGCCTTGCCGTCGCCAGCGATTGAATTCTGGAGAGAAATCGATTCGAATAAACGCATTCCAGCTTCGTCCGCTGCACCCATTCAACATTTTCGCTGGTCGGCGGCACGAGCGCGTACGGATTCACTCGAAATAGGCGCAGAAACCGTCCGCTGACGGTCAGCAATTGTCGGCCTAAATTGAAATGAGCTACTTGGCAACTCTCCCACCATCTCCTCGCAAGAATTTTCCATAGGTGCAGAAGTTCACGGCCGTCGAATCATCCGTTTCCTGTGTCACCGAGAACATGGACCTGAAAATTGATGGTCAACGTCGTTCCTGGGTAGTTAAAATCGAATAAACGGAAAACAGCGCTGAGATTAAAATAATTGTTAGTTCACTCGGCAGTGGTTTTCATCTCCTAACCGATTCCAGTATAATATTTGTAGTGGCCCTACAGAGGTGGGCAATGACGGGGTGTTCAACGTGCGGAGGTGCGGTATGGAGGGCCTTATCGAGAAATGCCCTACACCGCGGGGCTTGTTTGTTTATCCCTGAACTCGTCCACATCAACATTCGCTCCAACAATTTCATAGTAGCAGTAGCATGATAAAGTTCTAAAAAATAACCTAGTTTTAAGCACATAAATAAATTTTTTAATTACCAAAATCTATGAAATTTGGCTCACGGGGGCGCTTGAAAATGTTGAGACGATTCCATTTTTCAAGTGCACACTTGTAAGGAAAAAAAATTGTTGTTCCAAATTCTCCGCTTCACGATAAACTTCCACCTCTGGTGGCGATAAATATATTCAACGCCCACAGATTATCAGGGTTGCCAATGCGGTCGCTTCCCGATGAGGTACAAGATGTCATCAAGCGGTTTACCGTCGACCATCTGAAGCTAGAAGAGATCAGCGGGAAAATTGAGGCCCAGATGAAGGTTGGTCCACAATCATCAATTCGATAAAAGCTCTTATAGGAGGGCTTGGCCCGAAAAGGTGCCTCTTCGATCGCCATGCTACCATCTTATGTGCCAGCACTTCCCGATGGCTCAGGTAAAAAAAGAAGCCAAAATTACTAAACGCCAATTTCAGAGGTGGGCCAATATGTGGCCATCGATTTGAGCGGGAAGAATCTGCGAATTATGTTGCTTACACTAACTGGGCCCGGACAAGATCCGAACGCTGTAAACAACAATTACATCGTCCCAAACCATGTCATGAAGGGGACTGGAGACCAGGTAACCTAGAAGCATATATGCTCTTTGAAAACGATCATTTTAGCTATTTACCTTCATCGTAAATTGCCTGCAGCGGTTTCTGCAAGAATTTGGATTAGTTGACGCAAATTTACCGATTGGGTAAGTCTAGAATTCGCCGACTGTAATGCAAGACCCAGGTTCGTCTTCTCTTATCCGTGTGAGCTGTTGTCGATTCGCTCGGCTCGCCTTCTTTGGTGGACAAAGGGGTTCGACATCAAGGATTGCCTTCAAAAAGATGTAGTGGCGCTTCTAGAAGAGGCCCTGGAAATGAATATGGTAAAGGAAAATGGCAAACCTGGCATTATCGTTTTCAGTCAACAAAGGCCCAAATAAAAGCCGTGATGAATGACACGGTCGGGCAACTGGCAGCGGCTGCTCACAAATATGGACCTACGTGTACGATTGGAGTTGTTATTGGATACGGGTGAGTCCCCAAGGCCCTGATTTTGTAATCAGAAATGTAGATGTAACTCTTCTTACCTGGAGAAGACGCAAAATATTGGAAAATTCGATGCTGCTACGGCCGGTTATCATCACCCTAGCATGGTCGTCGTCACCGAATGGGAGGAATTCGGCTCAAATGTATGGCTATACGGTATTGTCATCCATTGACTTTAGGGCGAGCTCGATGAAATTCTGACGCAGTTCGATACCGAAATCGACAAAGCATCGGTGCATCAGGGAAAACAAATGTAGGCCGCGCACACAACTCAAACAAATAAAGCCCTTTAGCATCGACAAGCTCACCGGTGCCCTTTATCTCGGAGAATTGGTCCGACGAGTGTTGTGGCAGTTGTCGCTTGATGGTTGCCTATTCGAAGGGCAGCAATGCGAACGCCTGGAGTTGACCGACACCTTCCCGACCAAATATATACTGGAAATACTTGGGTATGTTGATAACCCAAAACCCGCATTCCACTCTTACAGTGAAGAAGAGGGTAGCTATCGCGTTTGCCGTCGAGTATGCGACGAGCTGGAAGTGCCGTCCCATGGATCATCAGATTATGCTATCATCCGCGAAGTTGCTCATGCAGTCAGTCAACGCAGCGCTTCGATTGTTGCTGCAGGTTGCTCACCAGGCCAATTATACGACGGAATCTTTTAGCCATCGCTGCACTGCTTCGCCTTGTCGGGCATGATCGCGTCCGAATCGGAGTTGGCGGCGCCTTGATTCAGTTCCACCCAACCTACCACGTCTTGCTGGAAAACGCACTGAGGACATTAGCTCCTGCAGAGTGTCACGTAAGTCGCAAACTTATCTAGTTAACCAACGTTATGTTTGTAATCGCGTTTTACTGAAACTTCTAGTGGGAGTTGGTCGCCGCTGATGAGGGCAGCGCCAAGGGAGCCGCAATGATTGCAGCCGTGGCCGAAAAGCTTCATCTCTGATCAAATGGGCAATCCCTACTCGCCCAATAGTCTTTTACATGACTGTGTTATCCATGGGAGAGTGCTGACCCAACCATCCGTCGCAAATTCCTTATCCTACAAGTTGGCTTGCAATAGTCCTAGTTGCCACCTAGCTTTTCCTCGTCAAAACCACCTCGCATTTACAAAGCCTTGCTGAATTCTCCTCCGTGCCACGATTTTAATAGCGTTCAATCTCTTTCCGTTCCATTGATTACATTACCGACGGCGCTCTTTTTTTAGCAAGTTACTAATTAATGTTTGTTCTTAATTCCGGGTGTGATAAAATGGTAGTCCTGGACTTTTGCGTATACACAACAATACTTCCACTAGCTTTATCTGTTGTACAAAGAAATAATGGAATCATCGTGAGTATTAGGGGCACAACTCATTCGAAGTTCGACAGGGAGAGAATACAGGATGAGAGCCGCGGAAGCCGATATTAGCGACTAGTGTGCATCTATCCTATAAGCACGACGAATAGCGAGTGAGACTTAAAGCCAAAGCACAAACACATATTTGGTGGGAGTCGTGAAGAGGACAATGAGAAAGGGACTATTATGATTGACACCGAGTAAAAGGAGAATCTAGAATACTAACATCGAAAGGGAGCTCTATGAGAGATGCCATTAGCGGTGGCGATGTCACAAACAAAATAAAGCACGTACTACATCTATTGGCTGCGACGCTCCATATCCTGAATAAGGAACTCCTGGACCGAGCGGATCATATCGCTGGTGGTGTGTTTGCCTCCGATATCCTAAATGACCGTAAATAAAGCCTATGGGAAATTACCGGGGTGTGAATCAGCTTCTCGGTAAGGGTGCGGAAAACAGCATCGCTGATCATGTCGGCCTGTTCGCTCAAGCCCAAGTATTTGCACATGTCGGCGCTGGCGCGGAGGAAGGAGGCTGGGTTGGCCAGGTTCTTGCCGACCAACGACGTTCCGGTGTTGCGCGTACCCTAAATAAGATTGAAACGAAGGGGACAAAATCCTTACCGTTTCGAAGACAGCATAGTCGTTACCGATGTTGATCCCCGACACCAAGCCGGCACCACCAACCAGACCGCACGCGATATTGGAAATAATGTTTCCGTATAGGTTGGGCATGAGCATGATGTCGAATTGCTGAGGCCGCGATACCAGCTGCATGGAGGCGTTGTCGACGATCATGGCGTCGCATTCGATCGAAGGGTAAAGCTTGGCGACATCGTTGACAACCTAATCCCTGATTATTCGCTAACCAAAGAGATTACCTTCAGGAAGAGACCATCACCAAGCTTCTGAATGTTCGCCTTGTGAACCGCGGTGATCTTCTTGCGATTGTGACGAAGAGCGTAGTCAAAGGCAAAATGAGAAATCCATTCGATGCGCTCCCTCGTGACAATCTAAAGGCGTATAACGACGTTTGAAGAAATGTAACCTTGAGCGATTCGACGACCCCTGGGACGCAGGCGTGTTCCTGACCAGAGTATTCGCCCTCCGTATTTTCACGGATCATGATGATGTCGATGCCCTAGAAAACTAATAAAAACATGACTGTCAGTTACCGTGTGGCGGCTGGGAATAGTAGGGATAGTCGAGCAATGAAGAACATTGGCTCGAAGATCCAGAGAGCGGCGCAGCTCCATGTTGCGAGACATGAAGGCGGGATCGTCAAACTTCGTTTCAACGTTGCCCTAATTCTGCATTGTTCCGGTTGTCACTTGGACCAACCTTCAATGCAACACCATTCCGACGGATCGAAGTGATGGCCTCCTGCAAATCGTTCTCGCCCGCACCGATGCTCGAAGAGTTCAGGTTCAGCTCCTCGAAATCAACAGGAACCTAAAGAAGATTGAAATTGAAGCTAAAAGACCTACATGAGCCAATGTAAAGACGGACTTCACATGTTCCACCATCTCAGGACCAATACCATCACCGGCCAGAGCCGTGACGGTGTGCCGACCGCCGTAGCGACCAGGGATTTTCTAAAATTTGGCATAAAGATTTTGATAGGTCCGAACCCTGGCGGCTGGGGTAACAACGGATCGGAAACGCAGCATCTCCTGGTTGACATTGGCGTTGTTCTGTGCCCGAGCGGCACCCGTCGTCGAGAGGGAGCGGATAAAAGTTCCAGAGAACCGTGAAGCGACCATCCTAAAATGCAAGTGTGAAAAAGCCGGTAGAACTTTCGGAAATCAATCGAAAACAAAAACACAAGAAACAAGAAAATGGGGGCTTTTTTCATTGAGAAGTTAGTCAAAAGTTAGAAGCTGTCAATATGTTTCGCAAGCTCAAAGATAACGAAATTTAGCGCTCAATCCTCTTTTATTTTATGAATTGAAGAAAATTCAGTTTTAGAGACTTTTGTTGACGTTTGTTTGAAAGTTTTGCGATTAGTGCGCTCTTCCGTCCCCTCGGGGGTCGCCCGACCCAGATCGACCGCCCCCGCACTTTCGCTGCGGGACCCAGGCGCGCGCGGCAGATGAAATCTTCACTTCCATTCAAATTTCTCCCGCTTCGCATTGCAAAAGACTTGACTCGTGCCCTGTTTTCACCTGTTTCGCAACTTTTCCTCATCGAAAACAGCTTTGTCAACAACATTCCACCCCTGATTCCCTCAGATTCAAACTTTTGGGTTCTTTTCGCGTTTACAGTAACCGTCGTAGCTCGAACTTCGTTGATGCTGTTTTCCACAATTTCTCAGTGCTTTTCATCTCCTTCTTGGCTTTTACTAAAATTATACGTTTCAGAAAGAATTAATCATGTCTCACGGTGCTAACGACTTCTACTACTCTCCTAAATACGAGGACGATGAATACGAATACCGACATGTACACGTTACAAAGGCGAGTTTTTGTTCTCGCATTTATTGGGCTGGTTCTGGGTACGGATAGATTGTTTCTCCATTTGGGCGTCCGTGACTCTTACAATGTTCTAATGCTTTATTTTTAGGAGGTGGCCAAGCAAGTGCCGAAGAACCGCTTGTTGAGTGAGACCGAATGGCGATCACTCGGTATCCAGCAATCGCCAGGATGGGAACATTACATGATTCACGGCCCTGAGCGTCACGTCCTTCTGTTTCGCCGTGCCCTTCCTGGCAAGATCCTCAAGACGAAGAACGGGACAGCCAGCAAGTTGACCGCCGCTCACTAGGCTTTGCCTTTTGACAAAACTTCCGTTTTCACTTGTCATTGCGAGTATCCCTTCCTGTGCCTAGCGTGTCAGATCTCCCATAAATATCCATCAGCTGCGGCCGTTTTCATGTATAGACCCCCCGAAACGTGATCCATGATGGAAACTCCTCGCATTTGCGAACATTTGTTTTCTTAATATAAAGTTTCTAAAATCGATCCGTTTCGATACCTATATAAATTGTCGTCACACAAAATATTACTTCGGGTAAACACGGACATTAGATGCTTCTCGGATACTTATGTTGTAAACAATGACCGGGGAAACGTACACGTATATAAACCAACGGTGTTTCCGGCCACGCTGCCTTTGATTATGAACGGGCTCGCCGGATTCAATAGAGATGTGGGTGCGATGATGACAGTCTTGATATTGTCTCATGTGTTGGGTGGCTTTCGCCTGCGCTCTCCGCTCTCTCGCTGTGTATGCGCTGACTCATCGCCTAACCAACGGACAGTCCAATTGTCTGAGAAATTATATTTGTGACTTCATCGACCCGTCTTTCCAACAACCGGCGCCACCAGGGATCGATATTTTCTTGTATTTTCGTTTCATTGGCCATCAACAGTCTGGCGTGCCCTTTTCATTCACGATCCGGCAATTATAGAGGCTTAGACCCACCCGAGGAGTGTGTCATGTGGAGCCTTTCTTTCCGTTTCCTTCGTCGCTCCCCCAAACATCGAACCCTGATGCCAAAAGTGACGCAGCGTTTTTTCTCCAATGCTCTGAGTCTCGATCAATCGCCGCTTGATCCTCCTAGTAAAATTCATTTTTTAGGCTAATGTATGATGAAGACGAGGCCACATTCAGCTTCAGCCAGATCAGACAACGGATTCAAGAACAAATAAATTTGGCCACTGACGGAGTAAAATCACCAGAGAAGCCTCCGATCCCACGGCATCGGTATATTTTCTTTGAGAAAAATATAGATTGCTGCAATGAAATGGAAGATTTACTCCTTTTTTCAGACCGAAGCCCTTGAATGGGCATCTCAGCCCACAGAATGGGAACGCGCGTCAAAAGCCACCGCTATTACCGAAGCCGGCGCACTTGACGAGAAAAGTTGGTTCAGTGCGTTTGTGCTTTACTGTGCATTTGCAGTCCGAGTTGTCTCCTACACTTGGTCGAATCAAGGAATGCAACTCGACTGATGGGGATGATTTTGAGGTGCTTGAGCTTAACGATTTCAACTCCGTTTAGACGCCGCGATTCTCCGGGTCGATTCCTGATCTGTGTGTCACTACGCCATCCGTCGACGACTTAGAAGCTGGGTAAGTTTGCTAAAAAATGAGATCGGGTCGCTGTACGAACATCCGGCGCGACGGGCCGGGCATTGTTTTGTCTGTACCGGCTGGTGTTGTTGATCTGAGTCCGTAACGTTTTATGCGAACGCTTGGATCGATGTGCCTCGAATTATGTTTCTTTAGTACTTCTGTTGAGTCGGGAGGTATGACGCCTCGGAGGTCTATTCCGGGTTCGTGGACGACTGGTTGCAGCCCTGGCTCCGACGGCTCGAGTGATGTAAGTTTTTTTAGTAAAGCTGACTTTGATTTCTAGACAAATGCACGGAGTGGCAGCGATACGGAGTCAGAACCCGAAGAGCAAACCATGATGCGCGAGCCTAGAGGCAGAACTCGTCGATCTGAATCTGCTGTTGGGATTTTCGAAAGAAGGTAACTTCTTTCCAATGTTTCAAGATCTTTTTTTTTTTTAACTTCTTTTTTTAGAGTCTCATCCTCGCTTTTCTACACGGACTCCACGCTCTCAATGTCGAGCATGCATGAGAAAATTGTGGACGAATTGATACAGAAGAAGATCATACGGGAGAGCCGTCGAAACATGGGCAAAAGCGAGAAAGCTTTAAAAGTTTGTCTTATGAGTAGGAATACATATTTTTAGAGAGCGTCCTCTTCGCTGTCTGAGAACTCTTCAAATGTTGATAGTGGCAGCACCGGCACGGTTAGTCTTCATTTTACAAGCGTTTGGCTTCTAGCTCTCCGCGATTTTTTCGCACATCATTTTTTTTTTGGTTCATGCAAGTCAACGTCATTCCCAGGTAGTGGATGAGACCGCCCATGATTACGATGTCGGGGATCCGATTGAGGTAGCTTTTACCGGATTCTCTTTCAATTTTTTCTATTTTAGTTTATTCCTTTGCTCTGATTTGGTTATATTAGCAAAAACCTCTAGTTTTATTGCAGAATCGACGACTGCGCGATTTGCACAATGCGGCACTCGAATTTCTGACCGTCGAGAAGAAGTTCTGCAAATGGCTAAACGTCATGGCTTTGGTATTTGTCTAACTTAAAAGAAATACGTTTTATCTCGAGGTCTACCCGAGTTATCTACGCGAATACGCGAAAGGGATTAATCGCGAGCTGCTGCCCGACGAAAAGGAGAGCCCCGTCGAACGCGTCAGAGTGTAGGTCCTCCTGGAATCTACAATTCCGAGATTTAGTTTGCTTCTACAAATTTTGCCCGTCCACGAGAAAATGCTTGCCGATTTTCAAGAAAATTTGGCCAATTGGGACAGTCGCAATCCAAACCTGGCGCGGCTGATCAAGTCGATGGCTCCGTTCCTCAAGGTTAGTGCTTTACTTGGTAATAGTCTTTTTTAGGTCTGCAAGCCGTATCTGTTGGAGAAGACACAACTTGCTGAAGATATGCGGAACCTCGCCCGGCACCACGATTTCAACAAGGCCACCGGCTTGGTAGTTTTTTCGCGTTCTCCACCTCATTTTTGGTATTTTAGTTTGAGCAGAAAATTCTTGGCTACGGTCCTGGGGCTGTTGTGCAGCAATTGGACCAAGTGCACCAGAATTTCTTGCGCTACAAACTGCTGATGAGCTCCTATGTGAAGTATCTACCGGCAGACAGCGAGGAATTGGTGCGAGCGAATGGTGAGTCGACAACTTACAACTCTACTCTCTTTTCCAGAAGTTGTAACGCTGCTTGAAAAGGTTGCCCAAGACGTCAACAAGGACCTCGACACACCCTCCTGTGATGCTATATGGAGACTCGCCGAGCGTTTTGGAGTACCTTTGCGCCTCGTTATATTGCTGTATTTTAGGAGCGTGAGATAGTTTTTGAGAAGGGGCACCATTTCATCAACGAAACGAGGGTGCAGAAACAAACGCGAAACGATCGACAGCCTCGCGTTTTAGTACTGGTGCGTTGGGCGAGCAAGAAAAAAGGATGTTTTTTTAGTTCTCGGACTGCCTATGGATTTGTCGTGAGGGCACCGGTTGCATGTTCAACATGAAGAAGAGCTTCAAGCTTGCCCTGGACACAACTCAAATTGAGGTAATCTCTTCCAGTTTAATTTTCCCATATCTCCTTTCAGCTTCCGGAGCACCAGCCCTTCCACACGCAGCTGAACATCCAAAGCCCGATTAAGTCCTGTGCCGTTTTATTTGAGTATGTAATCTTGATACAATATTGACTGCTTCCCTAGGAAACGCTCGGAACGCGACGCATATGCCAAAATCCTGCAAGGGGCCATCGACGCTCGGATTTCGCACATGCGCAGGGTGTATGCCGGCAATCGCCGCGCGTCAATTGTAGGGCGAGGTTTTGCAGGTGATTTTCATTTGTTTCAAGGCGAATGGCGTCGAGCCGGACGATCGCACCGCGGAGATGTTATTTGAGCGACCGGCGCTGGCCCCCATTGAACCCTTTCTGCCCAACAAAGAACGTTCGTTTTTGGCTGGCACACAACATGAAATTCAGTACAGAACGCATGCAATTTTTCCCTCTAAGAAAAGCCACAGTGAAGGGTTTCAAAACAAAAACGAGTCGTGCGGCATTTCACTTTTGAGAGCCAAATGTCGCGTGGGTCGTTTTTTAGGGACACCCATTAGTCCCATGAAATCTTGAAAAATAACTAATTTCCAGCGACGCTACTACAAGCCCTGTGGCTGCCCGATCACACGTCGACCCGTTGTCTAATGGACAAATGCGGCACCGAGTTCAGCCTCCTCAATCGCCGCCACCATTGCCGTGAATGTGGATGGGTACGGTCTTGATATTTTATATTAATTTTTACTTTTTAGTTGATCTGCTCGCGCTGCCTGGGCCGCGCTCCGATACAGAAGCTTGACTACGTCAGCAAGAACGTTTGCCCCGAGTGCTACGGGCGTATCTTTGGATTATGTGAGCCGAATTTATTTTTGAAGAACCCAATTCCTTTTCAGATCGAAAAGGGATACTGTTCCCGGAGCAGATGCTGGTCCGCGACTCCTCCAACCCCGATTTGGCCACGGGGGTCTACGTGAAGGGAAAAGTACGTATCTTCGAATTTTGACGCACCTCGTCTGGCAGCTTTCGGAATTTGACTTTCCAGGGGCTTCGAGCAGCCATTTGCTGTTTCTGGCCGACCGCACAAGTTAAAATGCGTAGGGGCCTGGGAAGTGTTAGCCGCTGCATTTTATTGGGATTTTTTGGCTTAGCAACAGTGACTTCTCCGGCTTTTGTGCAGTCTTTTACTGTTGCTGTAGAGTTGTAGCATTTTCAGGAATGTTCAATGGACAGCCTTTTCCGCGAGCCGCAACACGCTAACCTGAAGCGCCTGGACATCAACGCGCGGTTCAAGGGAAAGGACGGGACCGTGTTCGGGAGCGTCGTATTTCGGTTTGACTTTCGGAACGCGATGTACCCGTTTTTAGTGACCAAAAGGGCAAGGAATCTGAAAAATTCGCTCAGCTCGAGGACTACCACCTATCATTCTTTGCGGCAATTTTTGTAAGGCTCATTTTCGGCACATTGAAATCGCTCATTTCAGGATGAAAAGCCCGAGTATAAATATTTTATTCACGGCTATTATCTGAAGGTGGGTGTTTTTTTCGGCTTTTGTACGTTAGCGGGGGTAATTTCTTTCTTAATTTGACACCGCCTTTTATTTAATTTATTTTTCTAGGAGGAGGACCTCGATAGCAGCTGTGGCGCCGTATTCTGGCTGCGGCACCAGAATCAATTCCACACGGACCGGCGCGACGAGGCGACGATCGTATTCCGCGTGGACAGTCTCGACGAACGGAAAAAGTGAGTCGCACTCCGATTTCCGTATTTTCCGTTCGTAGGTGGTCGGACGCCCTGAACAAGCTGCTACACGGCGAGGCGAATGGGGATGCCGCTTGAGAGGACATTTTTATTTTGCGCACTTATGAAAGACAATCACTTCACCACCTCCTCATTCTACACAATTCGAGTGACCTCAACTTTGCCCATGTGCCTTGCATTTGTGCCACTGCCATTCCCGTTGGGCTTTTTCATATTTTGATGACGGTCCCCGTTGCCCATTTCGGGCGCGTTCGCTTTTGCAGAATGTTTAGTTTTTTAGTTCGCTGCTAGTTGCCCCACCCTCACAAAATTCTATTTTACCCCGTCCCTGATGAACAAACCTCACGAAGCCCACCACCAAATTGCTACTAGTCGATGTTACGAGTGCTGACCCCCCTTCGCATAACCAAAAGCTAACACACCTCACCCTGTGATTCCCGGTGCTCGCTCCGGAAAGCGGGCCTGGGCAGTTTCATGTCACTTTTTAATGTTGTTCCGAATGATACTAGTCATAAACAATCCTGTGCGAATACAGTTCACAGTTCCAAAACCACCTATTTAAAATCTTTTCGAAAATTGTATGTGGAAGCGTGGGAAAACATATTCCGAAAAGATATTGGCCAACTCAGTCCTTCCCCTTCGTCACCATGATCATTTATTCATCGTAATAATGGAGGAGGCGGTGTGATGTGTAACTACAGAATGTTGGAAACAGAACGTTAGTGCTTGTTATCAGCCGTGTCGTGAGAAGAAGCGTTGCCCGCGGGCTAGGCGGCACAGAAGTAGCCGCCGGCCGCCTCGTCGGCCGGAGCCGGCTTCAACTCTTCCTTCTGCTTCTCAATAACCACCGGGGCGCCGTCAGCGGCCGGGAAGAGCGCGTCGACGATCGGGCCGAATAGCCAGCACCTGGAATTTAGTGGGTTTTAGGTTGGCGTATGTGTCCGCGATTCGTAGCGAAATTGGCCTACTTCTCCTCGCCCAGCTTTGCCTTGGCGAGCCGCTCCATCTCCTCGACGTTCATCTGCGGGGCCGTGGCGCAGTCGCCATCGATGGGGTTGCAGGTGATCGCGTCGCCAATATCGACGCCCTCCGTCGCCACCGTCACCGCTTCGAAGAGGGCGGCACGGCCGGGCAGGTCAATGATCGTCTGGAACGTTATAGAAAATCCTGCAGGAAAAACTTAAAATTTTATGCCCGAATTCTGTTCAAAATGCCGGCTTCATCTAAACGAAAAGCCTACATCAGTGGCAGCGAAGCCAGACTCGTTCTTGATCTCGATCTTCGTGACGAGTTGTCGAGGGGCCACGTCATCATTCTGAAAGGTTCAATGAATTATCGTAAATGCGCACTAAGTTAAGATTTGTATATATAAGAAATATAAAAGTAAATGAAAATTAACGGGTTAGTTAGCAAAATTCATAGACCTGAAAGCTTAGATGAAATTGAATAAAACGAATGACGGAAACGAAACAGCAAGATGTTAAAATTGGCGCCTCCGGCCATATTACAGCTTTTTATGGCCCAGAAAATTAACTGGGGCTGTAAATATTAGAATTAACGAAAGGCCGGCCAAAGTAGACAATCTTTGGATGTTATGAGGCTTTAAAATTGGCCTTTTGCTTCTCTATCAGATTTTATTACTACTTCTACCGTTTTCCGGACAATACCGATTTTATAGTTTTTTTAATAAGATCTGCGCCTGCCCGCACCTTGATCCACTGCTGGATGGCGGCGTGGTTGTGGCGCTCGATGGGGCGCGCGTAGATCGACAAGGTGAGGTGGCTGCTGAACGCCTTCTGCACGAGCGTCACCGACATGGGCGCGTATTTGCGCGCCTGCAGCAGCAGCACGCCGCCCTCCAACTGCAGCGCCTTCGGGCACGACGGGACCAGCTGAAGCGAGATAGGTTTCGTACAAAAGAGGAGTTCGAGCAGTTATAGCGGACAGCTCCTCTTACATTTAAAATCGGATGAGGTCCAGGAAAAAGGGCCTTCTAGCAACTTTTCAATCGTAGATCCCTAAAAAAGCCACCTTGACGACGAGGTCCTTGATGGTGGGGTTGCGCAGGATGAGCGAACGCTTGACCGTGTCGGCCCCCTTGGAATGGGGGAACATCATCACCGTCGGGGGACTCATTGCGCCGAGACGAACAAGTTGCGGGTAAAATCAAACCCGCCGAACTCGATCATTTTGTAGCCGTAAACGTATGCGACGCCCGGATGTTTCCTCATATTTTAAGCACTATTATTGAAATTAGGGAAACTAAATTACAGAAATAACTTTTCCCGTTGAAGCTAATTTTTCTAATGTAAAAAAGAAGTCATTGAACACCGTTTTCTGCTATCCTGACTTTAAACCTATGATTTGAAAATATCAAAGAGTTCATTTTTAGTAGAATTTCGATGTTTTAACTTCTCAAACTTTATCCACACTTCCGCCAAGGCTTAGCTATAACTGCTATACACCTTAGAAAAGCTCCCTTTCAAGCTTTACTTCTGTTCCAGTCCCAAAAATTTTTTCTTATAGCTTCAATTTCTTTAGCCCTTACAGAACTTTCTTTGCCCGTTCTTTGATCAGTTGACCTGACCACATTTTCAAACACGACCTTTCGCACATTGTCAATGATTTAGGGTTAATACCCCGATAATCAATGCCAAGAAGCGCGCCTCAAGGTGCGGGCAGATGTGAACACGTCGCCGCGAAGCCTGAAATGAGCCCCGCGGGCATGAAGCGCACCTGGAATCACCGACTCCGCCCACAACCCCATCCTATATAACCCGACGTGCCGAGCGAGAAGGCACAACCAATCCACCAGCGTCCAAAGCATCTTCTACAGCCTCCTCCTCCACTCCCCCCAAAAGCGGCGGCGCTCCTGAGCCCAGTGAATTCTCAGTCATCGCTACAATGTGCCATGACTAGAATGCTCACTCGGCCTAGGGGCGTCGCCCGCCCTCCTCGAAGACGCGCCCCGTGCTCCGGGTGTGCCCCGTCGTGCAGTGGTGATAAAGACACATTGCACATGAGACATACCTGCAGCACGGTGGTGCTGCTCCCCACCTCCTCCCCACCCCTCTATTGGGTCGAGGGGGAACCCGATGGAGCTGACATGCTCGGATATTGAGCAGCATCTCGGCCCGTCGCGGTACCCCCTTGCTTCATACTCTGGCTCCCCTTCTCAAAAACCCCTCATTCCCTCCCTCCCAAGGTGTGCCCTGCATGCCACCCTTAGCTGCTGCGGATACTGCTACACGGCTAGTATCACAGTTGCTATGGGTAGCTTTCACGGCCCGGATTTTGCCCTGAATTTTTGTTTATTTGAGCACGAGTTTTCAAGGCAATAAAGTGAAAGGTACTACTACAACACCTAAAAATACAGCACTCTAAAGTCACAAGAAAGCTGCAAAAAAAAGGAAAAAGTCTTTGAATCGAATCGTTTTAGTTAGATTCGTTTCGTCTTAATTTTCGTTCATATAGCAAATTCGCACGGTTGCTCATCAAGTTTTGCTAAGTAAATTTTGTATGATAATAATCAACAGTAAGTTAAACTAAGTATTAATACAGCGTATTAGGAGTTTAAGATACAGAGCATACTTTATATTTCAAATTAGCTATTTAGGGTCAAAATACTCATAGTTCTGCGGATTCTTAGAAACGTACGTTTGTTTTTTTGCTGCTGCTATCTTAATTCCTCGAGCTGCCGGTAGTTTTTTAGCTTTAATCCAACCCATTTTAATTTAACTTCAAAAGTTTAGCGCTATAGCCGCCATTTTTAATTTGCTGTTGTTTTTACAGATCGTAATTAATTGCAAACAGGCAGGGGTGTCGCAACGAGCATAGTAGTCTCGCGTTTTTCCTTGGGGAATATCGACAAAAAGGCTCTCTCTCTTCATCGGCCACTCTCCATTCTCCATTCACGACCTCGTACTGGCCTTGGAACGTTGAAGCCCTGGCCTCCTCATCAAAACGATGGAGCTTTGCTTTAATATCCACGTTCGAACGGTCCTAGGAGCCCAATTCACCCAGAAGGTTTGCTTGCTGGTTTTTCAATAATCGACACAGGTTTTCCCCTTTGACACGGTGGCCGAGCTGAAGTCGCATTTGGTTAAAAAGACGCGGCTAGAATGCCACAAAATTGCGCTGGTTTGTGTTCCATGTTAAATTATCAATCGGGCTCTAGGTATTTTGTGGCCAAGAACTGTGCCCAGAGACGGCTCCTTTGTCGAGCTTCGGCATACAGCCCGACTCGACGTTACGACTGGTAAAGAGGTTCTTAATTAGCTTTATAGCGGAAGTTTAGGTGGTTGTGGCTCGTTCTGGTCCTGCTAGGAACATCACGCAGCCATCGGTTAGCCGAGTTGATTCTGCCGTTTCGGAGAACGAGCGGTCGAGACGGGGCTGCTCGGCCACGGAAGATACTTCTGCAAAGGAAAGCAGCGCGGGAGAATTGACAGAACATGATGAGACCGACAAACAGACACGTTTAACGAGGGTAGGTGAACTCGAAATTAAGCTCGCGCTTTTCAAAAAAGCACCGGTCGAGCGAACAAAAACGTATTTAGCTAGCGGAAGCTGTATATTCTGGGAGACACTCCCGACGACAGCGGCTCAATTCGGTGTCGGCTGGGAAGGGCCGCGATGAAGTGCATGGGCCCGTCGAAGTGTCAGAAAAGACTACGATTTCCGTAGAAGACGAAGAGGAGGAGATTATTCAAGGTAAGTGAAGAGACGAATCAATGCATGAGACCTTACAGATGACGCCCAAGCGCCATTAGAATCATCGGATGGCCCTCTAAACGCCTCTGACCCTTCCGAGATGTCATCGGGCATGATTATCTGCGATTTGAGCAACGAATTCCGGAAAATTCGGGTTGGTCAGAATCGTCGTCAGAAGATCAAGACAACAAACACCATAAACCACTGGTTTTCTAGGTTCGGCGTCGCCACCATATGCCTGTGGTCGGGCGGGCTCGTTCGAAGCCACGCAAGAAAACAGGTAGCAGCTCAGACGAACGCGAGGGAGAAGCTGAGCCGGAAGAAAATTATATGTTCACCATGCCTCCTTTGCGGCGCCCGCTTCCACCTCAAAAGAGTCGTCAGCTGCCATTGAAGTAATTCAAAGCCCCCCGTAAAATATTTCGTTTTTAGGTCTGTCGCCCAGCTCCGGTGTAGTGTGTGTGCATTCAAAACAGTCAACACGTTCAACTGCAGGTATGAACATTCAAATAATTTGACGTTCGTTTAGATGTGGAAAATCGTTGTGTTCACGCCATCGAGGTGCGCAAGGCCACACATGCACCCGGGGTCGCAGGGTACAGCAAGTGAGCGAGTGACACATCGACAACAAACGAGCTTCTCATGACGAATTGTGATTCTCAAATTGTGCATAACGAAGCCTGGGGTGGTGCAAATAAATTATTTATACTTTATTTTTTGCTTCATTGTTTTATTTATCGAGTTCATTACAAGCTCATTACATACCGCTGTCCAGCTCTCGACCGGTCAAGGCTTCACTCTGTTTTCCATACCTGTCTTCAAGATTTAGCTTACTTTCCACTATTTATGTTTTCAGCCATGATCCGCAGAGAAGCCAGACTCCGGCGTGAATATATCTACCGGAAGACGTTAGAAGAGAAGCAACGAGCACTAGAAGATAAGCGAAGCACGGTCGTTGCCGCCATCGAGTCACAAAAGTAAGACAATTTACGTAAACATTTTAATTTGCTTCAGAACGATCCCCAATGATTTGAAGAAGGATGCCCTTGCACTACAGAATGGAGCTGATTGGGGCGGACAAGTAAGGAAATTAGAGGATTTCAATATTTTTGGTTTAGATAAACGAAGTTGATGACGAATATCGCTGGGCGGGTGCCACGGACCCGAAAGTTGTGATTACTACAAGCCATGACCCCTCATCGTCGTTGAAAGTGTTTTCAAAGGTTTCTTTAGAAATCGTTGTTTTTTTAAGCTTGTAATTTAAGGTCGAAACTTGACTTCTGTTAGGTCCGGCAGAGCGATTGGGGAGATATAGGGAGCGAAGGGCGCTACTCCCCCCCACCCCCCATTTTCAGCATTTTCAGCATTTCTGAAAATGCTGAATTTCGCGCATATAAATAGAACATTTCACTATCTGTCATCATCGCCACCTTGGCCGAGTGGTCTAAGGCGCCCGACTTATGATCGGGTCCGGGTAACCGGGCGCGGGTTCGAACCCCGCAGGTGGCAAACTTTTTGCTTTTTGCCCGATTTTTCGCTAAGGCTTGGGGTAGGTATATGATGACATACTGGCCTTTATTTTTTTGGTATTTGAACCCATTAAGTACCCGCGAACCACGGGTTTTGGAGCATGTCTTAAAATGTGAAAAATAAAAATATATTGGAATTCTAGCTAAATAACTATATGACGAGTTTACGACCGAATTATTGAAAGTTTTTTTCAGGAAATGAAGCTGATTTTCCCCAATGCCCAGCGTATCAATCGTGGTAAAGCCGACATCAAGCACATTTGCCAAGCCTGCAAAGCCAACGATGTAAGAATTGGAAAGGCCATTACGATTTTTTTAGGTCACAGATCTAATCATCCTGCACGAAACTTCCGGGAGGCCGGATGGGATGGTGGTCTGCCATCTTCCCTTCGGCCCAACCACCTATTTCACACTTTCCAACGTTGTCATGCGACACGATCTTCCTGATTGCGGAAAGGTATGGATGGGTTTTCCGCTTATTAACAGGCCTTTTTTAGATGTCCGAGCAATACCCACATCTCATCTTTCACAATATGGACACCAAGATTGGCATGAGGGTATTTCCGGCGTTACCAGGCTAATCCACTGGATTTAGTTGACGAACGTGCTGAAACACCTCTTTCCGGTGCCGAAACCCGAGGCGAAGCGGATTATGTCTTTCATCAATAATGACGATTTCATCTCGTTCCGGCATCATGTCTACAAGAAGGTTTGCGGAAGCCCAAAATTTCGAATTTATTCTTGTTTTAAGGTTGAGGGAGGTGAGATCGAATTGGAAGAGGTCGGGCCAAGATTCGAGTTGAGACGTAAGTTATTTAGATGAATCTAATCCGTTTGATGACCTATCTTTATGCCTCTTTTCAGCGTACTGCATCAAACTGGGCACCCTGGAGAACATCAAGGCGGCCGAGGACGAATGGGTGCTGCGCAACTTTATGCGCACCAGTCACAAGCGCCAGTGGCTGAGCAGTGGAAAGCACGATGAGGACTTTGAAGACGAATTGCCCGATATCTAGAGCTGTTGAGTTGCTGTTTTTGTTGTGTTGATTTTCAAATGTTTTGTTAGAGTTTGGTTGTTACGTTGTTCTTGTTAAAGTTTTATTCCACGAGATAACCCTGAAAAAAATAAATACTATGAGTATCACAGTTGGCTGTATCACACATGCATCCCAAAGAGTAGCTTAGCAGATATATCCAAAAAATCAAAGTCGTCCCTTCTGCTCGCGGAGCAGTTTTGAGCATTGTATGACGCAAGAGGTATCCTGACAAATTAATAATTTAGAGGTTTTAGGATTACCGTAGCAATATCGCTGAGCAAGTATGTGTCAAGGAGGCTTTCGCACTTTTCCACGATCATCGGATGGCATTCGGGCTGAAATTAGTGAATTTGGTTTTTTGTCAAACTTCTACTCCGTCGGCTGTACAAGTGCAGGTGACGCAGGGCATTGCTCTGGCGGTTTTGCCCCGTCCGACGACTCGATCACCGATTACGCACCATTCTGAAGGGTTAATGGGGTTGTTTATTACTTTTTTGGGAGTTCAATATAGTTTCTAGGCATTGCTTAGAAACCCCTAGCTTTTATAAGACTTACGCCTGTCCACCCATTCGGTCAAGTCGACTTGTGGCACCTCGGAACAGGTGATTGGTGAATTGCTAGGCAAGAGCAGTTAATTTTCAACAGAAAAATTATAGAATTTCTCACCTCAACTCATCGGCCATCAAAAATACGTTAGGCTGGATCTGGCTGGCCCACTGGCTATTCTGGCAGAACATGGCCGCGAGGGACGATTTGCGAATTTCGGCTAATTGACCTAGATAGGGATTTATTTTTCGATTAAATTCGAAAAAACCATTTAAGTGTGTTTTCGTCTTACCAGCAGCAACTAAATTTTAATAGTAATTTTTAATAAAGTTTAGCTAATTTCCAATGAAAAATTATTACCCGGCGTAAATCGCGTTGACGGCTGATCATTTTCATAGTAGAACCGATCGCACTTCTTCAACCGTTGCATTTGCTCGGCAATGATGCAGGCGAGCATCGGCCCGACTAGCGCTCCCTTTAGCGGCCGCTCGCTCATCAGCCCCGGGAATAGGTCGATATCGTCCACGCTTTCGTAGACCTTTTCCAGGGCCTAAAACCTTATATAAAATTTTTAACTAAGCGAAACAACCTCAATCGCCTCCTTATCCATCGTATCTTTCAGGTCGGCAAATCGGTGGGCACGCGGGAAACCGCAGATTTCACTATATATGATTTTTTAGAGGTTGAAACGGGTCCACTAACCGATACGCGTTATAGGGTTGAACGCCGTGATCTCGTCCTCGCTGGATGTTGACAGCGGGTAAGTCGATTCCTAGATTTTTTTGGTTTTAGCTAAATGCCAATGTACCTGTCAGTGGCCCTCCCGGTTTTGCGAATAGGTGATTCCGAACAGCATCCGTAATGTGGCGATCGAACGCCATGCTAGGTAATTGTTTAATTAACCTAATTTGAAAAAATTAAATATGAAAATTCGATGCTTTCGCATTGTCGGGGGGTGGACCAATTTTTTCTAAAGATCCAATTTTCTAAAATAAATAGAGGAAGCGTTGCTAAACTGTTTTTACTATGCATGGATGTAAAAATTTTACAAATTTGATTGAAAAAAATACAAAAAATGTCCTTTTTCTGCTAAAATTTGTTCTAAAGATTTTTCAAAGTTTTTGATTGTTTTCCATTGAAAATTTAGATAACTTTTACTAAAACACTATTAGAAAGCTTATTATTACTATTACTGGTATTACAGGAAAAAAATTGGTCCCCCCCATAATGCGAAAGAACCCAAAATTGAAAAAGCCTATTTCGCCCACCTATGCGCCCCAACCAGCCCCATCAGCAGCGACTCCATATGGCCCACGGTTTTGTTGTAGAGCGGAAGTGGATTCGCAAAGTGATCCTAAATTTTGGGTGCATAATATGGCAGCTAGCAGAGAATCTTGGGGAAATTTCCCGCTCTGAATATTGACGTACGTACCTTCAAAACGACCGGCTCGGTCTCGTTGCCAAAAGCCGCATTCATGCGCGGGAACATGGCTCGAATCAGGGTGTGGCCGAAGCGGAAGGCTACAAAAGTTTACGCATACAATAACTTGCTAAAGCCCACCGGAAGTTGACATTTCTTGCGTGATGGACGCGTCACAATGGGGGTCATATTCTGAAAAAAAAAGGATTTTTGACCTTCGCCGAACAAACCGGTGTAGTAGCCATTCTTCTTTGGCATCAGATCGTATCTGGCCATCGTCTCGCAGCCCAGGACCACCTAACATTTACAAAAATAATTTGATGTAGTTTCGGGCTCTGCTCTATTAACGGCGGAGGGGGGGGGGTAAAATTCCGTACGGCGTTATAACGAACTATAGACAAATTATTGACTTTTTGGCTAAAAATATATGAAAGATAAATAAAACGGCCCATCCTCCGCCCCCCCGTTAACAGGGAAAAACCGATTTTCGACGCAATTTTCTATTTAATTCCGAAATTGGCTCCTACCGGCAACCATTCGGCGAAGATGATGTGCTGTAGCTTCGCGATCATGATCCGACGCGTTTCCTAAAGCATTTTTTGCGCAAAAAGGTATAAATTGCACCTGATACAACTGCTCGTCGCTCCAGAAGTTGTTCAGCTTCCTCAGCTCGGTGGCCATTCGGTTGTGTTCGCGTAGGAAGATGGTGTGGATTACGGCGAGTCCAGGCTGTTCGTTCACCCGTTCATCTCCAGCCTCGAAGCAGCGGGCCCTGAAGATTTGAAGATATCTTTTGCTTTATAGCTCATACTTACTTGGGATCTTTGAGAATGGAGCGGCAGTCTCGCTCTTGCGGGCCTTGGGGTAGGGCTTCTTTGTTGAAACTTAAAAATTAGCTTTATTAATTAATTAACGATATTTCAATTCATAAATAACGCCCAAATCGTTATTTTATATTTTTCTACAGAAATTTGGAAACGCTAATTCCTCTTTCACTCGATTTCTTGGCCGAGCCCACATACCTGCCTCGTGCCTCCACTCTCAGCCCGCTATCTGGCTTCCCCCCTCTACAAATACCCCCTCCTCACTCCTCCTTTCGCCTACGACCATACCACGTTGAAAGCACGGCATCCCGTCCGATCTGCCAAGTTAAGCAACGTTGGGCTCGGTTAGTACTTGGATCGGAGACGGCTTGGGAATCCCGAGTGTCGTAGGCTTTTTGCACTTTTTTAGTTCACTAATTCAACTTCCAAAGCAATTGGCAGTCTTTTTACGACGCCACTCACCCCAAATTCGTAAAGTTGAGCAACCCCCTCGAGAAGAGGCGCAATTTGTTGGCCTCGCACTGCGTGGAGCCGTAGATGGTCGAAGCGTCCAAGTATGAAGTGAGCTGGTTTAGCTAAAAATGGAGGTATTGAGTGTTTTATAATTCTTACCTGATTCCGATAGCCAAGGGTAAGCTGGCCGAGAAGGCTCCGGGCAAACGGCATGCATCTACAATTTTGCTAAAGTTGAAAGTTACGAAATTGAACCTTGGCCGTCCATCCGGGTATGTGGCTGGGAAGAAAGGGTCCCCTTGATCGATTTTTATCGGGAAGCAATGAACTAAAAAATATATTAAGAAGTCCACACACTTAACCTGATAATTTTTGATACGAATCACACTCGGAGCAGTTGAGTATCGTATTTCCGGGTCCTAAAAACTTAGTTTGAAGACCTAGTGTTTGGAAAACCTCGCGAAATCGGTGAATGCATCATGTCGTGGTCGAGAATTTGCCCGAATTGCATTACCTAAATAGCGATATTTAAGAAACTAGGGGCGAGTTTACCATGTGCGTGAATTTGACGTGGAAATTCGGGGCATCCGCGTGGACGACGTTCGAGATTTTTCGGGCTGACGGCAGAGTTTTACCGGATTTGGCTTTTGTTCGCGGGTGATCGAAGCCTGAAAAAGAAACCATTGTTTTTATATTATTTTTTAAAGTATTAAAAATACTTCTAATTTAGATTTATGTTGCCTAATTACTGTTGCAATAAAACAGGCCATTTTTATAGTGTTTTATAGTGGTTTTCGATAACCAAAAATTCATAAAAACCTATTAAACATTAAGGTTTTTAGTTTCACGAACCCTTCAAATGTAAAAAATTTAAACGCTATGGAATACTTTCTACTTAATTATTCGGATCTAGCTATTCGAATAGGCAAATTTTAACCCCCCCTTCCCCCCCCCCCCCGCTAACGCACGTGAACCGCAAAAGCTACAAAACGATACCATCATCATAAGCCGGGTCCAACAACCGGCGCATCGACCCGAACGCGTTGCCGTACTTGGGAAACTTCAGATTGTTGCACCAGCCGGAGAAGGTTCTATTGGGATTCGATTTAACTTTTTAAAGTCCCTTAAAATACCTATATTTTGTGGTGTGATCACAGGGCAACGGTTCCGGCAAACATTCCTCGCGCTTCGGGTTGTCACGCCCTAAATTAACGTCGATTTAATTGTTATTATTTATTTAATTACTTACCCAAGAATGGCGTAAAATTGCCGACAACCTTGGCCACATCGACGCCGGGAAGTAGCTGCTTTAGGGTGGAGATATCGAGGGATTGAGGCAGACGCTCCTCGGGGTTGAGTTGACTTCTGGAAACAAAAAGACCTTTTATGTATAGTAGCATAATAGTAAGTATTTTATAGTATTGTTCGAAGATTTAACTATATTTAAAGTGGAAAAACTATTTATTGAACCTAAAAAATGTTGGAAAAATCGGGATTTTGTTCGAAAATCGGCCAAATTGTCGAAAAATCGTATTTTTATTATATTTATATTATATCAATTTCGGAATTTTTATAGAATTAGCATTATTTGATATAACTTAAAGCTTAGTAGCTAAACTATTACTCACCCATCCACCAGGATTCGCGTCGTTTCGGAGAGAATTCCCGCCGTGCGTGCAATATCCAACGACTCCTTTTTCGGGGCCATAAGTAGCGAATGGGAGAGCAGCGCCGCCGGTAGATCACCACGGTTTCCTATAGGGATACATTAATAAATCCAAAAAACTTAAAAAATCTATCATCAAAATGGACCTTGAGCAGCAATGCGGCCCTTCTCGGCCTTCTCCAGCCTCTCATACTGCTCGTAGCCAAGGCGAATGGCTTTCTCGAGGGTTGCCTATAAAGTCAAATTTTAGAGAACTATAGAGATCTTGATAATTGCTACTTTGAAGGTATTTTTAAAACGATGAAAATGTCGAATTTGGTATACCACTCGATTTCTTTGCCGAAACTGTCTGGCGTCTCCACTCTCGTCCCACTATCTCACCTCTCTCCTCTACAAATACCCCCTCCTCACTCCTCCCTTCGCCTACGACCATACCACGTTGAAAGCACGGCATCCCGTCCGATCTGCCAAGTTAAGCAACGTTGGGCTCGGTTAGTACTTGGATCGGAGACGGCTTGGGAATCCCGAGTGTCGTAGGCTTTTTGCAGTTTTTAAGGGTGCGGAGACGGTTTTCGTTTTGGATTCCGGCTTTTTTAGTACTACCTTCGTGATGGGGAGCTTCAACTCCGGCTCCTCGTCGGCCCAGGCGGAGAAGTCGATTTTCGGGATGACCGTGGAGTTGCAGTCAACCAGGCAATTTCTAAAAAACCCCTTATTTAGGAATCGGACAATTCTGCCAAACCCCCATTGATCGGGGACGTTGAAGAGGTGGGGCTGCATCTGGAGGCCCGGCTCGGAGTTGTCGCAGACTATCTGTAGCCCATAAGGTAAAAAATCGTTGTAGAAAATTGACCGTACCCTGGCTAGCGTGGTCTTTCTGAGCTCTTCGAGTTGCTCGATGGTGAAGGCGGACGGGACGAAGAAGTTCTCGTACCAGAAGCGGTCGCCCCTTCTCGTCTAAATTACTAAATAGTGGATCTGAGTGTTTCGTAGCCTACATTGTAGAATTGGCGGGTGGTGATGCAGCCGAAGGTTGGACCGAGGAGGGCTCCCTAAATTATCATTAGTGTGTTTTTATGGTTTCTCCCTCTCTTTAAATGGTTAGGCAAGGTATTGCTATGGATTGGGCGTCCTAGGGATCCATTACACTACCTTGCTCGTCCCCTTAACAATACGTTTTTTACGCACCTTCACCGGGCTCTCCATCAACCCCCCAACGAACAGGTCCACATCTTCCACGCGGCGATACACCTGTGCCAGCGCGTCGACCAGCGTTACGTTTTGCACCTAACAACTGGGGTCTTAGAGGCTGAATTCTAAAACGCACCTCGTCAGCGAACTGGCGCCAATCTCGGGGAACACTCAGCCCACACCACTTTCGCCATTTCGAGTAGCTAGCCAGCCCGTGGTCCCGGCCCATTTGGATGATGATCGCGGCCAGGTCGAGGCCTGGAATTTGGGATTAAAGGAGCTAGGAAGTGGAAGAATCGACAATTGTTGTCGCTGGGGTATGGACAGCTACGCGATGCGTCAAAATACAGGTGAAAGCAAGGAGGAGATGATAAGAATTAGAGAACGAGAGATATCGGGAGAGAGCGAGAGAGAGCGAGAGATATGGAGATTCAGGGAAAAAGAGAGAGCGAGAGCGAGAGAGCGTGAGATAACGAGATACAAGGCGAGCGATAGATAGTGAGAATGAGCGAGATCGAGGGAGAAAATCCTCGATTCTCGTGCTTCACAGCCTCTTTGCAGGGGCTGGGAAGTCGGAATTTTTTTGGAAAAATCCATAAAAAGATCACCCGAGGTCTACAGTACACTTCCGGAACCCCTAAAAAAATCTCCCCACACTCACCTTTAACCCCCAAAAAGTTGTGGCGCATTGCGTCGGCCATCTGCAGCCCCGGCTCGTTGATCTGGCGTTGTGCCAAAAATCTATAAAATTAGATTCCTTACTTTCACAAGGATTTTTCAATACCTGACAACCCCATCGAGGGCCCCGCGACTGTGCAATTGACTGGGGTTGTTGAAGGCTTGGCGCAGATCGTCTTCCCTGGAATGTGCCCGTGTTACCGTACCCTATGGAGGGACCACCTAGCCACGTCGCCGTGCTCGTCGAGGTACTGGACGGTGGGCGGGTGGAGGGTGTAGAAGAATTGGCCAATGGCGGCGGCGAATTCGTTGAGGACGGTAGGGTCGACGTCCTGGAAGGAGGGGTAGGCTAGCGGGGGTTCTTTGGGCAGGGCTCAAGGAAACATGTAAGCACGAACTTTCGCTCTCTCTCTCTCTCTCTCTCTCTCTCTCTCTCTTTCTAGCTCACTCTCTTTATTTCACGATGTCACTCTCGCTATTCGCTTTGTCAGGCTCGCTCTCGCTGTCTCTCTCTCTTTCTCTCTCTCACTCTCTCTCTCTCGCTCCCTCACTCCCTATCCGTCCTCTTACCATATCATAATCCGAATCATAACCCCGATGCCGCAACGCCAGCCCATTCCGTCTCAATCCCTCCTTCCCCACCAGCATCGGCAACATCTAAAGGAGCGCAACGTAGCGAAAAACGGGCACCGTAACCCCACCTCATTATACGTGATATGCTGCAGTTGGGCAACGACTACTCGGCGGGCTTCTTGGAACAGTTTCTCGTCACCCCAGTGCGGGTTGACGCGCTGAAAATTTGGGGTATTCCGGTTTAATGAAGAATGCAACTACGAACTACAAGAGTAAAGTATAGGCCAAAATCCGATACCTTTAAACCATCCGCAATATGGTTATGCTGGCGCATCCAAAGGGCATAAAGAGCGGCAAGTGTGGGTAGTTGATTGGCGCGGGGGTGGCCGGTACGGAAACAGCGCTTGAAAATGATATTTATGGCTTGAAGGGGCCTTTAAAGGAGCCGGAAACTTGCTCATTTCTTTACTCTAAAGTCTCTAGCGACCTGAACGCGTGCGGGCGCGTCGAGTGTCGCGTTACAAACCGACTGCGACGCGCCCGCATGCGTCAACGGGTCGTTTTAGACTCACCTGACTTCCCTGGCATTCCGTTTCGCTTGCAGAAGCCGTCAGCGGGAAGCCGAGTTTCAAGCCGAGCGGCACGGAGAGCGAGAGTTTTCCTGAATTGAGTTGATACGGGTTCTCTTTGCCTGTCAGTCTGTCTCTCTCTGTCCCTCTCTTTCTCTCACGCTCTCTCTCTCACGCTCTCTCTTTCTCGCTCTCTCTCTCTCACTCGCTCTCTCTCACTAACTCTCTCTCTCTCGCTCTTTCACTCTTCTCTCCGAATCTCTCTCTAGCTCTCTCATCTCTCTCTCTCACGCGCTCTCACTCACCATCCCGAAAGCTGCGCAACGAGTTGGCCACCTCCAGCGTCGACCCGTAGATCTGGCTAGCATCCAGGAACGAGCTTACGGTATTACTCTGCTCCCTGGGCCCCAGAGAGCAGTTTTCCCGTGGCGCCGCCAATGTCCGGGCATACGGTAGACACTTCTCTAAAGCGTGTCCTAGTCACAGGTTACCGCCGCCCATACCGTCCTCTCTGTCCTGATTTTTTATCGGAAAGCAGTCTGGATGCTCCACCTCGTCGTCACAACACGGCACTGGGGGCGGTTGAACTGCTAGAAGACGTTTTTTTGCAGTTTTAAAGAAATTAGAAAAGCAACAAAGTAGAGCATTTACACGTGGAAATTGACCAACTTGTAAAGTATCGCGAGGTACCGCGCGTCAGATGCGAATTCCCGGCCAGGCTCAGGTCGTCATAGATGAACGACGCCCACGCGGTGGTGAACAACGAGCACGAGCCGTGCACCCGTTCCGGTCTACCAAAGAGGGAGGAGACCTAAAATGGTCTTGTTCTTTTGCTTTAAAAAGCTCTAAAGCCGACGCGTCGCGGCTGAGGAGAGAGGCGCAAGCAATGCGCTACAGCGTTACAAAACTATTAAATGATTATTTTATATTTTGATGGCGCGCGTCACGGTCACTTTGCGTCAAACGGGGAAAATGACGCAACGCAGCCTCAACGCGTTGGCCCTATCAGCCCTACCTCAAATCCACTCGGCAGCCCATCGTGCCTAGAGGTCCCGCGCGGAATGGCGATACCTAAAAGGCGGGAAGCTACAGTACACGCCTGTGACACCTACCATCTCGATAGGCAGCCCGACCCATCCGTTGCATCGGCTGAAGGTTGGCACCCCAGAGAGCATGGCGAACATTGTTACAATGGCCAGAGTAGCTTCTGGAAATTACAAATATTTATCAGACGAGAGAGAGAGAGCAAGGAAGTCTCGGACCTGTATTTTCCCGGAATGCACTCTTCGATCGCGTTTTGAGGGCAAATCTGTAAAAAAAATATCTAAAGCATTTGTAAAAAGCCCAAAATTTGGAAAAATGCATCATTTCTTAGCCTTTCCATGTTATAAATAGATTTCATTAATTAAATTTTACCTCTGCCAGGGCGGATCCCTTCAATTGCGCCTTTTCCAGCTGCTCCCGACTGGCTCCTCGACTAAATGAAAATTTTTTAAGCTTTAAAGGGACCGTGAAGTCAGAAGACGATTCATGGCCGATTGGTTAAGCTCTCGCCTGCCATCTACACGACCCGGGTTCGACCCCGCGCGCCGCAGCAAAATTTTTTGCCTTTGCCCTACCTGACCAGCTGTTGAGAGGCGATCTGGCTGACGAGGGCCGAGTACGATAATTCCTTTGCCGATCGGTTTGAACCCCAGAATTTGAGCATGACCGTGCCGGCCTTCGTGGCCGCTAAAACGGGGTTACGGTCGAAAAAAAGAATATGACAAAAAGACAACGGAGAAGAGGAGAAAGACAAACTAGGATACCGTAATTAATAAGGGACTCTAGCTAGCTAAAAATCCTTTAAATTACTTTAAAAAATGAGAAAAATCCAAAATACCTCTCGTGGCCAGGCTGGGCTCCGTCTTATTAAATAGATGATCAACATCTTCCCTTGCTGCCTCGAGAATTTGGCGTACTGTAGCTTGGTTAAGGGGCTTGACGGGCTGAAAGTGGGCAGGCTAGCAGAGACGATTTGGGATTCTGTGCGTATATGAAAACTATGAAAAATGCGTTTTAAAGAGGTTGTGACAGCTTAAATCACGAATTCATTTTAAATTTTAATCGATTGGAAAAACTGAGCCTGAAAGTTAATAGCGTAATTTGGAGCATAATAATGTTTTATAACTCATAGATTCTTCTAAATTTGCAGCCTATCTCTGTCCCTTTAAATCGTTCGAAAACTACCGTAACCCACCCGATCACTTTCGCTCGAATCGTCCTCAAATGATGGAGGCAGAGGGATCGGGTCGAACCTGGGGCGAAGATCGTCTAAAATTCATTTTTTATTGCCGAAGCCGAAGCCTAAGCCTAAGATAAGCCCGTGCTAACTAAGCCTAAGCCGAAGCTAATCTAGGCTTAAACGAAGCCGAAACCGACGCACAAGCCCACCGTCAGCCTAAGCCCGAGCTCGCCCAAGGCCTTACCCAAAATCGTTTTCGCAGCCCTCGCCTTCCCACCGGCGCATTTTGTGAAAGAATTCCCACATGGGAAACTGCTGCCCAAAATCGAGGGAATTAGGAGTAGAAATAGGAATAGTTCCCGTTCTTTCATAATCTGAAAAATGGGAGATACGGTAGAATACTGCGGCTACTGTATAGCAGAAGAAGAATAAAATTTTTCTATCAGCTTCTTCTTTATTAATACCAACACTCCAAAAAAACGGGCGCCGTTCCGGTGGATTCCGAGAAGATTGGCTACGGTGAAAGGAAGACGATGAGTAAGTGGATCTGTATATATTGAGGAAGAGAGAGAGAGAGAGAGAGAGAGAGAGCGAACCGGCCGAAGGACAATCAAGGAAAGTCATAGCCCTACACGCAGCCCGCCATGGCTATAATTGGCTAGCCGTGGCAGCATTATTCGTGAACCTGGGAAAGTCGAGGCCGACGACTTCCAGACGTTCCGCAATGATCTATGCTAGCCTGCCCTCTCCCAATTCCTCAAAGAATCTCTGCTAGCCTGCCCTCTCTCAATTCCTCAAAGAATCTCTGCGAACCAAAAAAGAAGCGTAGGAATTTGAGGTCTAATAGATAGAAGAAAACGACGATTTCTGGTGCTCAAGAGCCAGGAGAACAGTCAAGTCTAGGTCCTATGAAATCGAAAATCGTGTCAATGCGGTGCGACATTGCCTGGGGACACGTTGGCCTGGATTTCTGGGGCCAAATTATCCCAAAAACACCCCCATTATTTCAGGGGGGTCAAGAAAGGGGAAAGCCGAGGAAAATTCCGAGGGAATACGCGGGGCTACGGTAGTGAAAACGAGGAGATATGCCCCCGTCTGGCTTCATAGATTTGCCACAGGGACTGTCGATGGCAATGGCTCATAGCGGGGGGAGAGGAGAAGATGCATATCTCGGCTGGTCCACCCCATATTATCTGCCCCCTCCCACCCAAATGGCATCCGAATAGCCATCCACCTTTCGCTTATTAGCCCCCTAGGGCAATGTGCCTTTTAAAGGGACTGTGAAGGTAGGGGGAACTTATGGAGTCCTTTGATTACTTAAAGGGGCTCTGAAATCTGGTCCACGGCCCCCTGCTGTGATTCCTGGCAAATAGCCAGATGCGACCGCAACGCGACCGCGCCGCATGGTCTTTTGCCCATGTTTGGACGCGAAAACGCTAAAATTTAAAAATTCTAATGCTATTTTTTGGAATCTTCACCAAATTTTGATCATTCTAGACTTTTAAATTATGAAAATTGGCCAGGAAATCGTCGAGATCGAGAGATTGGGTGCCTTACAAGGCATTACGACAGGTAATCGCCGCGCACTCAAAATGTCGTTTTCGCCCCAAAAAGAATTCTGATTTTCTCAAATATTTTACTTTTTTTCGCAATGAAATCACTTTTCTGGCACTTCTCGGCAGTGACCCTTGCGTTTTTTGACCAGTAGGTTCAATCCCAGCACGCACGAATTTTGACTTCTGAGCCCCTTTAAGGTTCCTTTGAACATCAGTTTCTCGATGAATCGCTACTTAAAAAAATCTTAAAAATGAGTTTTTAAAATTCATTTTTTATCGCACTTTCAAGGCTTTTTAAAGGGATCAAGAGGCCAAGGAAATCTATAGACTAGTTTCTTTCGGAAGTGATAACAACGTAAATCCACTGATAGCGCTAAAAATTATTTGGTCACAACGTTTCCGAGCGTCCGGACATTTTAAAGAAACTTTCAAGGAATCGAAAGTCTTCCCTAGATTAGACTTCCAAGTCCCTTTAAAACCCAAAATTCACTGTAAAGCTTTCAAGCAGATGGGAATGGCGCCAATTTATTCGCTGTGGAGAGAAATATTGCGATCAGATCCATTCGATTTTCGAGTCAAAAACTTTATTATCGAAACTGTAGACGATGTACACACGAAAATACAAGAGACACGACAAAGGAGTACGAGTTGCGCGAGTAGAAGAATCAATGCAAAAACAGATGCAGATAGAAATAGTACAGAAAGAACGAGAATTAGATTTTGAGGGGTCAATGTTAAACACACAAAATCAATGGACATAACGAGAATTTAATGTACTTATTTCTTCAAGCTGTTCGGCAGATGATGTTGATGCTTCTGGCCTTGTCGATGTTGGCGGCGTTCGGGGTTCAGCCCATCCGCATCCTCTACCAACGGCCCAGCAGAGAAGACGAAAACACGGTCTGGGAGACGAGCTGGGGAAGGAGAGCTGCTCGATCTCGAAGACATCGGCGAGCGGTCACCCTCCACGACGAAGAGCAGCAACACTGCGTTCATCATGCCGGGGAGCGGCAGTGATAGCGGCAACTCCACAATCCAAGTGATCGAGAAGGGGACCATGGTGAAGCTGACGAACGGAAGTGAAGTGCACATCTGCCATCAAGTCTTCGTGGTGCCGCCCAAAAGCATCATCATCCTCGGGACGACCATCGATCGGATTGATGTGCTCTGCAGAAGCAAGGATCATCAGCTGCGCTGCGACGGCTCGAACAAGCTCGATTGCGCTGGCCCGATCGACGTGTACTCCATGAAGGCCACCGTGTCCGACGCCACCACCAGGCTTGTGGCCGTGGTGTTGTTCTTGGAGATGACCGCCTCGACGTCGTTTCCATTTTGCTTCCTGGCGCCCGTCTTCTTGATGATGTAGTAGGAGACGATGGCGGCGAGGAGCAGGTGAAGGATGATCAGCCCGATGACCACGAGCAGCCACCACCAAGATGACTTCTCGCCGTCGAGGATCGGCGGCGCCGCGGTCGAGCTGAAATGTAAGGGTTGATCGAAGCCGCCAATGGTCTCTGCTAGCCCCCTCAATGGTCTCTGCTAGCTCGCCTCACTTAGTATGTGCTCCTCGCCGCCACGTCTCCTACTACATCATCAAGAAGACGGGCGTCAGGAAGCAAAATGGAAACGACGTCGAGGCGGTCACCTCCAAGAACAACACCACGGCCACAAGCCTGGTAGTGGCGTCGGACACGTTGGCCTTCATGGAGTACACGTCGATCGGGCCAGCGCAATCGAGCTTGTTCGAGCCGTCGCAGCGCAGCTGATGATCCTTGCTTCTGCAGAGCACATCAATCCGATCGATGGTCGTCCCGAGGATGATGATGCTTTTGGGCGGCACCACGAAGACTTGATGGCAGATGTGCACTTCACTTCCGTTCGTCAGCTTCACCATGGTCCCCTTCTCGATCACTTGGATTGTGGAGTTGCCGCTATCACTGCCGCTCCCCGGCATGATGAACGCAGTGTTGCTGCTCTTCGTCGTAGAGGGTGACGGCTCGTCCATGTTCTTCGAGATCTAGCAGCTCTCCTTCCCAAGGTCGTCTCCCAGACCGTGTTTTCGTCTTCTCTGCTGGGCCGTTGGTCGAGGATGCGGATGCCGGAAGCTGAAAAAATGGTCAATTCAACGAAGAAAGAAACGGAGACACAGAAGCCGGCATCATCAAGGAGTTCAAGCAAACGAAAGCCGAAACAAATGATGCGCACCGTAGGATACTGGGGGCGACACTGGCTCATCCTTTTGCGACGTCTTCAAGATGTTCGGGCAGTTTCCGGGCAGCTCCGATTCCGAAGGCTGTTGCCGGGATCTGATGAATGATAAACGGACTAAAATTCCTTTATAGTTTGTAGTGTATGCTAATGAGGGCTGCTACCATCCGTCAGCTAAACGATGTATTGAAATCAGGAATTCAGTATACAATAATCATTAATCATTATCAGAAAAGCGGGTGTGTATCTCTCACACCTTCTTTCTCTCTCTCTCAGTCTCTCTCACTCACTCTCTCTCTCTCTCTCTCTGTCTTCGTCTCTCTCACTCTCTGTCCCAAAGAAATCTTTATCATCTTTCACATAAACATGAATAAAACCGATGGTCATTTGTCGTTAAATGCCGAGTCGATTGGCTGCCTGAGTGGAGATGATGTACGTAAAACGGCACCTGTTCGATTTGGAGATCCCGGGACGGCGCGGTTGTTGGAGAGTGAATTTAGTAAGGCCGGCACTAGGGGTGATTCATTTTTCTCAAGCGGTAAAAAAACCCGTACGTTTTAGATGGTCGCTCCAGTCAAAACGCCTGAAGGGGGAGTTGGGGGTCTCAAGTTGCTACGATATTCGTTTTCCGGAACTTTCTATTTGCAATAGCAGAGACCAGTGAGCAGAACTAGCAGCGGTCATTGAGGAGAGCTAGCAGAGACCATTGAGGAGAGCTAGCAGAGGCCATTGAGGAGGGCTAGCAGAGACCATTGAGGAGAGCTAGCAGAGGCCATTGGGGAGATGCAAAAAGCCATTGGATAGAGCGTCGAATACTATACTAAGAGATTTAATTTCAGTCGGAAAAGCTCATTTTTAACGATTTTGAATTGAATAAATTTTGTAGCTTAATAAGTAATAATTTTAAATTGCGATATTTTGGGCTGAAATTAAATCTCTTCGTATATATCTCTCGCTCTATCCGATGACATGCTTGAATTGGCCCGACAGGTGCAATGTTTTCCACCCTCGTTATTTCTCCCCCCCGTTAAGCAATATTTACCCAAATTCTTTGAGTAGAGTGTAATTTCTGATGTTTCCATTCGACTTTCAAGCCAAATATTTTATTAATGATACTGTAGGCACACGAAAATACACGAGAAACGACAATGACATCAAGAAATATGTACATTTGGATTGCGAGGGGCCAGTATTACGAATAGACAACATGACACACAAAGGGGAATTGGGATGCACTTTTGACTTCGAGCGGTCCGGCGTGGATGAAGTTGTTGCTCTGCTGTCCTTGTTGATGTTGGCGGCAGCATTCGGGGTTCAGCGCCGGGCGGGACGACGAGGGGGAGGGGCGCCACGGGTGTTGTTCGTCGACTTGGCCGGGATGTGGCGGGTGGCCTTCATCTTCTTTTGCGCCGCCTGAAAAAGGATAGCTTGAATCGATTTTTGTCCAAAATTTCGACTTTTTAAAGGGAGTGTGACACTAACCTGCGCGCCCTCATCCTCGTCATCACACACCGTGGTGGACGACGGGCAGTCCCTGTCTGCCCGCAGGTGCCGCTCCGGCCGCTCGATTTCGGAGTCGGAGAGCTGCGTCTCGTCCTCCTCCTCGAGAGCCACCCACTAAAAACCAGGGGTTTAATTAACTAAATTAGTTAACAAAAATAACTTAATTAATTACTTAACTAAAGTTATTACGTTTAAATTTAAGTTACCTTAATTTAAATTTAAGTTTAAATTTATAGTTTAAGTACTATAAATTTTCAAATATATTATATCACTTTTTTGATAGTTTTTCCAGTTTTAAATATAGCTAAATATAGTTTTGCTAAAGCTCACCACATCGCCGACTCCGGGGCCATCATCGAATTCCCAGTACTCGTGGGACTCGTCGTCCCAGGTGAAGACGACTGGCTTCCATTCCTCCTGCTCTTCGCGCTCCCGCCGGTGTGTCTGAAAATAGCACAAGTTCAAGGCGTTCAACGATCCGACTTACCCACTGACCAGTATGGCCGTTGAACCGCTTCAATCCGCGGTGATACTTGAAAGTGCCGGGCTGCAAAACGAACGGCGCCTCTTCCTGAAAATTGTAAATTTTCAGATTTTTCGACAAAATTTGGAATTTTTCAACATTTTTTGTTAGATAGTTTTTCTATTTTAAATCTAGTGATATATTACTAAATACCCTATTAAACACGGACCCCCTCCCCCCGATAATGCAAAAGAACCCAAAAATGTTGAAAATTAGCTTTAGAACTCGAATATTTTATTTTAGATGACCAACCTTTGATGAAGATGCCTCCGGAGAGGTCATGCTCGGGCTGGCCATGCTCGGGGTCGCCTTGCTCGGAGTGGCTTTGCTGGTGGTTGCCATGCTCTGAGGTGTCGTCGTCGCGCTTGAGGTGGTAGTGGGCTTCGAGGTCGCCGGCGTGTTGTTCTTGGACAGCAGCGCCTCGACGTCGTGCCCCTTCGGCTTCTTGACGCCCTTCTTCTTCTTGATGATGTAGATGGAGACGGTGGCGGTGGTGACGATGAAGACGACGGTGAGGAGGAGGAGCACGATGACCACCAGCAGCCACCACCAAGATGACTTCTCGCCGTCGAGCGTCGGGGGCGCCGCGGTCGAGCTGAAAATGAATAGGTTGATTGAAGCCATGAATGGTCTCTGCTAGCTCTCCACAATGATCTCTGCCAGCCCTCCTCAATCGTCTCTGCTAGCGCGCCTCACTTACTAAGTGGTGGAGGCGCTGGAAACGGTCGTCTTCTTGCAGTGGACATCTATCGGGCCAAGGCAACTGAGCTTGTCGGCGCTGTCGCAGCGCAGGTGCTGATTAGTGTTTTTGCAGAGCACATCAATCTGATCCATGGTGGTCTCGATGATGATGATGCTGTTCGGCGGAACCGCGAAGTCTTCATCGCACATGGAGACTTCGCTTCCGTTCGTGAGCTTGACCATGGTGCCCTTCTCGAACACGTCGATCGTGGTGTCTTCGTATCCATTTGCGCCTGAGGGGAGCCGCCCGAACTTGCCATTCCCCGGCAAGATGAGGGAGCCGTTGCACGATCTGGTCGAGGGCGACGGCTCGGTGATGTTCTTCTGGCAGCTCCCGCACGGTGTTGGGGCGTTGGTCGAGGCTGCGGATGGCGGAAGCTAAAAAAAACCCGGTTAATTCAGCAAAATACCGACACAAAGAAGCCGACGTTATCAAAGAGTTCAAACAAACGAAAAGCCCAAAAATAATACCCACTGTAGGAAACTGGGTCGACACTGGCTCATCCTGCCGCGGCGTTGTCGAGATGTTCAGGCACTGTCCGGCCAGCGAAGGATTTTTCTGACAGTCGGACACGTCGGAGATGTTGATTGCCTGCTTCTCGTTGTCGGTAGGAGCCGTTGTGATACCCTAAAAAATATATTGATATTAATCGTCCAGTAGATACTCACGATTTGGGTGGATGGTGATGGTCGGACCGAACTGCTAGAGGACATCGGCGAAGGAGATGGCGTCGAGTCGCCTTGGACTTGGGGAGGCGGGCTTTTCTCGGGAAGCAGCGTCGTCTTCGGGTCGTTGGTCGTACTTCCGGTCGGCAACATCTTCGAGTTGTTCGTCTCATTGCCCTCGTCGGCGATGATGGGCTGCGGAACGACGAGGAGCAGCAACACCACCTAAACATTTAGTGCTTTACAAGGTTTCGAATAATAGCCAACCATTAGAACAATCCTCATCGACGGCATGTTGTGTTCCAACGAAGAAGTGGAAATCCGAAGGCTGTCGTCGGAAAATGAGTAATGATTTTCGAATCTCTTTTTATAGGCTGTAATGTATGCTAATCACGGTTTTAATCCGTCGGCTAAACAATGCATTCAAATAATGTATTCGAATTACCAAAAAGGCTGACGCGTACATCTCTCTCTCTCTCTCTCTCTCTCTTTCTGTCTCTCTCCCCCTCTCTCCTTATCTCTCCCTGTATCTCTCTCTTCTTTCTGTTTCTCTCTCTTTCTCTCTCGCTCTCTCTCTCTATCTCTTGGCACCTCTCTCTCTATCTCCCTCTCTATCTCGCTGCCTCTCTTTTTCTCACTTTTTTTCTTATTCTCGCTGCAATATTTATCAACATCTTTCACATAAACATGAATAAAACGGATGGCATTTTGTAGTCATATGGCGTGTCGATTAGCAGTCATGGTGAAGATGAACAACATCCCGAAGAAGTGCGGCTTCTTAGCGTTGTTGTTTGGTGGCGAAGAAGCCGGACTGAAATTGTTAGATATTGATTGAGGTTACAGGGCAGCTCCCCCCCCCTTGATCCACTGTACCTTGACACTCCGTCGTCGTAAGAGCCTGTAAAGTATACCAAAATCCTCGCCAGAGCAAACCGAACATTTTGGTATACTTTACACTACTGTAGGTCAACAGGTGGCCGAGAGGAAAAGTTAGGGATCGGCTGGGGGGAGGGGGTAAACTGAACTCTTACGGTGTAAACCGGTGGGGTAAGCGGCACGTGAGCCTTGATGGCATATCTGAACAACTACTTGCCTAGTTGTGGTAGTGGTGGTAGTGGTGGTTGTTGTGGTAGTTGTTGTAGTTGTAGTTGTCCACTCACTGAGCAGCTTGCAAAATACGTTGATCCCGTCGCTGCATTCGAAGGGCCGCCCGTCGCAATCAATTTCGGAATCGTACCCCATACAATAAAATTCTAGCCTGCCGGGTTTTTTCCAGTAGGTGAGGTTGCTGTTGGGCGGTATCGTAAAGTTTTGATTGCAGAGATGGATGAAGGTGCCATCCTCGAGTCGAAGCGTCATCAAACTGCCGGCGATTGGTCTGACATAGACGGTCGGTTCTCCGAGTATGTCAGATGCATCGGCATAGGTGCCACCCAACGCTGGTCGCCTGCCGTCGTGCAGCTGTATAATCTGGCCCGTGCATGACGAGGTGTCCGGGGGGATAGCTGCTGAATTGGCGGCCCTGATATCCCTGGAATTCCTCGATTCTGTGTCCTCCTTCTCATCGAATCCTTGACCAACGACGGGTGGCGTGCAGAGGACGACAAGTTGAAGCTGGAAATCACACGATTTTGAGAGTTTTTGCCAAGGGTTTAGTTTGTTTTATCCGTCCGCCTCCGACTAAACTCCGTGCTTAAAAAAACAGCCGACTGACCAGGAGGATAAACTTGCCGAGACGAAACATTAGGGCAGAAAAATGAAAATTCAATTGGGATTGGCTAGGCTAATTAGCTAAACATCAATCCCCAACCATCTCCCACTGATAAAAACCGGAAGTATGGGATTGAGCTGGATTTGATCTGATGTGAACATCATGCTAGATGCTAATTTGGGGATGTCAAGTGGAGGTTCAAAGTTGATTCAAATTCAAAGATACATTGAGGAGGGCTCGCAGAACCCTGCAAATAACATATATAAATACTTATATATGTAAATATTTTTTTGCAAAATTCCGTTTTCAGGCCCTTTTAAAGGAGTCAAAAAGCATGGTGCGTCGAATATATTATTCTGTGTTTTTATACATATAAAAGTATATTTTATTCTGTTCTCCAGCCGAGAATCACAAAATACTCTCTCTTTCTTCTTCTTCTGTTTCTTACTATACAAGGTGCATGGTAGGGGTTAATGTAGCCAAATTCGAGTGTTTTTGGGGTCGTTTCGCTTCGGGTGACGACAAGGGACAAAAATGGGATATACAGTCTCCCAGGAGAGGGTAAATTTGCGATTAAAACGTCGAGAATTTAATGGCGATTGGTGCGCTGGCCGCCGGCTCTCATTGCATATTGGATCATCACAACCTCGTCGCGGCTTCGCTGCGTCACCGGGGAGTTTTGCTCAGAGCTGGAAATTGTGGGATTTAAAGGGGTCGGGAAGCGGAGAGAGAGAGAACGCGTGAGAAGGAGCGACAGAGCGAGAGCGAGAGAGTGTGTGTGTGCGAGAGAGAGGCAGAGACAGAACCAAAAAAAGGGAGAACCTCAGAGCGCATGTCAGAGCGACAGAGAAAGAGAGCGAGCGAGAGAGAAAGAGAGAGCGAGAGAGAGAGAGTGACAGAAAAAGAGGTAGACAGTGGGAGAGAGAGCCAGAAAGAGAAATAGGCACAGAGAGAGAGAGCGACAGAGAGAGCGAAAGTGTGAGAGAGAGATAGAGATAGAGAGGGAGAGAGACAGAGAGAGAGATACAGAGAGAGAGAGAGCTATACAGCGAGAGACAGAGATTCCTCACCCTCCACTGCTTCCGGCACTTCCAATGCTTCCCGATGAGTGATGATATTTCCGGCCGACCTGCCCGTATTTAGTATTTACCTGTAGCCCGTCCTTCTGTTGGTTTGCTAAAAATTGGATCGTTTTAAAGGCTGGATCTTCTTCCTAATCCTGACTTCCCGGCCCCTTTAAAAGCGGTCTGTATGGTTTTCTGCCATAAACCGGTGAATCCCGAAGCGAATTCAAAATTCTTGCCCAAATTCCTGAAATCGTCTACCGTACCTCGCTGCAGATATCCGGGATCGTACTCATTATCGTACAGCTTGCGGGCGTGCTGTCCAGGTCTCGGTGAGAGGGCCTGTGTACGGTGGGGCGGGACCCAGCCTTCCTCATCTAAAATTTACCATTTTTAGCTTAGCCAATTCCCTAATCCCCCAATGGTCTCCGCTAGTTACCCACCTTGCATCGGCTGTGGTGATGGGGCGCCGGAAGCGTATCCCGGATCGATACGTCCGCCTCCGAGCGACGAGATCGAGTCTAAAGGAGTGTTGCGTCGTCGGTGTATCGTTCTACAGTATTCCGTCCGTACGGTACTCTACAGCAGTAGAAATCAATTTCTTATTCAGCACCAAAAAATACATTAGATATGCGTAGTGTCGCGTAGCACCATTAGGGGAAACCTGAGAGGGGTACGGTAGCTAGGGCAAGGTATTAGAGCAATGGGGGTCTATTCAGCGGATTCTAGAAGATATTCGACGTCGACGATTCGGATGAGGGACACTTTCTCCTCGACGAGAGCCCAAACCATATCCATCCAATCGATCGGATGCTCCTGGGTGGCCGCTTCAAAAAAGGGGCGCTGTTTAGGCAATCAGGAAGGCAAGGAATTCCCCAAACAATCTCTGCTAGTAGGCCAGTAAAACGGGTTAGTATTTCTTTCAAAATATTACAAAAAAGCACTCACCTTTCCTGTGGTACTTGGCGTACTTGTCGTATTCGGGGTACGGGCTGACCGGGCGGGGGCTGGCGGAGCGCGAACGGGCTGAGGAGACCGACAGGCGGCGCTTCTCGTGGGCTGCGCCTGAAGAAAAGAGTTGGACAAGTTCAAATAGCTCAGGCTTAAGCGAAGACTTAAGCGGATGCCGAGGCTTGAGCTTAGCCGTGGCTTAGCTTCGCAAGCTGGGCAGCTTCACTGACCGTATCCATACGAGCGATGGGGCATGGCTTCACGCGGGCTTGGCGGCACTTCCTCGGCAACCACAACCGGCGGCGCCTCGAAACGGGGCAGCTTCTTCGCTAAACCACAATATGGACTGGGTTACGGTAGCTGGGGCACCTTTCACGGGCTCCACGGTCGAACGCTTCCAGCCGACCATGCCGATGGCGTTCAGGGGTTGGTCGGTGATGTCCTGCAAGAGTTTTTGGGTTTTTTTTGCCGTGGATAGACTAAAATTTAAAAGCATTCTTCAACTTTTTCAACGGAATTTTCACTTGAGCATTAAAGGGCTATTAAGCTCAATTTTTATCATGCTTTTTTAAACCTTTTTTTCTTTGAGATCCAAAACACCGACGGACCAAAATCGGTGCGGTCAAGGTGCTGACAGCCAAAATGCCGATCGCTAAAATGCCGACAGGAAAATCCAGACGTAACAAAATGCCGAAAACTCCAATGCCGACACCGATAACACCGGTTTTTATGATTTTTAGCTAGTGTCGTATCGAGATTTTTGCTGTCGGCATTTTTGACCATCGCCGATTTGGCAGTGGAGCTCAAGGGAGCGCGTTTTTGGCTGTCGGCATTATTGCATGTCGGGATTATGGCTGTCGGAAATGCGGTTGTCGGGATTTTTACCGTACGCTTTCAGCTGCCCGGATTCTAGACTGTCGGGATTGAGATTTTCGGGATTTTGCTCGCCCGGATTAAGGACGTAATTTTCATGACTTCCCCGTCCCTTTAAAGTTCCTATGAACGCAGATGCCTAATTTCCATCTCAAATTTCCTCCTCCTTTCCTCGACCATGTTTTTGCAGGTTGCCGTGCGTGGTGATGGGGCTGTTTGGTCACTAGCCAGCGCCTTTTCAGAGCACAGCGACTGCTCTATTTGTGCTCGCGCTCAAATCAGTAGTGGGCCCCCTCCCTAGCATGGCCCCTTCCCTAAGGAGGCCCACATTTTGTTTGGAGAGCATCTTTTCACCTGGCGCGAAAAGGAATGGCCAATTTCCGTTTCCCAAAATTTGGGGCCGGGGAAATTGTTAAGGGAAAAGCGTGGTCCTCGGTATGGATACCTACGCGACACACCACACCAAAATACACGCGCCCTACACCGTACCTTCAGCGGCACTGTCGCGTCGTTGAGCGACTCGAGGTGGCGGAACGCCTGCGAGATGAACGGGATCGACTTGCGCCCATTCAACACCCATCGCCCTAAATGGTGGCCAGGCTACTGTAGCCTGGTGCGATGGAAAATACCTTCCAAGTCGAGGTACTTCAGGCGATCGGAGCCACGGCCGCGCACGACGGTGTCCATCTGGAATTTCGTGATTAGAGACAGAGAGAGAGAGAGAGAGAGAGAGAGAGAGAGAGAACACCCACCTTGAAATACTTGATATCGTCGGTGCGCAGACCGTAGTCGGGCATTGTCAGAAGGCCAACACGCTCCATTCCTTGCCTGAAAAAATAGGGAAATATAAAGTAAAAAATATTAAAAGGCACAATAGGGAATGTAAAGTTAAAAATTTTCTTTGCCTGAAAAAATTTTCAACATTTGTATTTGCAAATTTATGAATTATGTCGAAAATTTGCTTACTCCACAGAAGTGTCAAAAATTTTAGCCAAAAATCGAAGGAAGTTTGAATTTTACGAATGAAAAGCAGTAAAAATAAATAAATAAAAATCCTACGTAAAAATTAATAAGATAGCCATATTAGATGATTTTTACCATAGAATTCAAGTTTTAAAAAACTATTAAAACTCAGTGTCCGGAAAAGACGGAACGGAGCACGGCTGAACGCTTCTGAACTGTTCAACAACGTGCCGCCCTAAATACCGTATATCAGGAGCGGGTGGGGGAGGCTCCACCCCCTTTCTCCCGCCACCCCACCCAACCCAACTCGGGGGAGATAATTCGGAACTCTGAAAAAATAGAAAATGGTCAGGAAAGGCAGAAAGGGGAGGGGGAAGACGACGCTCCACTCCTATGCACACACCGCGCAATGGAGAAAATTTTGTAGGCGAAAAGCCGGGTGGGGCTGGAACGGTTTCTTCGAGGAGGTCAGTCAGTCCATACGGCGATTAGTGCGGGGAATTAGGTGCGGGTGGTTTGCTTGGTTTATGATGAAGCTACGCTAGAGAATAGAAAGAAAGTGAATTTTCCCCCAGTTTTCCTCAATTAATTCCCTATAACAAAATATAAACAATTTTTTAGAATTTTACACCGTTTTTTGTATATGAAAGGTGCGTCAAAAACTACCTTAAATTAACAAAAAAAATTGCTTATTGGTTAAAAATGCTTGGAAAATGACCAATAAAGTCAAAAAGTTTAAGTTCGTTTTTGCCGACTTTGATAACCTCCCAACAACATTTCTAAAAAATCAAATAAACATATATCATTAACACGTAAAAGAAGCGAAAAATAGGGACTAGCTTCCCCCCCGTTAACAGAATAGCACCGAAAAGGGCTGCCTAGGCTCGGGTTTGGCTTAATTCTAGGCTCAGAAATAGAATCTAGCTATTACGCTTATAAGTAAAACTACGTTAAAAAGTTATATAAAAGAAAGTTAGAATCAAGCGTTGCCCTATTTTCGATAGAAGTCAATTACGAGTCCCGGTTCAGACGGTCGGCCCTCCTTCAGACCCAGTAATTTTATACGGCATGAGGTTTGTAAAAAAAATCCACAAGTACGTCTGGCTATCCGTCTCTCTCTCTCTCTCTCTCTCTCTCTACCTATTCTTACAAGAGTCTCTACAAGGGTGAATCAAGATCGTGCCGGCGCGAACCCGGGCAATTTGCTGTTTGAGGTTGGCGGGGGAGTATTTGGGAGAACACCCCACCCTACAATTTTCCCTATAAGCCTTTTCTTCTCTATCCCGGCTGGGTCACACTTTGCCCCAAAAGACCCTGGCCGTATTCGACCCGCAAATCGGGCAGTAGATGAATCAGTCGGTCACTTTGCAGGGTGCGGGGGTTCCTTGACTGTTTGTTAGATCAGTGACCCTGCTCGAGTCCTTTTCCAACGCCGGTTCCGCCGAGGTAGGGCCCCTAAAAAGTTTTTAAACCTTTCGCGGAGCTTTTGGCAAAGTTTCAAGTGGAATGCAAGCGAGCGGGTGATTTCCTCTGGAATTTTGGATAAAGATAAAATTACCCGTTTTTCCGTAGACCTAGGTCGTAATTTTTTGTTGAAGTCGCTAGAAATGCCTAGTGACTTAATAGGAAATATTTTATGTTTTTGAGAAAATATATCCACTAGAAAAGGTTTTTTAAACTCTCAATTTCAATTTCAAAATTTTTCAAAAGGTTGAAATTTTGGTTATTCATATTTAAAAAATTGGATCCCAAGAAACCCCCCCCCCCCCCGATAACGGGAAATTCAACGCTAAAAGCTCTAGAACGAAATAAAACTAAAAAACATCGCTATATCGCCGGGAAAATATGATAATGCCTCCTCCAATTTCCTCCCACCGAATCAAAATCATCAGTCCCCTCCACCAAAATTAATCCCTTTGACCGCCGTGATCAGCTCAAAAACCTTCCGTTTTTCTATTTTCACATTCCCCTCCCCAATCCTCCACGCGTTGCGTGGAGAAAAGATTAGAAGGGGTGGTAGGTTTTGCGGGCGGGCAAAGCGAGTTGCCCATCTCGGGGATTAGTGTCTTTCTGGCCCCGCGAACAACGGTCAACAGTATGCCGTAGCAAGCTCTAAACGGAGAAACCCAACATTTAAAACGAGGAGAAGAGCGGAAATAGACGCGTACAAATTTGAGCGATGCTATTCAGCGATTTATGCGAAACAGAAACAACGAACAACCAATTGACAACAACAAGCAAAATCAACAAATTACTAATTTAGAGAAAAAAAAACAGGAAGTTTAGGCCTTGGCCTTCCTGGGTCGCTTGCCCTTCGCCTTTGACTTTGGTGACTTGCCGGGCCGACCAGCTGGCTTTGCCTTCTTCGTTTTCGCCTGCCCAGCTTCGGTCTGGAAAATGAACAAGTTGATCTTTTTAGCAAATTTTACTAGGTAGAAACTATAACGCAGAGAAAATGTTCAAAAATGTGCAATTTTGGTGTATCGATAATAGATAGTATTGTACGAAAAAATATACCAATTGCCGGATGCGATCCTTCTTTTTCTCCTTCTGAGCCATCTTCAGCTTCTTACGCGCCTTCGCATCCGTGTTGTCGCGGACAATCATCGGCGCCACGGTCATGGCATGTTGTTCTGGGCGGATTTTTCTACAAAAAAACTAAATGTTTAACAATCGCGTCCTTACTTGGCTCTCGCAAACTCTTTGCGCTTCGCCTTCGCCCCTTCTTCAGACTTCAAAATGTTCTCGGTGGCTTCTGCAAGGGATTATTCGTAAAATATTCCGAAATAACTAACCGTTGAACATCTCTTCAGTAAGTACGATCTCGGGCACAAATTCTTTAACCGCCAATGGCTCTTTTCCAGCGGCAGCCAACTCGTACCTAAAGCCACCTTGCCAAAATTCTAAAGCCCAAACTTTTTGGCGTATTGGTACAATTTCTTCCGTCGTTCTGAGATGCATTCTGGGCTTTTGCCGACTTCAAACAGGGCTTTTCCAAGTTTTGCGTAATCGAACTAAATAAAATTTCGATAAAAAAAAAGGTTTCGCACCTGAATGCCCTCTTTCCCCTCCAAGGCCTCGTCCATGCGCACGGAGGCCTCGATTTTCCCTAGCGGCACTGCTTCCTCATCTTCCTCCTAAAAAAGAAGTTGCTAGTCTTCTGAAAAGTAAAAAACCTACCATTTTCGCCTCCTCCAGCTCCTTGGTATAATGCAACAGAATCGTGTCGAACAGCTCGTTGAGGATAGACGAAAAGAGATATTTACTAAAAGAAATAGATCTTTGTAACAAGAGCGCACCTCAATTTCCTCTCGGCAAGGAGCGCGACGTAGGGCAGGAGCAAATCGTGCACGGTTTCTTTGCTTGCGCCGCCTTAAAACTGCTATTTCAATGAAAATCCGGTCATACCAGCCAAATCAAGCTCGTCGAGGTAGATAGAGACCATGTGTGATTTCAGGCCCTCGGGGATTGTTTCATCTAAAATTTATAGTTTTTATAGCCACTCTGATATACCTGTTGAGATCACGGTTCTCTGAAGCGCTCCAATATACTGGTCGACCACCTTCTTCTTCCAGCCCTTGCTTTGCAAGTAGTGGAAAACGACCCGCACACATCGACGGATCAACTAAAAAATTCTTAGAGCCTTAGCAACTATTATACCAGCAAAAATTTGTCCATACGCCATCTATCGATTGCTCGCCATTCCTAAAAAGGAGTTCCCAACGAATTTCATTAAAAATACCTTTGCCAAGCTCCTCAAAATGCTCTCAAAATACAGGACGCGCTGCTCTTCGGTGCCAAAGTTTTCGATCAAGTTGGCAATCTTGTCGGCAAGTTCTTCCTAAGATGGGAATCAATAAAAAAACAGGAAAATTACGTGTAACAGCATTTTGTCCTGCATCCAGAGCACATAGTGAAGTCCCTTGCATAGTCGCATGAAATCCGGCTTGGAGAAGGCTGAAAAGAAGCTGATTAAAGAAAAAAATGTGTCGCTGTAGCTTACGCGTCTGCGTCGATTGTTCCTTGATCCAATTTTGTAAGGCTCTCAATGCTCTGGCGCGCACCGGCGGCTCCCCGCAGGCCAGCTTTTGCGCAAAGACAATCTCCACGCTTTCCAAGTCGACGTCCATGACTGCAAATAGTGGATTAACATTGTTTCAAGCTAGAAAAAGGCAAGAATAAGAAAACATTTAAATCCTGTAGGCGAGGTAAATGGGGGAAGGGGTAGCCGTAGCTTGTAGTGTGGTGGCTGGGGGCTCGGTTTATGCGTGAGGAAGGGAGGGCGATCGACGTAAACAACCTCGTCGAGAGTCGCAAACCAGAAAGGCTTCCGATTGTTTGGAAGGTCGATTGGCTGGTTTTATGGATCTACAGTTGAAACGAGCGTTTTTCCAACCAATTAAAAGTTTCGTTTGTCAAAATAAGGCGCAAAAAATTGTAATTTTTGATTTTCGACGAAATTTTGTTTTCCGCGCTACGTTCCGCTCCAAAATGACGGTTTTTGGCTTTTGTTGCAAACGGAATTCATATCCAATAGAAAAAAAAATCGATAAATTAACTAAAATTAAAATTTTATAATTAGCGAAACTTTACACCAAGTTGACCAAACGATACTTCAGATTCTCGATTGTTTATAACTTCCTCCCCCAGACGTTTTTGCTATATTTTCCCTCCACACAGCTTGTTCTGAAGCCGAACAGGCGTATTTTCCCTCCCATTTTTGATTTCCTCACCCATCCCAGGGCGTATTGTCCACTCCCGGTGAACGCGGAATCATATTCATGTTATGGGGAACACGGCCTCGTTGCGAAACGGGAGCTATTTATGCGCGACGGGGAAGCTGTTTGCTGGCTGGACTGTACGAATATTGGATCATTCGCGAGCTCTCCGTTTTTTATTCTTACCGCTCCCGTGTGACCTCGCGCAATGGAAATGGTCGGGCAGCGCGATAAAGGACGCGCCTTTTCTGTAAATTGGCAGTTTCAGGGCTCGTACCAAAGTGATTTTTAGGGCCCTATAAAGAATAGTTAGGCTACTAAAACTCCTTTAGTACCCTAACTAGTCCAAACGTACCCACGAGCATAGAATAAGAAAAATTTGGTCAAAATTTCTGGACAGCAATTCAAAAGACGCGGCATAGCGTCTTCTACGAAATGCATTTGCAAAAGAAACCAATTAGAGTCAATTTGGTTGTTAAAACTAGTTTCGAAGTTATAGTGTCCTTCCTATAAGCCTTAGGACCCCTAACTATAAAGTTTAGGACCTCTCCAGACCCCTATAACTTTTAGTAGTGTTCCAGACTACTAAAACTTTCAAAACTTTGGGCTTCGTTAAAAGCCCGTCAACGCATTTGGTGCTTTTAATGCTTTTACGAATTGATTAATCATGGGTCGAAGATGTTCACTACGAGCCCGATTGGCTCAGAACACGCCGGTAATCGTGGAAAAAGCCTTTAGAAAGGCTTTAGTACCCTAACTAAAACTTAAAGACGATAGTTTTTTTACCTTTAAGTTTTAGTAAGTACCCTAAAAGTTTGTATGGGAAAGAAGTTGGTCGCAGTGTTGTTTGGATGCGAATCAACGTTTAGTTAGGGTACTAAAACTTATAGTTAGGGGTACTACCAAAATTATCTACCGGGATTTTGTCTGCGTCTCACCTTTCCTCCACTATTTTCACGCGGCTAGGAGTTTTAGCAGGGGTCCTTAACGTTAAAGTTAGGAGTCCTAAAAGTTATAGTTAGGGGTCCTAAAAATCGGCACTTTGGTACAAGCCCAGGGAATCTCTGCGTTATCGCGAAACTTTTATTTATAACGTTTCGCTTCAGAAAGGTTTTGATGTTTAGTTTTTCGTTTAGTTCTGAGTAGAATCGACGTTTCCAAATCATTAATTTCGTACACTTCTAATTACCCCGTCCCGCGTTGTTTGTCATTGTTGAATCAGCTTGCTGTGTTCCCGGCAAACAACGCCACAACTAGCCGTCATCGATTTCCAGTTGTTTTTTTGGCTGGGGCAAGGAAAATCGGCTGACTCAGCGGGGTGGCTTATCTGTTTACGCTTTCACGGAAACCCCCCACATATAAGCCGCCGGATCTGGGAGTTCGATTTTTCACGGCCCGCATTAGATTCCCGCCCCTTTCATACCCGTTCTCCAATACCGAAGTATTACTTTCAAAGAAGCCTCATTTTCAGCTACGAAAATGGCCGGTGCCGCGAACCAAGTGCAGAATCTGGACGACCCCGAGCATTTCGTGAGTAGTCTTGGATCAGATTGTAAAATGTAGATTTCAGGACCGCGCCTTCAAGGCCATCAACCAGAAGGTGAACGTCGAGGGTAACCACGCGTACCACAAGGTGCCGATCAAGGTAGGAAGGTTGGAAATGTTTAAACAAAATGTATTTACAGCTGCTCAACGCGAAGACGCAGGTCGTCTCCGGCGCCCTCTACCACTACGATGTGCTTGTCGGTGATAGTGATACCAAGAAATCGGTAAGGAAAGAAAACAAACTGACAAGAAAAAGGAGCCAGAATAATCTTTAAAAAATTAAAATTAAAATTCAATCAATTATGTTAAAATGTATGCTATTTTATGGTGTTTTTCCAACAGTTTTCGATTAGTAGAAAGTTAGAAAAATTAAGTTTATCATCGTTCAAACATTTTTACGGAAAAATCGAAAATTTCGAAGATTTTAAAATTCTTTTCAGGCTTTTTATATCTAAAAAGCCATAAAATTTTATTGAAATGGTTGATACTTTATTATTTTTGGCTTATAAGAAAATAGGACATTTTTCTCCCCTTCACCCCCCCCGCTAATTCACCAGTACCACCAATTCCAGGACGCCGATCCGCAATCGTTGAGCAAGGAAAACCTGAAGTATAGCCAGGGCGGCAAGCGTGAGGTGAGTTTTAGAAAGCGGGGAAAATAAAACCCAATTTCTCGCAGGTGTACAAGGTGAAGGTGTGGGAGCAGCCGTGGAAGGATTTCGTCGAGTACACCGTCGAGAAGGAGCGCGACGTCGCCGCTGATGAGCAGATTTAAAGCTATATTGCTTTAATCATGTAACCACACAAATTAATACAATTTTAACGCCGGATTCTCCTGTGATACCCACTAAATTTCACTTTGCTGCCATCATCCCGCCCATCAAAACAAAAAGTATTCAGCTTTATCCCGCCAATTAAGCACTATTTGTGTTGTAATAATAAACCTTTTTAGGGATTTATTATAAACAAAAATCACGACATATAAAATTACGCGTAGATGATCAAACCCGCATTTTCGGAGGTGCCGCACAATTTTTTAGGCCGCTCTCCAGGAAATTGGTGCCCTTGTCGAGGGTGGATGCGATTTCTTGGCGCCAACACTCTGTAAACGGCTTTTACATGCACTTTATTAACTTTCTAAACTTTTGTTTTCAGATTCCGGCTTACTCTTACCTTTTTTTAAACCTTTAAAGCTAATCAATTAATTGAGTAGGAAAACTAAAAACTAAAAACTAAAACTAGAAATTTAAAGTTCAGACCCTCAACAAATTGTTTTCTGGCGACATGTCGATAGAACACAAGATAAACCTGTACATAGGAGCGTCGCGTTTTCAGACGCAGACTACGCGCAGCGCCTTTCGACGCCTTTATACGATGCGATCGGAGTTTTTCAAGCCCTTTCTCACCTAGCGCTTTCATTCCGCCGCGATCCTCGAAAACCTTCTCAATCCACTCGTCGTTGAAGTAGTTTTTCTGGTAAAACTCTGCCGGGTCGTTCATTAGAGTCACTATTTGGAGCTCTTCTTTTCTAAATTAAGTCTCTAATTCTCGATTACAATTTAAATTGCAATTGCATTTTCACGTCATAATTGGTGGTTCAAAGTGTATCTTTCTCACTTACGGGTCTTGGAGCGCCATGTGGAGGGATACGAGGATGTTTAGCGCGCTGCTCGGGCCACCGTCCATCCCACGGGCGCTGTAATTTATAATGGATTGTATTTTTAACATATGGACTAGAATTTAGTAAAATTTCACTATATTTCAAGGTGAAAGCTCTCCAAAACCGTAAGAATTCGATATCTTTGCCGAAATTTCACCAGATTTGGTCAAAAAATCGATATAATTTGGGATTTTTGCCAAAAATTAGTAACGAAAAAGGATCTATAATCATAAATGTAAGTAGATTTAACTTGGAATCGAATAGTTGAACAGATTCTCCGATACACAACCCTACTTCAATTCCCGCAACGCGGCCGCCGTCGCGATATCCGGCATCTTGACAGCTTCGTCGATCACCGACCGCACGAGGCTAAATCGTGGTATCAAGTTACCGTAGCATTACGTAGCTCTCTACCTAGTAGTTTGCCCGAAAATCACTGGCTCGACGTCGTAGCCGTAGCCGATCCCGGCGACGCCTGGCTTTCGCCAAAGCTTGGTCCCGGACTCGTTTTTGAAGCTGTCGTGGATGACGTAGTCGTAGAAAAGCGAGAATTCAGAATCGGCCAGGACGACTTTTGTGGGTATATTGTAGCGGTCCACATAGCGGCCGACCGATGAAATGGTCCCGCCTGGAAACGGGGGGGTATTATTGTTTTAGCTTTTAGGTTTCAGACCGGCGATATTTTTATGGGGTACTTTCAAAATGCCGAAAATCATAATGTCGAAATTTACATAAGAAAAATTCTCAGAAAACGGCTAAATCCTATGCAAAAACCCCGACGGTTCTGTTTCAGTAGCGGTGGGGGGCACGCCCACTCCTTTCCCTATCCCAATAACCTATTGGGAGCCCCCCCCCCCCCCCCCGATAAAGAACAAGCACCATCCCGGAAATCAAAAATTCAAGCCTTTTCCGAAACCAACCTGTGCCCGCCGAGTGTACAAAGTAGTCCACCGTAGCCCTCTTCACCTGCGGATCGTCGCGTAGCTGGGCGAGGATCTCGTGGAAAACATTCGAGCTCTCGTACGTGTAGTTTCCGCCTAAATTTTTTGATTCGAAATCTCGCGGTTAGTTACTCTCAAAATACTCCTCGGCCTGCTCGGCGTTCCCGAATTGGTTGATGAAGAAACCATTGTTCTTCTCGGCCTCGTCTTTAGCGTGGAAATTCCGCAACGACACGTCGACCTTCATGATCTTTCCCCCATGCTTTTCAATGTTGTCGATTTTGGCCTGCTCGAGGTCGGTGGCCACCTAGAAGACGCGATTGGAAAGGTACTTACGGGACGCTCCAGATTACGCTACAGGGTGGGCAAAAAAAAGCCCACAGTTTGCACCAGAATATCTCGCTTATCTTTGAGAATCGAAGGTACGTTACCATGCCAGAATGCTTAAATATGCTGGGCATGAAGATTTAACACAACTTGATTTTTTCGATTTTTGAGTACGAAACTGTACTATTGACGCTGGTTACGACCGAAAATTGTGCGTTCTTGAACGGGTGGTGGGAAAATCCTGATTTTTGGCCTAAAAATAGTATAAATTTGTAGAAATGTAATGGCAAAAATTTAGAATTTTTCGAGGTCAATTTCATTTTTTAAAAGCAAAACAATTTTCGTTATTTTTGTTCGTTGAGTCATAACTCGCTTATAACTCACTGCCTATGGCTGGTTTTTTGCCAATCGCTTATCCAAATACTAATCTCGGATCCCACACCATATTCCACCACAATCTATGGTATTTTTGTATTGCTTGCTAAAACGTGCCCCAGCGGGGTACTGTAGGTTTCGTTTTTCCCGCTTTTCTCGGGGCCCCTAGCTTCGATCCGGCTGAAATTTTCAGGGTTGTTAGGCAATAAGTAGTGGCACCTTGCTGTCAAATACGAGAGCGTACTATCTACAAACTTTCATGAAAAAGACTAAAAATTAATTTTTTAATTCTGCGGCAGAATTTTGTAAATTTTTTGGCCAATTGGTCCAAAAACTGCTACTATTGGTTTTCCGAAAAGATCGAAGCGATTCCATGGCAAAAACACCACGAAAATCGCAAATTTCGGTTTTCTACAGTAACCCGCGTGGAGCGCGTTTTAGCATGCCATCACAAAATTCCATATTTTGACGATTTTTCAATTCGAGGGCCTTCTAGAGTTGATTGTAAGATAGCCTGTCAAAAATTACTGATTTTTGGTGGTAAATAACAAAGTTACGAGGTCAAGTGCAAAACAGGGCCAGAGAGCCGATTTTGGGTCCGAGTAGCCGGGTCAATTTTCGAAATTTTAAAAATAAAAAAACCACCTGCATCTTATGGATACGATTAAAGATTTGATGTTATTATCTATGCTCGTCAAATTTGGGGGCAATCTGATTCATGATCATGGTGACTTTCAGCTCAAAATCGAAGATCACCCTGTTCCAAAATCGAAGTTTAGAAATCTTCTTAAAATTTTTACGACGTGAAATTACTTTAATCTTTGCATAGTTTTATTCAACTGATAGCACAGACTTATTGCTCAAAATCTCCCTACGACTCCACCTTCCAAAATTTTTTGACGCAACCTCCAATTCAGTTTATTTCGGGTTTTGATGAATTTTCCTGGCGCCAACCGCTGGTTAAAAAAATTCATGAATAAGGCTTTAGGATGCGCTATTCAACAGGTATCAGATAAAAATAAAACAATAATTTTCACAGCGCGACTAAATTTTATAAAATGGTGACAAGATTCGGAAAAAAGCGCAAACCAACCGTTTTGGAAGCCCTAAAAGACGCCCTTCCAAAGAGGTACGGTAGATCGAAATTTTGTAAATTGATAGATAAACCCCAGAACTACATAGCTAAGCAAAGAAAACAGTTGGGGCCCCTTTGGCAATCTAGAAATATTTTTCCAAAGTTGGGTTTCGAGACCTGGAAAAATCCATGACCAGGGGGTCGTTGAAAAACTCGAAAATTCGTCGATCTCAAAAAATTCTTTAATATGTTTATGCGATTGTGTCAAGCCCGTAGGTATTCCACAACAACTGATTTTGAGGTTTTCACCATAGGTTTTTTCAATATTAAAAATTTACGAAATTTCTCCATACAAAATTTCATCCCTCTCTAACTTTTCAACCAGACCCGCAAAAATTCTTAAATTTTGTAGGTACATATCTGCTGCCTATATAAACTTACTTAATAAAAATTAGACGCCAGCCACCACAGGAAACTGAGAAAAATACAAATGAAGTTTCCCCGAACGCACAGTTTTCGGGTGTCATTTGTATGGGTACGTAGCCAAAAATCGAAAAAATCAAGTTGTGTTAAATCTTCATGCCCAGCATATTTAAGCATTCTGGCATGGCAACGTAGCTTCGATACTCTACCGTGGCGAGTTATTTCGACCCAAACTGTGGGCTTTTTTTTTGCCCACCCTGTATGTATAGCCCACCACAGCAATGTAGGGAACACCGATGGCCGTGAACATATACGCCTCGCTGGCCCCGGTGTTGCCCGACGTCGAGTCGTACGCCGTGGAATTGGAGTTGACCTGAGATTTTTGTGTGTTTTTTTTGCTATAATTTTTTTTATTAAACTATCTTAAGCTCTAATTAAAGTATTTTCATATGGGTTTGGTATAATTTCACAGTATTAAACTTTGTTTTATTGGAAAAATGAATATTAAGGAGATGTTTGTTGTCCTTTAGACTAAAAATCGCACCTGCTACCGTACATTTTCCTCACAAACTACCTAAAGATTATACCCATCACATTTTGCTCCTTGGTGCCCAAAAACAGGTGTTTTTACCGGCTTTTGGATGTTCCCTGTGCGCTCGCTTCGCGCACCTCACTCGCCCCCCACCTGGCCCACCCCTCCTGGCTATCCCAAACCAGCAACCATTGCAAATCAGCTTTGCGCAGAGGCGATAACGTGACCAATGAGGCCTAGCCGAGGTGCGTTTATTGCTGGTTGAAAACTGATACCAATTACCCGTCGCTTTCTGCCCTGAAATATGGGTGTCAGCGCAATTTTTGAACGCCCCTCGGGGGCAGAAGGATTTTAAAGTGGGCAGACGCTTAAAAGGCCGTTTGCGAGCCGTCCGAACAAGGCTTGGCACAGTTTTTTTCGACCCCAGTTTTTTGATGCCATGTGAAAGGGCATGGTCGAATTAGTACGACTGCATAGTTTTGAAAGTTTAAAAAGTTTGTTTTTGGGGTTTAAATGGCCGTTAAAGTTGCGTACCCCGAAAAACTATCTCGGAGCTCACTGGGCCGAACTGCATGAAACCTCGGGACAATACCTAATTTGGGGTGCTGATCATTTTTGTAATACATTGTGAAGCACAAAAATGGCCAGAACATAGGAATATCGCGTAGTCAAAACAGTTTTTTCGGGTTTTCTTTATGATGGAAAGTTTGCTGTAAGCTGAAAGTAACATCAAAAGATGCGCAAAGATTTCCTGCATCGAATGGTGTATTTTTTACAATGCAGCAAGTTTTCCATCATGTCGAAAAATCCTATTTACGGAGCCTCAGCTCAAAAAATTCAAAAATCGCAAATATTAAAAACGTTCCCCAATTTCTAGAGACGAAATCATACCGATCGCAAAAAGAGCAAAAAAGAAATTCGGCTTCTGAGAGGGGGCTGGGATTGAACTCGGGTCGTTCGCCTGGGACCTGGCGGCGCCCACTAGTGGCTGTCCCCTGTGCCCCCAGGCAAACCATCGCGGGTTCGATCCCGGCAAATCGCCAGTTTCGCGCCGGAAGGGAATTTCTTTTGCTCTTTTTTTGCTTTTGGTTTAGACTAGTTTTTATATGGGAATGTGTGTGAATGTGGGAAAAAATAGGTTTCTTATACATTTTGCGATGGTTTTTCTTGATTTTCGAAAAGCTAATTTTTCGACATGATGGAAAACTTGCTGCATTGTAAAAAATACACCATTCGATGCAGGAAATTTTTGCGCATCTTTTGATGTTACTTTCAGCTTACAGCAAACTTTCCATCATAAAGAAAACCCGAAAAAACTGTTTTGACTACGCGATATTCCTATGTTCTGGCCATTTTTGTGCTTCACAATGTATTACAAAAATGATCAGCACCCCAAATTAGGTATTGTCCCGAGGTTTCATGCAGTTCGGCCCAGTGAGCTCCGAGATAGTTTTTCGGGGTACGCAACTTTAACGGCCATTTAAACCCCAAAAACAAACTTTTTAAACTTTCAAAACTATGCAGTCGTACTAATTCGACCATGCCCTTTCACATGGCATCAAAAAACTGGGGTCGAAAAAAACTGTGCCAAGCCATAATGGGGACTGTTCGAGTGACCCGCGGATGGCCTTTTAATACTAAGCCTAAGCCTATTCCTAAGTCTAATCCTAAGCCTAAGTCGTAGGTTAAGCCTAAGCCTAATCCGAGGTCAAGCCTAATCCTAAGGCTCAGCCTCATACTAAGCCTGAATACGAAAAATTTCAGGAATCCATAACCGGGATTACCGGCAGATGTGCCTTTAAAGTACGCAAGTCGTTTATCCGGCCGTCGAGCACCAACCCCACCTCCAATTTTAAAAATGCAACAACCCCCCTCACCTTGCCATCGACAACAGCCCACATGGCCAATGCCCAAACGAAGCGATGCTTGAGTGAACGGGTCGCCGTCGCCGTCTCATTCTTTATGAACAGCCGCAGCCTCGGCAATCCGGCCACCTATAGATATCCCTCCAGTTGTTACAAATTCCGTCTGGCTACGTGGCTGGACGCCGATGACTTACCGGGAATTCGATGAGCGGTGTGTGCCCGATCTTTGCGCGCTCTTCCCACAGTTTTGTGATCGCCTCCTGGCGCCATTTGGTCTCGTCTGTAAAAAAATCATTGAAAAATTAACGCCATAAATATACATGTATTGACGGTGCTTTGGCATTATCAGGGGGGAGCTAGTTTCCTTAAGGACTAGTAGTTTAAAAGTTTTTTAGTAACATTTGGCTATGGTTCAGGTGGAAAAACTATTTTAAACTTGCAACTTTCTGAAATCCTAAATTTTGCTCGGAAATTGACCATTTTTGGTGGAAAAATCGATTTTTATAAGGTGCTTGCGACGTCTCGATACCCCCCCCCCCCCCCCCCGATAATGACAAAGCACCAGAAACTCGCTATAATAATGCGTGGATGTATAAAAGCTTCAGTTTCAACCCACCTTCCTTCAAAAGCACCTCATCGGCTGGGGCCTGAGATAAGAGATCGCATCTGACGGCGCAGAGGAAACAAAGGAATACGGTAGCTATTAGCATTCCTGAAAATACAGCAAAATAGGTGAAATTTAGCCGGCATCTATTCAAAATACCGTAAATATTGGTTAAAAATTAAATGTTTTCCTTTGGGGAATTTCAAAGCAGGGACAACACAGAAAAAATGACAGATTGCCGGCTTTCTGCGACCATCCAAGGCAATCGAAAGCCAGACCCCTCGAGTGGTGATGGGGGCAAAACAAAATGTCGCTAGTCCTACTGTAAATATGACAAAAAACGGAAAGTAGAAGCTTGCAGCCTAAGCCTAAGCCAAGCCTAAGGCTGAGCCTGAGCAAATCTTAAGCCAGATAAGTATCAGCCAAACATATGTAGGCTCCTGCTCAAGCCGGCGAAGCCTAAGCCTAAGCCTAAAACCTCGGCCAATCCTGCGCCTATGCAGTTCAAGAGCAAGGCAAGGCCAAAGCTTATGCCAAACCTAAGCTCTTGCTCAAGCTAGCGAGACTGAGTTAAGTCTAAGCTTAAGCCTAACGCCTACGCCAAGCCGAAGCTGAGCCAAACCTAGCCATCCCTTTCAAGAGGTAGGCCAGGCCAAAGCTTATGCTAAACCTAAGCTCATGCTCAAGTCGGCCGAGCCTGAGCCAAGCCCAAACTAGCTCGTCGCCCAAATCCTGGCTAAACAATTTAAATTAGCAATGTTGACGACAAACAGGGCGCAAATTTTGCGGCTATCACCCCGACAGCTTGCCCCGGGAGGAGAAATGGGATAAACAAGAGAACTGGATGGACTGTAGGGGAGGAGGGGGAGGAGGAGGAGGAAGGGGAGGGTGCGGCTGATCCAAGAATGGAGATTCCATCAAAGGAAGGTGGAAAGCAAAATGGAAAGAAAAGAGCACACGTACCATTCCATCCAGCACATACACGAAAAGCACATTTCGTCTCGCTCGACCTTCGATCTCATCTTCTCTTCCCTCCGACAGAGTTCGAACCCGCAATTTGATGTAGGGCGTAGATACATCGATAAATAGCTTTTATTTTTAAAGAAACATACTATCTAAACCCAGTATGAATTTTTACCGATTCTTGAAAGTCTTCGACAGTATGCAACTGGCTTGTTTATTGCTTAAATTTTCTCTATTACATTATTTTAAGCCTAAATTCAAAATAATAGCTTTCTTAGGCTCTATCGAATTGCTCATTCAAAATATCAAAAATAGCAAAATATCGATAGAATAAGATTTTTTTGGCATATCTATCTTTTTTATGAAGTTGTTTGAGGCTGTGTTTTCAGTATTAAGTATTATTAAATATTATATTAGTCACGTATTTCAATAAGAGCCTTGTCGAATTCAAAACCTGTCCCGAAAACTGCATCTGACCAGCCTTTCCCCGTTTCCCGCGCGTTCGCTGCTGCCTCTCCGCCCTTTCCTCAGTCGCCCCCCACCTGGCCCACCCCTCCTGGCTATCCCAAACCATCAACCATTGCAAATTAGCTTTGCGCAGAGGCGATAACGTGACCAATGAGGCCTAGCCGAGGTGCGTTTATTGCTGGTTGAAAACTGATACCAATTACCCGTCGCTTTCTGCCCTGAAATATGGGTGTCAGCGCAATTTTTGAACGCCCCTCGGGGGCAGAAATACATGAAAACAAATTGACGGTGTGAAAACGTCATTTTAGCTTCTACCGAAAGGCTTGCTCGTTTCTCTAAGGGGGTCAGAAAGCGCGAGAAACGGCTCTCTCTCTCTCTCTCGCTGTCTCTCTCCTCTCTTTATATGTCTCTCTCGGTCTCTCTCTTGCTCTCCCTTGCTTTCTCTCTCTTTATCTCTTTCTCTCTCTCCTCTCTCCGCTATCTATATGTCGCTCTCTCTATCTCTCTCTCTCTCTCTCTCTCTCTCTCTCTCTCTCTTCCCAAATGGTGCCCTCCATATGCCCTCTCCTCTATGTCCCCCAGGGTGTGGGCCTTTGTCCCCGGATCGATGGCCCAAACCCTTTCTTGTTGGTCCTCTCTCCCTTCCGGTGGGCCCTTGTGTAGTTTATAGCCGGCCAGTAGTCCCTGGGCACCCTTTCCTATCCGCCCCTCAAGGCTTTTCCTCACCCCACTGGGCCCACACCCCCATCAGGTGACCCTGCTCCTGCTTATTGGAGAGCCTTTATACTTACTTTTTAATATCAAAAAGCTTCACTATAAATTTTACACAGACGCTGCATAACTCGATTTAATAAGACTATAAATCTAGACTCCTTGGTTTAGCCTAGCTTTTCTAGTAAATTCACTACGTTTTTCGTCCATAAAACGCAGCCAATAAAATATTTGTGTATGGAAAAGCCGTTCCACTAGGCAATAGTGATTCGTTTCCGGCGATGGACCATTAAATTTGCCGTCCAGGATAAAGCGTGCATGTGATTGACTTGGTTTATAGCCCGGGAAGGGCATTTTCGGGCATTTGCTTCATCTGGTGAACCTGGAATTATTTTTTGTGCCTAAAACTGTCTGGCACTAAAAACGGAGGTGAAGTTCAAAAAGATACAAAATCCATGGCCAATTGTAAACATCCTCAAAACTAAAATTTTTGGTTTAAGATATATTTGGCACTGTTTCGTTTGCGGTGGGGGGAACTGGCATGTCGATACATTAGGTTTTATGTATTTTAGCGTATTTTTCTAGCGATCTGGATCAGCCAAAACCATAAAAGTCAAAATTTTTCACGTTTTTGTACGTTTGAACACGTCAAATTTAAAAAATCCATAAACTTTTCGAAATTATCACAATTTTTTTTTATCGGCTTTTCCCATTTACCGGAAAGGTACGGTACTTGGCAATAGGTATACCCCCGCTAACGAACTAGTACCCTGTATTCCAGCCATTTTCGTTTCCAGAATCCTATTCCGCATTTTTCCCAAATATGGCACTGCCATTCTGAAGTGCTTCTGAAGTGATTATTTGCCGTTTCGAGGGGCGGTTTTGGGGCAGAAATATCGGGGAGGTGGGCGAGCAAATACTGAAACGAGAGGTCGACCTCCCCTTCTCTCCCTCCTCCACTATCCTCATTACTCAAATGGGCCATACCCTAAAGGCACCTGCCACTTAATCGTTATGGGGATTGCCGGTGATAGTAGCCGTTAATGAGGAAATTCTACGAGGAATTTAATTTATAGTTTGTTAACGAAAAAAAGCGATTTTTCTAAAATTTTAAAAATTTTTGGTTTTGAGAACTTCACTGAGCGCAAAATAATCCTATGGTATTCTTTTATCATGAATTTCTCATAATCTAGCTTCTATGTTTTTTTTTACATTTTTATAGATTTTTATTTTATATTTATGATATTTATATTGATTTTTTATATTTTTTTATATTTTTTTATTTAATAACAAAGAATTTAATTTTCTAGAGATGCCGTCCGAACGCCGAAAAAAGCGGAAAAGGCGCGACTCCGACGATGAGGAGGAAGAGAGCCCGCTGTCGAACTGGAAACTCGGGATGGTAGGTTGTTTTTGGTTTTTGTTAAAGCATACTATAGCTAAATCCTCTCTTTTAATATTTTTAATACTTCCTATCGATGTTTTCAGATCGTCGCCGTGGTGGTGATCTGCTTCGCGATGCTGTACCCCACCGTCCTCCACCCACTCCTCATGGGCACTTTTTCACGATCTGATGCCCCAAAACCCACTCAATCACGGTATTTTGACATTCTTTATTTTAGGCCGCAATTTTCGAACTTCGCCAAGCTATTAAAACTGTATATTTGCCTTGACAACCCCTTTAAAATCAGTTTTAGACCCCCGATGCACCCGGGGATGGGGGCGCGGGCGAACGGTGGACCCGGCGGAGCTCATCCGGCCATGCGCATGGCCGCCTCACACGCCGAAACGGCTAGTCAACAGAGTGGGTATTTGCTTTAATAGGCTATGATTAAGTTATAGATAACGTTACTAATATCCCGATTTTAACAAGAAGCTCCTGGGCCCAAACTCTGGGTCACAAACCGCGTACTTTCCAGGTGGCGGTGGACGTGGGATGTACTCGTGGTTGCTGCCGTTCTATACCATTGGGGTGGTAGTATTCCTGCTCTATACATTGTTCAAGGTAAATAGCCTTGTTTATAGTAAACCAGCGTTCATTTAGTCGAAAAGCAAAAAGAAGAAGAGTCGCCGCTCGCGCTATGGAAGTGAGTCCGAGGAATCGGATGAGGACTACGTGAAAGGACTCGGAGGAGGCAAGGGTTTGTCAATGGGGATTTCCAGGAACTCTTTAAATCTTTAAATCATAAAATAGCGACTAAATACATAAATAAAAACTTAGCTACTTTAACAGAAAACTTAATAAGTTTTGGTTATCCATTTAAAAAATGTATTCTTTTTTCATTCGATTGCTTGCGATTAGTAACACAATTTTAGAGCTCGCTTATAAGTTTTTTTTGCTCTAATTTAAAGCAAAACGATGCTTGAATTCATCTTCGTATTACTTACCACCAAATTTCAGACAAAAAGAAAGTGCGCGGACTGCAAAAGCGTCTACGCGAGACGGAAGACGCCATGTCTAAAATCCTCGAACAGCTCGAACGCGTCCAAGGCGAGGGACTGGCCCTGGCTGAACAGGAAGATGAAGCCGCCGACGGCAAGAAGAAGCCGTCCACCTCGAAGGCGGACGCCCAGAAGCCATCTACCTCAAAGGGGGCCGACCCGGATGCGTATATCGACGATCTCGAGAGGGCGCTCGCTGAGTTTAAGGTATCGTTTTTTCAGCTTATACGGTTCTGGTCCGTTAAAGGGGGGTTGACACCTACCCCCGATAACAGTGCAGAACCGTGTATACCTTCCATTTTTAGATCCTTTCGCAGCAGTACGACAAGGCGAAGATCCAAAAAGCGAAAGGCGGTAGAAGAGCTGAAGAATCAGAGCCCGAAGATGATGAGGAAGACGAGGTTGATGACGTCGAGGGCGAGGAGGATGAGGAGGAGGAAGAAGATGAGCAAGAGGCCTCAACTTCGGAGGGCGAACGTGACTCGGAAAAGTAAGTTCAAAGCCTCTAAGCCTATAACTGAAAAAGACAATCCAAAAGCTGTACCGATTCGTTAGCGGGAGGGGGCTAACTACGGCGTAACCCATTTTTTCCTTTTTTGGCAATTTTTGATCCCTAAAAGTTGTAAAAACCTTTTAAAAAGTAAAAAAATTTGAAAGCTATATCATTTTTTCCTTAAAATCCGCATTTTTGGAAAATTTTAAGAAATTTTTACCTACCTTTAAAGCCAAAAAAGGGCGCAAAACTGTTGTTAAACTGCAAGTAAAATTTTGTGCCATTAAATTAGTTCGCAATTATAAGAGAAATACGCAAAATTAAGCCTAAAAATTCCAGATCCGACGAACATTCTGAAGTCGAGGACCAACCGCCGGCAGAAGATGAACATCCTGAAACCGAGCCCGACGAACCCACGCCGGCCCCCAAATTACCCGAACCCCCGAAAGTATCCATCATACCACCCAGGAAAACTGACGAAAAAGTACGCCGACGGAAGCAGCGCAAGGATTAGTCAGCAACGCCTATGAAAAAAACGAGAAATCAGATTTTATCTCCACCTTACGCCCCAAATTGTATTTTCTAGTCTTTCATATGTAGTCTGGTCTCCCCTTAAAACTTACAGTGTGAAATTTGTGCCTGAAAACCGTGAGTCAGTAATCCTCGAATTGATTTGCCAAAATTTCAGCCTTTAGATTCTTAGATAACTACTAAAATACCGATATGCCAAAAAACCGACAGCCGAAATCCCGACATATTCTTGACGCAATTGAATTTCCTTTTAAAAAATTGCGGTATAATGGCTGTCGGGATTTTGCTCCGCTAGACGTTAATCGTACTATATGTACTACAGTCCGCGTCATAATGATAGGTTCACCCCATTTTAGGACAGCTTGTTAATCTAGAATAAGTTTCGGATAAAACGGGAGTTGTAATCAGTTAGGGCATAACTCAAAACCTTCAAGGCCATTATCCATTTGGTTAGAAAAGGCTTCTAGATTTCGAAGGAATTTTATCTCAAAAAAAGGCTTGCGTCATAAAGATAGGTTCACCCCGAATTTTTCCGCAAAAATCATACATTCGGATCTTACTTGTATTTTTAATTAAGTACCATTGAAGTATACATGAGTTTCCTATACTTGGTTTGACTCGAAAGGTTTCAGGGAATTTTTTGCAAAAGTCGATTTTAACAAAGAAATTACTATTTTTGTGGCAATACGGGCTGGATTTAACCGGAAGCGCAAGTTCCTTCTATGGACTTGAAAGAGCAGCTCAAGACAAGCATTTTGGTATATAACAACGTCTTTGGCTTCGGCGATATTGGGGTGACACACACGAAGAAAGTTGGGATGGACTGCGCAAGTAAGGATTGGCGGCCATTTAGTATGGGCCCCAGTAGGTTCTATATTTCTAGACCTGTATCTTCGTGAACACCTTAGTTCTTATAGCCGTTTATATACCAAAATGCTCGTCATTAAGTGCACTTTCCGAGACCGCCTACATACGAAAAATTGAAAACGAGTATCGCCGGATAATCCTAAAAAAGTGTGATTTCTTTGTTAAAATCGACTTTTGCAAAAAATTCCCTGAAACCTTTCGAGTCAAACCAAGTATAGGAAACTCATGTATACTTCAATGGTACTTAATTAAAAATACAAGTAAGATCCGAATGTATGATTTTTGCGGAAAAATTCGGGGTGAACCTATCTTTATGACGCAAGCCTTTTTTTTTGAGATAAAATTCCTTCGAAATCTAGAAGCCTTTTCTAACCAAATGGATAATGGCCTTGAAGGTTTTGAGTTATGCCCTAACTGATTACAACTCCCGTTTTATCCGAAACTTATTCTAGATTAACAAGCTGTCCTAAAATGGGGTGAACCTATCATTATGACGCGGACTGTATAAAAACTAGAAATTAATGCATTTCATGAAAATCCCGATAGCCAAAATGCCGACGCGCAAAATCGCTGTTTAAAAGTGAGTGGCACTGAAACGAACGTCACGAGTCCCTTGGGATTTTGGCTGTCGGCATTTCGGCTGTCGGCATTTTCGCTGTCGGCATTCTGGCTCTGAAATTCCCGAAATCCATTGGGGCAGCTTTATTGATATTGATCTGCCAAAAAAACCCCTGCGCATTCACAAAGAATCTCATTATGCTTTTGTTCTTGCATTTTTTCTGCTTTTGCATTAATCTAATAAATTGTCTACCATTTATTGTGGGTTTTTGGGGTTTTTTTTTTGGGCTAAAATTGTCAGGGAAGGCAACCGGAAGGAGGGGAGGTATCAAAAGGAATGGGTGAGCAAGTGAAAAGCCGAAAAAACAGACATCAAATTGGGGAAACACGAAAAATGCGTGAGCCTGGGCTACGTGTCGTTTCGAAAAAATCACAACTGGATTATGCGCCTACACGAGGGTGGTTTACTAGTGGTTACCTGAATATTTGTAAGGAGCAATGATGTGGGGCAGGTTTCACAAGGACAGTTTTTCGAAAAAACTTGTAGAAAACGTTTAATAAACTGTTTTAGAAAAGGATCCGGTGATGAAAAAGTCTATTCCGGCAGAATTTTACGCTGATTTCAAATCTGGATTCAGAATTTGCGGTTACGCAATCATTGAGAATGTACAGAGGATTTTACCCCCCCCCCAAAAATTATGTTTTGTCGCGATTTGAGGCATTTAAAAAAGTATAAAAACTTAAATGAGGCATAAAATTGAATACTAGGTATTAAATTGGCTCTAGGAATAAAAACTAACCAGAATTTGACAATTTAATCATTTTAAAAACATCAAAACGTTGTTGTTGTCACATGGGAGGATGTCAGAAGCGCCAAAGCAAAAGCGCCAATCACTAAAGCGCGCAGGCAGAAGCGCCAAACGAAAAGCGCCCAATGCCCAAAAGCGCCCAATGCCAAAAAGCGCCCAATGCCCAAAAGCGCCCAATGCCCAAAAGCGCTCTATGGGGAAAGCCAACGTATGGAGAGAGGAAACAATTACATAAAATGGCTTTTTTCAAGCTTTGTATGCCTTTTAAACGTTGTTTAGCGATAGGTAGGCTTTGTAGACGGCAAATTATCACCCCGAGCGGGTTGTTTTGGCCTTATTGGGTCTTTTGGCTTGAATTGCCGTGTTTCAGGCTGTAGTTTCACCGGGTTTGCCTCATGTTCTCACGATTTCTGATGTTTTCAGTCACAATACTGTTGCAAGCACGAAATACTTGTTATAAAATAGTGTTTGGAGGCCAGAACGACGAGAAAAACGCCGTATTTCCGGGTAATGGATCCGAAAATGGCTCTGAACCCTTTCCACGGCGAGTTTATACCTTTCTCACATTAGAAATGCATTTTCGGACCGATTCCAGCATCTAGATATCAAGAAACTACTTCAAAAATAGTGGAAAAGCTGTTTTAGAAGAGAACTAGCTATTCGAGTGAAACCATGCCCTAGGAGGCCAAAATAACTTGACCCAGTCGGTAATTTATGGCCTAGTGGGTCGAACTGCCGCTAAACTACAATAATAACACCAGAAAACCTATTAAAACAACTATTTTATCTCTACTTTATGTAATTGTTTCCTCTCTCCATACGTTGGCTTTCCCCATAGAGCGCTTTTGGGCATTGGGCGCTTTTGGGCATTGGGCGCTTTTTGGCATTGGGCGCTTTTCGTTTGGCGCTTCTGCCTGCGCGCTTTAGTGATTGGCGCTTTTGCTTTGGCGCTTCTGACATCCTCCCTGTCACATTGAAACATCAAAATGACACGTTAGCCCTTTTTGGCTCGTCAAAACCCTCGTAACTTCTCGAATATCGACGCTAGGCATACTCTGAAGCCAGATTCGGATTAAACGCAAAATTCTGGCTAAGATAGGCATTTTTAAATCACTAAATTCAGCTAGCCACCACATCAAATCGTTGTCAACCGTTGCGTGTACCTCGACGGGGGTGGGACGGGGGGAATAATTGTACTACAATCTCGATAAATCAACTAATAGATAATTAATCGGGGGAATTTACTAGATAATCACGGTATTCCAAGGGACTGCTGTCGCTGCACGGGATATGGATGAAGCGCGCCGTTCGTCGGCTCCCCGTTGCCGCCGTAGCCGATAAAGTACTGCAGTTGGGCACACACCTAGTAAGACCAGCTTTTTAGGCCTTTGCTTTCCGGTACCCACCTCTTCCGGCTCCTTTCCGTAGGCTTTCATCAGTTGCCGGAGTTGGCTGTTAAAATCGGAGCCGAGCAGCTGCGTCGATTGGAGCATGTTGGCACAATAGGTCTAAAAATCGACGTTTTGCAAGACGCCTATTTTTGGTCATGGTTTTCCACTCGCCATTCTTGAGTTCGTCGATTCGACGCATTAACGGCGGTTGTAAAGAGGATTTTAAGGTTCTTTCGCAGTATCGGGGGACCCATATTTTTTTCCTCTAGGCGCAGAAATGTCTAGTAATGTAATAGCAAGGGGTTTAAAAGTGTTTTTCGGCAAAATTAAACCGTCGTTTCAAGTCAAAAAACATATGAAAAACGTAGAAAATTCTGAAATTACAATTTTTTGTTTTTCGTCGTCGAATCTCAGTGGCAGTTGCGCAAACCTAATTTTTTGTAGTTTTTATACAAAAAATTGTAAAGGTGTTACGTTTAGGAATAGTACAAAACAGCTTACAAACTGCTCCCCTATTTAGAAACCTACAGCCGGCGTGATTGGCGGTGTAGAAACCTGGCCGACGGGCTGGTTGAGATATGGCATATTGTTCAGCGACATCATCCGGCCCTTCGGCTTCTCCATCGGCTGCTCCGTCGGCTGATCCCCGCACGTCACGACTGCTATTCGCACGGGCGTGAATCTAAATAGTATTTTCTTCTAAAATTCATTCGATAAAATACCTCATCTCCCTCATATCGGACGTCGTGCCGGCATGAGTCACATTACTGGTGGCCTGCTTGCCAAGTTTTGCCCCGTTTCCAAGCGGGTACTTGGCCGTCAGCTCGTCAATGGGCACCAGCATCCCGTCGGCGTTTACCAAGAAATGAATCTAAAGGGATTCGCGCTTAGGCGGAAACTAGAAAAATGAAACCCTTCAAAATCCCCGAAATTAAAAATATTTGGTTTAAAAGTCCTAGTAATATAATAACAAGTATTTTAATCGTATTTTTCAAAAAAAAAACTTTATTTGAGGTGCAAAACTATCTTGGAATCTTAGAAAGATTTTTCAAAATTCGAAATTTTGGTGGAAAAATCTATAACTTTGTGTTTTTATTAACTAGTTTTGCACTTTGTATTTTTAAACAAAATTTGTTTCAAATTTACCGAATAACTGTAAAAACTTACATTTTCCGCGGCCGCAATATCCGCCACATACTCGTTCAAACTCTTCGACTGCAACTTTTTCAAATCCAACGGCTCCAGGTGAATGATACGCCCATCCATTCGCTTCATAACTTCAACACAAAGATCAATAAAACCTAAAATTCCCACCAAAACATATCGATCCCCCGGCGGCGTACGATAAATAAAAACAAAGCGCGGCCGAGCTGTGGGCGAGCAGCAGGTTTTTGGCACGGTCGCAATCCAAAAATCCCAGCAGGTAATTCTCGTCCCACAGCGATTTCACCGCCGTCTTCGCGTCTTGGAAGAGCTGAAAAAAGTGAAGCTGAAACGGTGCTTTCGCCTTATCGGGGGGGGTAAGCGTCTAGATATTTTTGGTAAGTACTAGGAAGTATTTTATTAGTTTTTAGTAAAATATAACGATCTTTAAACTAGAAAAACTAGCTAACCTAACCTAACCAAAAACATTTTAAAAGTAGAAATTTTGACAAAAAATCAATTCTTTGTAAAAAATGGTAAATTTATAAGTTTACGAATAGTAAAAATAGTACAAAACAGCTTCAAAACGATACCGTGATTTATATTTGTAAAATTGAGTCGTAAGAAAAAAAATGTTGGTCCCACGATAATGCGAAAGAAATATGGCTAAAGGCTCACCAGCAAAATCTCCAACAATCCCCTCCAAATGCTGAACTTGGTGCAGATGTCCGAAGCATATTGTAGATGAGGGCACATCACATTTTTGAAGGACACCATTACTAAAAAAAAGCTTAAATTACTGGTAAAGCTCTAAACCTCGCTCATCCTGGAAGAGCTTCTCGGCCGGCCCGCATTCTTTGCAGCAAATTTTCTGCTCCAACAACGTGAAGTCGGACTCGGATAAATCCCGGCTGACCTGAAAACAAATTTATTAGAATTACAAATTATTAGAATGCTCAAACCTCAGCCGTTGCTCGAAAATGGGCCTTGTACAACTCCTTGAATCGATCCCACGATATATCGGCCTCGGTCCATCGAAGGATCAGCCCATCGAGGGAACAGGTGCCTAGGAAGTTCAAAAACTAGAAAATCCACTTTTCGCTTACCGTACAACCAAAAACAAGTGGCAGTGTACGAGGAAATCATACGTTGTACTTGGCAATCCTAAACAATGCAATTTATCTTATTTTTCTGTAATTTCAAACCTGATTCCGCCGCGTGGCAATCGTAAATGGTAGGCTGAGGGTGTAGACGTCGGCCATGGGCCCTCGCGGCGAGAAAAGACGACCTAAAAATGTGATTCTTGGCACTTTACTTAATTTAAAACTTCAAAAATTCAGTCTTACTTCGAAAGCTGCATTTAAAAAAATTTACCAACCTCGAATATAAAAATAAAACAGCGATCGCTTGCCGATTTGATTCGATCGTGTATCGAGGAGTGTCGTGTCCTAAAAAATTTCTAAACTAGATATTTTCTTCGCAACCTTCTGCCGTGTTGTGCACAATAGATGCGGATATGAAGCCGTCCAGGTGCCGTGCTTCTCCGAAAACGTAGCCGCTAGTTGAACGCTTTCCTTCGAGTTGACGTCGGATTTTTTGTGGGCCGTATTTCCGCCGTCTGAAAAAGTGCTTGTTTTCCATTTTTTTCGCACTCACCAGCATTTGCCGTCGAGTTATTGCGCTTCGTTCCCGAAGTGGGCTTCATCGCTAGCAGAGCGGCCGATGGGAACGACCGAGAGCTCAACACCGAGCTGGGCAGCCCCAGATTCGAACCTAGATACCGCAGCTCATCCTGAAATTGCAAGCCAATTTTTCTTGGTTTTACCAGTCTTACCTGAATGATTTGCGCGGTTTCCTCGCCGATAATTTGGATCGTAAATGAATGAAAGATGGGGCCCTTGGCCAGGCAGCCTGAGCGGAAGGGGAAGAGGTTGTTCGTGACCAAGATCGGGGAGGCTCTCGGCTCGCTGCAGAAGAGACATTCTAAAAAACAATGGTGGTTCTAGAAAAACGATCTATCTAAAAAAAAGATAAACACCAACCAGCCAGCAATTGTTCCACAACGCTCGCCACCGAATCGATCATTGGGCGAACCGGTTCAACGCCGGCAAAATGCCAATACCGGAAACCCTAAAAATAAATATAAGAGAAAAGCCTAAGTTGCACATACCTGCAATCTGGCCACCATAATTCCCATACAGTAAATAATTTTTGAGAAATAATTCTCGGCTCTGGCCACCAGATTTACGGGAATCGGCTTGCACAGCGACACCCTCTCCATTTGGCTTTCGCGAAGTAATGGTAGAATCCTAAAGTAAGCCCATTATCAAGCTCAAATCGGCACTTACTCTTTGGAATACTCGAAGCAGAATTGCTTAAAGTTGAGCAAGCAGACGGCCAGCTAAAGGATAATGTTCTCTGAACGCAAAATAAACTCCACCTCATTCTGCTTGAAATGCTGGATCTCCCTGTATAAATCGCGGTGCACCTCACCGCGCGAATAGATCGCGTGGATCGACTGCAGCGTGGCGGTAAGGAGCTACAACTAATGAAATTTAAGAACAACCCTTGCCGCCTATTACCGCATTGAATTGTTGCCACTGGTAGTTGACGTCGAGGCTATTACTGTCAACTTGGATCGGGTTTCGCCAAAGGTTGACCAGCGTGACGATAGTAATATTTAGTCGCTCTTCCAGTTCACTGAAACTTTATCTGATGAAGTGATTGTTTTCATGACTTTTTCAATTTGATGTTCTGATTCACTACCGGGGGGGGGGCATCAATAAGACCGTGGGAATCAAATTTTTGCGGTGGGCTGCTTTCAGATAATCAAAATCGAAAAAGTCATTGAAATTTTCAAAAATGACACTACAAAAATCGTCGATTTCTTGGTACACTATAGGCGAAATAGAAAAATTACTTTTACACCGGTTAACAAGATAACTTTCCACTTTTATCAGCCCCCCCCCCGCTAACGCACCAGAGCCCCTGATTACGTTATCCACCAACTCACGCAATCTCACGGTCCCCAGTCCGATCCCGCAGCATCGTGGCCAGGGTAAGGCAAGGCCACGCGAAGTCCGCCCAAGCATTCTCGAACTTTACCGGGTCAGAGCTCAGCAGCCGTTCGAGCTCTAAAATTACTTTTTCATTTTCGATATGTTTTCACCCGACCAACAATCAAAACATCTGCTGACGCGACCAGCTGTGCCAGCAACCGCTTCAGCAAGACGATGTCGAAATTGTCTTCAATGCGCCCGGGCGGCTGAACGGTGGAGAGGAGAGAACACTAAAACACAATGGGTCTCTCTCTCTCTCTCTCATTGTTTTAGTGGCCTCCCTTTTGCCGTGAAATTCACCTAAAAAATCCACAAACACTTATTCATAATATGAATAGGGTATACCGTCTCTAAATGTTGATTTTCTTCGTATTTTCTACGCGGCTTCGCCCCCTGATAAAGTAAGCATTCCCCCTCGAACTCGCCTGCCGGTCTACCGGGGAATCACCAGGTGCCAAAGTCCTCACCGGCTTCAGCTCGTTATCTAATCGCGGCGACCACCCACTCGAATACACCCGAACTGACCCTTCCCAGTTGTTTGCTTCGCCTCCGTTTTTTCTTCCTAATCCCGAATAGGTTTGCGAGAAATGAGCGAAGCACACGTTGGATCCATTAGTACACGGGACGGGCCAAAGGTCAGTGAGGGGAGCACAAACTACTTTAGCATTTCCGGGGATCCTAACTCTTCCTTTTTTGAATATTACACTAACATCATAGTGCTTTAATATTTTTTCTCAGTAAAATTTAGTTATCTTCGAACCGGATGAAATGTTGATAAAGCTTTAAAAGCTGTTCAAAAATTTAAACTTGAGGGAAAAAATTATATTTTTGTACTTTTAATAGATTTTTTTGGAAAAACTCCGAACAACGGGTAATACTAAAGAATACCCAAGCTACCCCTAATACCCACAATTTCATGGAAAAGTTGCTGCAACGACTGTGATGTTGGTGGGGCGGATTGGCGGGGCACTCGGCCCGCCATGCATGCTCCCACCAGGGGGGCCAGTCCGTCAGAATCCAGGCACGTCGGCGTGGATGAATTCGGGGGAGAATCAACCCAACGTAGCAGCCTTCTCTGGTCTAAAATCAACTTATCATTAACCTAAACATTTCTAAATCAACCGCCAGCAGGGCCAATCGATAGTCTCACCTAATACTTTGCAAAAAGGGCAGCTGAGAGAAGATCCGGCGGTCCGGTCGCAATGATCCCTAAAGGAACGGGTCAAACCACGCGTTCAACACAATCGATGCCCACGTAAAATCAATGGCATGACAAGTTGACATGAGGCGCAAGGGGGATGAGCAATAACTGACCCGGCATCAGATAAATCCAACCGTTTACAGCCCCTCTTCACGATAACCTTCGGCCACGGAAAGTAGTTGGGCGGGGGGAAGTTGGTCGCGGGGGAGAAAAATGCCCGGTCGTATTTTCAGGTCATAGATGGGAGAAGACGGATGGGGCTCGCGCAATATCTCCACGTGATGGTCTCACATGGCCGCCGAATTGCGTTATTGTATTTTGGAACTAGTCAATGAGGTATTTTAGCCTAAAAGAGAACACAGGCGAGGCTCGCATAGGTAAAACGAATGCTTGTTAGGCGCCAATTTTAGAAAACAAAACCAGTTTTCATAAAATGAAACGAAGGGATAAGCCTAAACTGTTGGGGGCTCCCTCTCCAAAGGTAAGAACGAGAACAAGTAGCGTCTCCTCAACCGCTTAGAGAGATTTATCGACGGAAAGGGGAGCACGGCAAACAAACAACGCTGCTGAGTGGGTTGGACCACGGCGGTGATAACGAATTATTGTTTTTCTCGCCGTTCTCAATACGGTAGTTATTGGAAGGGGATCGCAAGGATGGGGGGGGAAGGGACAGCATAAACCGGGTGGTGGTGCTCGGGAGAGCTCCCCGCAATCTCCCGTCCATAAACGGCAAGGATTGATTACTTTTGCGGGCGAAAATGATGCGCTTATCGGCACCTCCTCCACCCCAGTTCGCCTGGGAGAAACTACGGGCTGCAGACGGAGGAGACGCTGCCGCTTGATGGGAAGTTCGAAAAAGGAAGGATCGTCAGCACATGAACAGGGACGACTGGAAAAGCCGACCATGCAAAAAGAATCTGTGTCGTTCGCACCTCCGGAGGGGGGCTGGTAAACCCACACCCGCCTATAGCTTCAGCGTCGATAAAGAGAATGTGGCGACAAGCATGCGAAAAAGCCACGAGTCATTCCTGCGCGAATCCATCCAAATTTCTGGTGCAACCATTTTCGAGAAGAACATTTATTGACCGACTAATGACACACAAGCATATTCGAATCCTAGAAGAAAAATGTTATGAAACCTAATTCTCGGGTCTACATCTCCGTCACAACAAACTAGTGGCCGCCGACCTCGACCTCACCGGGCTGAAAACGATTTACGTTGAGCGCAAAATTCCGATCTACCTTCTTGAGGGGGTTGTACTTCTTGAAATATTCCTTGTCCTGGTGCTGCTGGCGGATGCCGTACCAGTGAGCGACCTAAACAGCGGTACAGAGCTAAAAAGGAGGCCAAACCTCGTGATGGTGATGATCGTCCTTTCCTTTCGCGTAAGCGATGCGATGACGGGGCTTGACTGAAAGAAATTTATAATTAGATGAAAAATCCTCACTTGGCAACACGAATTTGTAGATGCCGTAGACAATCACTGCCGAGTAGATGTAGAAGCGGAAGACCGGGATGTACTTCCAGTTGTAACGCCATGACCACATGCGCAACTAAATGAGGACAATGGAAAACAGCGACGTTCTTACGTATTCGGCAGCTGTCCAGGGACGGGCCATCATCCGTGGGTGCAGCTCAGTCTTCGGGATCGGCGCATTCGGGCTCAGCAGCGTTTGAACGGCGCCCTAAAGAAAAGTTGAGACCAGGGCCAGGAACGGGCATACCTTCGCCGTCTCGAGGGACCACAGTGCGGCGCCAAAAGCTTGTTTCACAACCATCACCACTGAAAATAAAGGAATTGTCGTGGAAAGCGGCACGGAAAGAAAAATGAAGAAAAACGAAATTTTTTTTGCAAGACATAAAAATTGAATTCAAAGTCATTCAGGTTCCGTTCAGTACGTGGCGAAATTCCGTAAGGTGTAGCTATATGGAACGTTTTTTGTAGCGCCGCGTCGCGATATCGCTGGAATATCTTTTTTGTTACTTCCAAATATCTTCCAAAACAAATAAAATGAAAACGTGAAAGAATAATCTATATTGTGCGAGTAAACGTAGTTTACGCAGTATACTGGAAGCTAAATTCAACTTCCTTACACTGGTCCCCTTATCGACGTGAAATTGCAATTTTTGGTGTATTTAGAGCTCGGTTCGTCAAAGGCTTTCATGATAAAAATATTTATTAAATTCTCTGAAAGACCGCGAAGAATATCTGTTGTTGATGACTATCCGAAGAACGGGACGTATGGGATGAAGGGGATGCCGGGTCCCCATGACGGATAGCGCGTATAAATCCAGGGTCGTGGCCTAAAAATTTCAGTTATGAAGTGACGGATCCCACTAAATTACCTCCAGCCCCATCCTCGGCGACGATAATAATAGGCCCATCTTTTTTCGCGGACATTACTAAAATTAGAACTAGAACGAAATATCTTAAAACTTGGAAAAGCTCGAAAATTGTGCTTACCTGTCTTTAACTAATTCTTGATTATTAGAGCTGGTTTGCCCGCTGGCCACAGATAAATCCACGAGCAGCAAGAATAAGCATAGTAGAGCAAAAACGGTTTGCCTGGACATTTTTGTGCATGCCGGGGTTGCGAGATCTGTCCGGCGAGCCCTTTTTATAGCTCGAAACCCCCCGAAATAAACACTTGAGCGGGTCGTCCCGATCCTCCTCGAACTTATCGGCACAAATGAGCACGAAGAGCGTTGAATAGTGACGTGGTTTTGTGGAAAAGACAACAAGTTCGTGAAATTAGGCAGCTAGTCAACAGGAAAGTACAAATTTCAACACGCGTTTGTCAATATAAACATATTATTTTTGCCATTAAAAATCATGGGTTTTTTTTAGGTTTGTCGGATTTAAAGGGTTTTAAGATTTTTTAATCAGGATGGAGCGGAGGTCGCGCGGTTGTAATGAAGCTGACTTTGGGGACTTCGATCATAAAATGGTTCATTTGATTTTTGAAAGCATTAAAAAGCAAGGTTTTAGGTTTTTCGATTCAATAGGGTTTTTAGTTCTTTTACACGACTTTGAATTGGTCTAAAATGCCTAGTAAATTAATAGCAAGTGTTTTTAGCAATATATTATTATATTTAAACTAGAGAACCTATCTAAAAGTTAAAAATCTTTAAAAAAAGTCGATATTGTGGTCAAAAATCGGCCTTTTTGGTGGGAAAAACGTTGTTTTTATATTTTTTAATAAAAATTTGTAGAGTTTTCAAACTTAGGAACAGTAAAAACTATTTAGAAACACTCCCACTATTTATATTTGAAAAATGAGATCCCAAGAAAAAAGCTGGTAACTAGAGCTGGTAGCTGGTAACCCCCCCCCGTTAATGCGAAAGAACCTACAAAGTTTATTGGGCAAATTCTAGCGTGCGTCATGTGGAAGATGTGCTGTATTCGCTAATTTGCTTCAAAAGTCCACAATAGCTGCTATTGCGCTTTTTTGCGTTGCAAATTCCAAAACCAACTTTCGCGCATCTGCAACCCCACACCCTGACATCATCCCCAATATCCATATCCGCTTTTTGGTGAAAGGGATCTCGAGCAGTCGGAGAGGAGGGCTGAGGATCGGCTGCAGTTCCCAGGGGGAAATGTTTCAAACCAAACAAAGGCCGCCACAACTCGCCCGACCCTCATCCATATCCCCCCCCGCAGGGTGGGCCCCAGGGAAGGGATGGGCCTCCACCCATCGTTTTTCGGCCAGCCCGGTCCATCTATGCCGGCGCTGTTTTTGCGGTGTCAGTTGAGCTGATTTTTTTATAGCGCTAAATAAAATTTGGTTTTGAGGATGCTTTTGGTGGTATTTTTATTGGTACTGTAACGTTAGCAGGGGAGGCGAATTTTGAATTTTCCGTCTATACCCACCTGGCAGTAATTCATACTGTATTTTTACGTTGTTTGCAGTATTTTTTTGGCTGCTGGGAAGTTGTACAAAGCTCTCAAAAAATTTTGAAACCTCGATTTTTTAGTTTTTTTGTTCATTTTTCATAGGTTTTAGACAAAAATCAAACTTTTCTCGAAAGTTCTTATAATATTTTGTGCTTTTTTATATTGACAAATTGTGTGAAAGCCTACAAAGATAATTACTGGGACCCCCCACTAATAGCCCAGTACCGAAGTCGGCTCGGCAGGCGTTTTTGTTATTTTTGTACTTCGTCGCTTCACTGGTTCAGACAATTCTTGATAGAATTTGGGACCGAAGTGCTTTTTGCACTATTTTGAACCAGTTTTTCCCTGACGAGGAACCCGGCCAGTTCAGAATAGTGTTGGTGCTCACCCTGGGTGCTCCGTTCCCACTTCCTCGATTCCCCCCATCTGCCTTCACCGCGAGCCTAATTTCACGAAACGAGCGCCACTCACAGCCCCGACAAAGGGCCCAAATCCACTCGTTCCGGGGCCCGGGGCCCTGAAATATAGACGGACGGGTCGGCGCGGCCAGACCGCCCTTCGGCCAGATTTCCGGGGCTTTACCCCCCGGATGCGTTTCGGCTTTTTCACGGCGGTGGTGCCCAATTTGGGAGGGTTGTGGTATGGGTGGGTTGGGTTGAAGGGTTTTTGATTTGCAGGGCGATTTTTTATAGATCAACAAGTTCTTTGAGGAATTGGGAGAGGGCAGGCTAGCAGAGATTCTTTGAGGAATTGGGAGAGGGCAGGCTAGCAGAGGTGCTTTGAGGAATTGGGAGAGGGCAGGCTAGCAGAGGTGCTTTGAGGAATTGGGAGAGGGCAGGCTAGCAGAGGTGCTTTGAGGAATTGGGAGAGGGCAGGCTAGCAGAGATGCTTTGAGGAATTGGGAGAGGGCAGGCTAGCAGAGGTGCTTTGAGGAATTGGGAGAGGGCAGGCTAGCAGAGATGCTTTGAGAAATTGGGAGAGGACAGGCTAGCAGAGATTCTTTGAGGAATTGGGAGGGGGCAGGCTAGCAGAGATTCTTTGAGGAATTGGGAGAGGGCAGGCTAGCAGAGATTCTTTGAGGAATTGTGAGAGGGCAGACTAGCAGAGATTCTTTGAGGAACTGGGAGAGGGCAGGCTAGCAGAGACACCTTGAGGATGCGATTTTTTGTCATTTCGATCTGCTATCGATCATCTTGTATAGTCTTCATTTTGTGTCAAGGATTTTCCGCAGCAGTGGCCCCGCGGAGACATTAGTTATTCCGACTAGTTGCCGGCGGCCGGGATTTCGGGTTGAATTCGTTCAAACTTTTAGCAGCCGGCGCGGAGGGGTCGAATGGCTAATGATCTCACCAGCTTCTTTTGGTGTTTTGGAGGAGCGGCTTTCGAAAGTCTGGCGTTGAAAAGGATTAGAATCGGGTGAATTATAAAGTCCAGAATTTGGGATAAGTGTCTTTGGCATTGTTGTTATTGGATTGTTCTTTGGGCTGGTACGAGTTTTGCTAAGATACGTAAGCTACGTAACTTTTAACGTGACGTGCTCTTTGTAACGTATGTTTCTCTCAAAATACGCGTTCAGAAAGTATAAGGCAGTGCGTTTGAAGACCTGCCTTTCACATCTCGCACTTTGCTGTTTCTTACCGCACAATTTTTCATGATACTATCTTCTTCCCTCGTCCCAGCCGTAGCTTCTCCTTTCTTCTTCCTCAGACTCTTCTTCAACTCCTTCTCCTCCAGTGCCGTCCGAATCGCGTTAGGGTAGTGGGAGTATCCTCGTGCTCGGTGTGGTTGTTGGGAGTGTTCCCCGGGGAGTATTTTGGTCTTCAGCACTGGTGGTGCTTTCGATGCATCTATGCCACACATCTAAAAGTTGGGGATGGGCGTGTTTTTGGAGGCGAAGCGAGTTTTGTTGGGATTTCGATGGATGCGGAAAACTGGGCGTGTTGAAAAACTTGGGGATCTCGTTCGTGTCATTTTTGAAGTTTTGATGGTTTGAACTGCTCGAGGGACTCTTTGATGGTTTCGGCCTGTTGTGCCGGTGTCGATCGTCTTTTTTTGGCTTTGAGGCTCAATAGGTTTGAAGTTTCGGCGTGTTTGAGCTTTTTAGGTCGAGCAGAGACAAGGCTGAAGTATTTTTACATGAATTCGTACGGCCTATGATTGCCAACAGGCTCAACAGGTTCAGGATAATAGAAAAAATGTTATAGTAAAGTTATCGCGCGATTACGGCTCGCAATTTCTAGGCTAACTCGACGGCATTTCCAATTCTGCACCTACGGCCGCAGAGATCCCGCCACACATTTTGGCGTGTCGAGATTCCATATGTAGAAGCCTCCAATTACCTAGGGCGTCTTCGCGGTCTGGATCCCTCAAATTGGCGCCTACAATTTCCATCGACAAGCCGGCAACGCCTGCGGGCCGTCCGATTCCCACGTTGTTTTTGGAGGGGGTGCCAGGGGGTGGGAATGGCGCCATTCAGATATCGAACCCTGTTTTTGTATTTTGTGGTATTTAGATTGCGGTTAGGCTGTTATAATTGTAGTTGCATTCAAGGGTTTTGAGCGTTTCCTTGCAGTTTTTAGCAGGTTTAGAGATAGATTTTTCGAGGCTCGTGCTGCGTGGCTGGATGAAACCAACTAAATCTTGTGCAGAATTTTTCGCAGATTCCGAATCTACCTCTAGAATTTGCGAAGTCAGTCCTTTTTAACAGTTGCTAGATATGTGGGCTACGGTTTACTTCACACCCCCCCCCAGCAGGTAGTTTTTGGCTATAACTTTTTATTTTACATTATTTTAGACTCAAATTAAAACTCTTGGTATATTTTTCGACGCTCTATCGAATGGCGCTGCAAAAATCCCGACCAATTAAGCGAAAATACCGGCAAC